GAAATGCTGATCATGGTCTGAAAAGTCGATGTGCATTTGAATGCATTTTGACATATCAATAGATGTATTTTGGTATTGCACATCTTGTTGACAAACTATACCTCAACAAAATCATGTCATGTGATCATTTTGATGTTTTAACAATGTTCTGATCGTCTTTCTAGTTTACTGATATATACATCAGTCAGGGAATGTACAAGAATTTAGAGCAACTAAGTGTTATTGATAGAATAAATGCAATGTTAGACTCCCAGAGTGTGTCATAATACGAACCATGATACACAATTTTGCATAACCGAAATTGTTATAATGGTTGTGAGATATCTTACTTGGAAAATCATTTCAATTAAGTAAATGAATGACGAGGAGAATGCTCCAATTTGTGCTGTCCACTATCAACAAGCTAGTTTAAACAAGCAGACAGTGAGAGAAACCATTAAAGAGATGATAATTGCAAGTGATTTATATAGAATTCTAATTATCATGTAAACTCGTGAAGATAGAAACATAGGTCGTCATACAACTTGCTTTGATCACATCACCCGCAAACATAGAATAAACTGGAAAATTATGACCATCAAACAATACTAAAGTACCCAAACAGTAAAATGAATTGGACTACACAATAATCAATGATTTGTTCGCTACAGTGCTCTGGGAGTACGCTCGGTTAGCTATATAGAAAGTCAGATAATGGGGGAATAAAGCAACTCCATTCCTTAACTTCATTATCAAGCTTACAACAATAGGCTGCTATCGTCACTGAGATCTCGTAGTCGAAGCAAGGTGTAAATGAGTTTTACATGTTACAATCAAGTTAAATAATTTCATAGTCACAAAATAGATCCTCAATAAAAATTCATCTACTCAATAAAGATTACAACATGGCAGTGATGGCAGTTTTCTATTGAAAAAGAATGAAAGTAGCAAGACTAGAATTAAAATTCCTCCCATCAATAGACATTCTTATTTCATGAATTCTGATATTTTACTATATATATTCAATTAGCTTTGTTCGATACCATTTGACTCGAAGGAATTGACACAAGTCAAATTTACAGTCTTCCACTGCTAACTGTAGTAATCCTTGCAATAGGACCTCTGTAAAATGATATCATAGAAACAGAGACTTCAAGATAATTTGATAACATTATCTCTGGGTATTGTGTATGGTTTTGGATACACTAGTAACATGACCATTTCCATTAGAGACCAAAAAAAAAGAATAATAGGAAATTTAGTTTGAGAAAATTCTTTCTCTTTTATTGGTTTTATTACTCAGCTGAGAGGTATAAAATTATGGACTGGAATCAACTATCAGCAAGAAATTAACCCCATGCATCATGGCAAGAAAATGGTAAACATGTTTCTGGTTTGCTGTAATATGGAATTTCATGCAAATAAAATGGGTCAACTTTCGAAAAAAAGAAACAGATTTCTTCAATCAAGTGAAAATTGTTTAATACAATCCATTTGAGTTTAGCTTAACTTGATGATTGGTTGAAAAAAATTGGGGAAAGTTTAAGTAAATCCAGTTTATATCTGTTTTGAAGAGTTTTAATCATGAATTTCCTATCTGTATTCTGTCAACAGATTGTGTATGTTAACTTTTGATGTTAACTACCAACTTGCTATTTCGAGTCCAGATTATACACATGTGGCTTAAAGATTTTGTTTTCTGAGATCCTTGAATATTGCAGTGCCGTTAGAAATATTATTTGATATATTTATGTCTTGGTTTTAACATTTTATTTAAAATAGGTAGACAATCTGTTAAAAAAAACAAAATGTAAATCACATTGAGTATTGGCCCATTAGGTGAGAAATCACCCTCTACTTTTGGCATCGGACTTGACAAGAGTGCATGAATATTGTGAATTAACTATTTTGTCATCCATACCCGAGTAGTTATAGGTTGTGTTTTATATATTTATACAAATATGGTTAATGTAAAAAGATTATTTCCATATTAAAGTGCAATTATATTTGATATTATGCAATAATGTATTCCTGATAATGAAATATTTGTCCTACAATGTATTGATCAATTCTTATTATCTGAATAACAAAGGTTTTTATGTGATAATGATCAACAAATTAATCCCAATAGTTTTCATGGTTATCTCAGTTTTTAAGTTACCTTTTTTCCCCCATCAAATACCCACTGATCATATGTTTTTTTGTAATACATTTTTACAAGCTACATCACAGACACACCTCCATGTAAAATTCACTTTTATTCCATTTGGACTTGGTTGATAAATGTGAAGGCAGTATGACTGAAACAGAATCTGCTCAGCATATATCATGAATTTTTGATTGCTCTTTCTCACCTCATCAACCGAATAAATGGTAGGAAAGAACATATTCTTGCATAAGTGGTATGTAGATTATCCATTGTAAAATAAACTGAATTATATATGGAGTGATAAATTCCTTTAATTTATATGATAGATAAAAAGTATGGTATATTTATATGCAGAACGGTAAAGATATATTTAATGAGTAAGTGAATAAAAAAGTGAAATAAAAATTGTTAGCTATGTGAGAAGTGGTATTGAAATAATTGAATGCTGTTATAAGGGTATGCTTACTGCATCAGTTAAATGACTTAATATTTACTGTAAATGAAAGTTTCAAGTGAATACCAAAATGGTATACATTTATTTATTAGAATTATTCACAAAAAATACAAACACTCACAGCCATAGATATACATGTATAATAGATATTGTCTAGTAGAGGTAGCTGGCAATTGATCAATACTATAAATTATAACCGATTCTTGACTCTCCATATATAAGAAATGAAATGAAATGAGGTTTAACGTCCTACTGTTCTGCTCCTATACTGGGCTAATGAAGACGGGCATATGCCATACAGTGTGCTATGAGGAAAATTTTGCCCAGGCAGCGGCACTATCGCCTACTCTTTTATCGAGTTCCAACTGCCAAGGGATCTTTTACGTGCATTCCAATGTATACACGGGATCTCGTTTTTTCATCTCATCCAAAGGCCTAGACAGCCGTCCTTGTCAGGCCCTCCGTTCTGCACCACTGACAAGGGGACGCCACGTCGGAAAATCGGGATGAACTCTCTCGGCCAATGCAGGGATCGAGCCAGGTCTTAACCACCTAGCCACCGTGGCTCCTCTCTCCATATATATATATATATATATATATATATATATATATATATATATATATATATATATATATATAAACCTCTTTCTTGTCAACCCTCTTTATGTAGCTAATTAATGCCATTTGACAGTACATACAAATAGATATATATATATATATATATATAATCTATTATTACAATTATCAGATTACATATAGATGGGATTAAATAATGATATAAGTGTAACAAACTATCCATCAAGATATTATTACCCTAGATGACAATACCAATCCCATCACAAGCAGACAAAAATCCCTCTCATGGATTATATAATATACTCCTAAGATGAAATGAAGACATATATTATTGTTTGAACATCTTATTCCCTTCCACGAACAGTGACTAGACATGGAATCTATTCATATACATCACACCTAATGTGCGTCTGCTCAAAAAAAACCAGACTGATTAAATGGGAAAATTGAGGGGAAATGTTAATTTAATAAAAGCCTCTGATTGAGATGTAATTATTGCCATTTTCTTGGTAATTGTTTTAGATGATATTTTCAAGATAAACCTAAAACAATTATGACTGTATTCTTTTTTTTATTAACAATTGTCAGTTTTTCCAAAGAATGACAGTGACCGTATTTTTATGTAGGCTACTGTGTGTGAGTTGATGGAAATCTGAAATCAATAAAAGTAGCAGAGTTGCTGTTTATTATCACATTTTTAGTAGATTATTTCCATTTTCCGTACATATGATCTAGATCAAAATGAAAATTGTGCTGCAAAACTATTACTATTCAAGTTTATATAATTGTATTTTGTGCAACATATTTATGCTTCAGATGGGATCAATGAAACTATTTGTCTATTGATTCAGTAGTATATCAGTCTTGCACCTGTTTCTAAAATGATCTATACAATCTGTATTTGAATAGAATTCAATTGTTTTATTGGAAATAAATTACCATTTGTTCATATTCGGACATAAAATGTGGAAAGTTTTATTTCTTTGTTGTTTTCATGAACCAGTTGTTACAATCACAACAATGCTAACCTATATACTTTTATCTGATTTTAATCAACTCTTGAATTATAGTATACGAAAATATTTGAATTTGAATGGTTACCGTTAAGCCTTTTAGTCTAGTCCATTGTTCAGTTGTCTGACATTTCTTAAATAATGTTATTAATGGTGGTAAAAAATTTATGTTCCATTGATCATTTCTTTTATCTCATCATTTTCTCTCATTTTAGTTCAGTTTCATTTATAGATTTAATATTAAACCAATTATATGAAACAACAACGTAAAAAAAACCTTTTAAAGTTTATCGACTGTCAGTGATCTATGTGTGCAACAAAAGCTAGAACATCCTTTTATTTTCTATTTTGATAAGCAATAAAAATATGAAATATAGTAATTTGTTTTATTTTGGGTCAATATACACATATTATATCAATGGCGTAGCATTATAAGAATTTCAATATTTCACTGACAAACCTGAATCAGTTAAAGATGTGGTATGTCAAACTAATGCAGGACTTCCGATTTTTATTTTTACTAAACCTCTGATGTTCTTTGCAATAGAAAGTGGAAGAGTTTACCTCCTACTAAAAACTAATAACTCATTGTTGTCAAATATTTTCTGATGGTTTTCTACAGGAGAAAATCAAGCTCCCAGCTGAGACAAATTACTGAAGACATTGACAAATGTTAGAAAATGTTTTTTTCTTTGTTTTATCAATATTTACTGTCTAGAGTGTCACCATTAGGTGTCAATTCCATGAAGTCGTCACTTTGTCATACACAAAAGATTAGATCAACACAATACCTGGAGACATCTAATGTGTTTGTTCTTTTATTTTTCAGGTTAGGACGCTGTTTGTTAGTGGATTACCAATGGATGCTAAACCCAGGGAATTATACTTATTATTCAGGGCATATAAAGTGAGTAGAATTTCAAGTTTTATTCTGTTATAAAGGCATTCATGGTGGTCTAGCTGGGCTGAAAAGAGGACAAGGGACTAGTCATTCATAGGGTTAATGTAAAGAATAAGGTCTAGTTTACAGAATTGACAGTGCACCATAAAGACACCGAAAGACAATTGAATTTTGTTGTCATTAGGATGAAACTGGCACTGTCTGGGTGAAATTTCCATGACCATTTCAAATTAACTATCGAACACATAATAACCTCCACTTATTTTGGTTTGTGTTAAGAATAGACAAAGTGATTAAAGGAGAATTCCCAGATCAGTGAATCAGTGAAAAATTCTTATAAACTTTTATCCTGAAGGTGTGCAGTACCTTTTCACAGAAATACTAACTTTTTAATGATTTTGACCTGAAACTTTCTGACAAGCCATTCTGTTCATTTTGACCTTTACTTATTTAGACCCACTTTTATCAACAAAGTACCCTGTGAAATCTGGAACAGGTCCTTTAAAATTGAGTTTTAGAGCTGCATTGGAATCAGTTTGACTTGATATGTCTGTTTTTACCTTAGGCCTGGTTCTTCAAATTCAAGTGTTACTTGCTCCACATTTATAAGAGATGCCCTGAAATGAGTTGAAGAGTTTAATAAGTAGAGAAATGTTTGTTTGGGTGGTTTTCTGTATTGAATTATAAGCAAGTTCTCAATGTTACTCTCAGTGTGTAGGAAGCGAGACAGATCAGGTCTGCTCTTGTACTGACATTTTCCTTTGAGATTGTCTCTTGTATGTTTGGCTACACTTTCTCAATATGCATCCCTTTCAAATGCCACTTGAATGACGAAATATGTTTTGTATCCCCTAGGGTCTGTGCTCACATACCGTAGTTATATTGTATCATTGTTAGAATGCGATATATACAATCATTAATAATAAGTAAGTTCAGAAGGCTACCTTTTAACCAGATGCTAAATTCTATGACTTTATGCCCTTTCTCCATCTCCGTATTTGATATTCTACATGAATATTTGATTAAAAATAGAGATGACCAGAAGGAATAGTCAATTAGGGTAGGGCCAAAAAAATGTTGTATTAGGTTAAGACAGAATTTCTAACTAGTTTTTGATTTGAAAATATTGCTTTAATTACAAGTATAAAATTGGGGTAGAGTCAGAAATTGTTTGTATTGGGTGAAGACATAATTTTTAATCAGTTTTTTATTTGAAAATATTACCTTACAAGTATAAAATTGACCTCTAATAGCGTTGATGGGTTTTTAAAATCTATTCCATCATCATCTTCATCTGTAAACAAAGTCAAATTATATCTGTCAATATGTCATCTCTTGATCTAGTTCACATTAAGTTATAAATATTTCCTGGAGTTTTCTAGGTCATGGCAAAGATTGTTCTGTCTGCCAAGCTACTACAAAGTTGGGAAATTTATTGTGGTTGCTGAACAAATATTGACATCTAAATATTATATCCTTGTAACTGTAACAAATGCTGAAATCTAAATACGGGCAATATTAAATCCTTATAGCTGTAACACATAGTAGCAATACACTACAATCAATGAAAAAAGGTTAGTTGAAGGTCTGTTTTATGTACCACTGCTGGGCAAAATTGCGTGCCGGAAAATCCTGATGAACTTTCTCAGCCAACGCAGAGATCGAATACAGGACCTCCAGGTTAGTGAGCCAATGTCTTATAGCCTGTTCAGATGCTTAAGTTGAAATATGGGGCAAATAAACCAGTTTAAAAACCCCAGCTTGTGACCTGTCTTTGAGAAGGCTTTTATTTTTAAACTGGTTCATCTTGGCCGTCTGAATGGGTTGGCTTAAAAACCCCGGCTCTAGCTCATTTTGAGCATGCGCAGTACGCAGTAAGTTACATTCCTGGGAAAATGTCAGGGTTAGGCAGTGCCAGTGTTATCGAAAGTGTGCGAGAACCGAATAAAGAATGTGAAGCTACCCATGCGTAGTTAACTCTAACCTCTGACCGAAGAGGTCAGAATACTTAAACTGGTTTGGTTTATAGTATGTGTGAACGCAACACAATCCTGTCTTAAAATCCCCGACAATTTTGAACTGGTTTAAAAATAAGCGTCTGATTGGTATATTACTCTCTAAGCCACCGTGGCTCTAGGTACTTGCAGACCTAAAGCTTTAGTGGATTTCATTTACTGACTATTGAATAAGTAGCTGTTTTTCCATAAGTATGTGTTTTTGTGTATAACTAATGAATTTCAGTTTGAAAAAATAATGACAACTTAGTGCAGCTAGGAATTTTATTTTTTAGAGGAATTGATTAATTTTAATTTGTACCATTACTGTATAATTGCGACGATTTTTGCATTTTTCTTATTGGCTCAATTTGATAAAATAAATATAATTTGACTAGTTATACAAATGTAATTAGCTTTCAGCACACCTGTTAAAGGATACTCTATAGTTAGTATAGATTTTATTGACATCTGACAATATTTGCCCTTGAATACTGAGGTACTAATAAAGAAATCAAGTATATACCATAATAACTAAGTGTGTAGGTGTATTTCTGGTAAACTGGTCGAATTCTATGCAATTGATTTGAATGTCCACTCAACACATCTGGGTGTTATTATTGAGCTAAAAGGTAAATCTTTATTCTAGTATTTTTTGCTCTTTAGTAATGAGAGTAAATCATTGAACCAGGAGAAAACCACCAGATTACGCTCTTTGCATTTACAGTTTTGGGTACAAATAATTTTTGGACCACTTCTTTTTAGATACAAATACTTTCGTGTATGGTCAGAAACTTCATATCTATCTATTATTCTGGCTCTTTGGGGCTTAAAAGGAACCAGATCTCATTGAACTAGGTAAAAATAGAGAAAAAAGTATTGAATTGATATTTTGGTCAGTGATGGCTTTATTCGCATAAAGACAGATTGTCATCCCACAAACAAATAAACATGTAAAACCCAATGAAATAAACATTTTTTTTTAGAACCCAAAGAAGTTTAGCCATTTTAAGCCTTTAATGAAAGGAGGATAAGCTTAATTATACCACAGTATATATCACAGTAATTCTTTTATATTTTGCCTATATTTGAGAGCCATTTTTATTTCTGACTATTCTGTGATATGTTTAGTTGACTTGATTGTGATGAAATAGAATATTATTGTAATAAACATCATTCATCAAACATTATAAATATTATTGATTTTGTCTAATCTTCTCTATTTTGTCGGTGTTAATTTTAAATGTCAGTCAGTACAGAGCTTCTCGTAGGTCAATAAACATCAATATTTGTGTATGTCACAGATATGTAAATTATTGATGCCAAATATTGCCCTCCATTAGACTGTAGCAAATTTAAACATGATTTACTCTGCCCTAGGCCAGATGATAATCGGTAACTAAGCATCGACTAACCCATGTAAATATCTTTTGTGTTTCTTCATCTTATATTTTAAGACTGAAATCTCTTAGAGGAGCCGCTTCAAATCAAAACAACAGCCAAAGTCGATCGTAAAGTTTAAGTCTTGTATAAACCGTATATTGACCTTCACTACTTACAATGTATCCAAAACAATTATCTTCAACATTTGCTTGCCCGCGTCTGCACCATTATACTCGATATTGATTGATTTGGTTGGTTTATCTGAATACACACAATCATGTTCTCTCTAAGAACTCTACCATCACTGGCGGCATTTTAGTTTTTCTTTGAATCGCTTACTTTTTTTCCTGTCGTTAATGGTTATGAAGTATTCCAGGGACAGTATTGAACCATTATTGGCTTTTTGTGTTTCCGTAGTCAAATTGGTTGAAAGGTTTGACTCCAAGTGTCGTCTGTTTGGTTGTATTGTTTTCGGATGGCCTGGATAGATGTAGCCGTATATTGTAATGATAATGTACCAGTGATGATTTGGCTTTAATCATTCTTATTGTTTTCTAAGGTCATATTGTGTGGAGCTTGTAATGTAGTTATTATAGATTTTTCTTGGTGTCACCTACAATGGTATTTAAATCAATAAAACAACAGGTTATTTTGTTGACTTAGACTGTTGTCTCTCCTTTCCTCTGTTGACATTATTGACATTTTTTAACTTCTAAACAATCTGTACAACCAAATGTCTTTACCAATTATTCTTATGCCATTCCTTAATCCCAAATTACTCAATGCTTTCGAAAATGTCTCAAAAGGATAAGATTTTTGTCATTTCTTTAAGAATTTGTGAAATCAACATACAGGTTAGAAGAATTTAAAACATGGATGCATATTGAGTTGAGGAAGAAGTTCGTCTGTAAAAAAATTGAACGTATTGACTAGTCGTCTGCTTTTGACAGATGTTTCACATGCTTGTTTCATCATATCTGATAAACAAGTGGGAAATAGATTTGATCAAATCTGGAGGGATTAATAAAAGTATTAATTATTATTCATGGCCTTAATAGTTAAGTGCCATTCTAGTTAGTAGTACCTTATTAACTATATTCATTAATAGTGGTTGGTGGTAATCATGTTCAATAAGCTTGATTACAAGAGTTATCCCCCTTGACACACCAAACCTGACTGATTTGACTTTGTCATATTATATCTCTTATGAAGTCATGTTATAAAATTGATATGATATTAAATCATACAACAATTCTTGATTTAAAAAAAAAATTGATGTCACAGTTTAGTTTGAATGACTTATATTGGTATTTTTATAGGCTAAGGCTATCATGACAGTTTGTTTACATTTTTATGTAGATTACACAACTGTTAAGTTTACCACTAGACTAAACAAACAATGGTTTGCCCCATTAATTTCTGCTCTGTTTGTAAATTTACAGGGGTATGAAAATGCCTTATTAAAAGTTATGGGTAAGACAACTAAAAATAACTGTGTGAGTATCTTGGTCACAAAAAACTAAAAACCCAAATGGTCTCACTGTCAGCTTTGCATGGACACCATGGTAACACACATCAACACCTGAAATCTGTACATGTTAGTGTGTAAATCCTATATTCTTGTCTTTGTATATTGATGTTATCATAATATATCAAATCTATTAAATTTATCAGATTCAATCTTCTATTTCTATAATTCTCTGGATTTATTTGATATGGATTATTTATTTTTGAAATATTTTATCAAAATTTATTGGTTTGTAATAGGTGTATACAATTTTATCAAAATTTAGATATAGATTTTTATTTTACCTTGTAGAAAATGTCTACATAATGTGTGTATTATGTACTGTCACACCCATATTTGCAATAATTCAATCACATCACATGCAATGAAAAACATTTTCATTCAATTTGACATCGATCAATCACAGTCACATTACAGCAATTTACTGACCGACTTAATTCACCCACGGTACAATAGGTAGGATCAGAATATGACTTTGTGCAAGAGATTCAGAATAGTAGAGTTTAAATATGAATGATCTTGCACTTGTCAAACCTGTTTTCTTCCATCCGATTGTACCACAGTGAACAACACAAGCAATCACAGTTTCACGATGTTCACTTGGCACCTTATTTATTTCAGGGTTACGAAGGTTCATTATTGAAAGTTACCAGTAAAAATGGAAAGAATACCTCAGTGAGTATACCTGTCGTAGGCAAAAAAAGCACAGCTTTCACAAAATAATCAATGAAAACTAAATGCCTTCTGCATATTGGCATTCAAAAGAGGAAGATGATCATCTTCATCAAGTGATTTATATTTCCTTTAGAAATCGTAACTAGGTTTTAGACATGGAGGAAATATCTTGTGCCACATTTCAATACATCACACTTGAACTGAACAGTTAGTTAATCATTCTCTCTCATGTTCATTGATTTGCGCTCGAAATCCGCGTTAGAAGTTCCTGGAGGCAAACGAGAATTACAACAAAAAGATATAAATTGTGAACTTCTTACCCTCTTTTACATGCACCTAACTAATGGTTCATGTTGCGAGGAAAGGCATTTTTCTGAAAGATTGACTCATGAATTCCATCATGCTTGATTATTTCGAAAGAACAAAAACTGTTTGAGTAATTTTATTCATGGTGACCTATAACATCAAAGGGTTTTTGGAGTTAGTTTGTTATTACAATATAATTCAATAAAAGAATTTTGTTTAAAGCTGTGTTTTTTTGGATGATGTTTTTATATTTATTTATTACTGTATGTTATATGTTCCCTGTAGATAGATCAAATGAATGAATGTTTATCACACAGAGCACTGTAAGCATGGTGCATTTTGTCAGATTTCAATCCAATGAATGGGTGTAAGGATGTAGGTTACTTATCTTTAATTAGTGAAAAGCAATTACCACATACTGTATGAAACCTATTATGTATATGTTCCAGAAATTGACAGTGCATTAACTGTAGGCCTATTCAGTTTCCTCATTGACTGGTATGTCATATAGACCGGAGGCTCAGTGTGGGTGTGTGGCCGGGGGGTAGGGTAATCAAATGAACACAAAACCAGACCCAACTTTTGTAGAGTAAAATTTTGCGTAGAATACAATGCCGAGTGGTAACCAGTCCGCCGTTGGGCGTTTTTGAGATATTTGAGGTCATTCTTGTATCATGAAAACATGATGAAAATGATGGAAAGTAATCACCCCTTCAATAAAGATGTAAACTTGCTAAATTCACATTTCTTGTTTGTGAACCCAGAGGTCAAAATGTCAAATTTTCCGTTATTGCACTCGGAAGATTTCTAAATGAACCTTTTGAGAAATTGAGCTGATAGTGCTGAAAGTTTTGAGAAATCTATTGTGATCCAATCCCATTTCAAAGCAGAATTTTAAATTTACCGTGCCAGCTGGCTTTTATTTGCCAATCATATATTCTAATATGATAACACAAATTTATTAATTTATTCCTTATATCCATCAAATTTCTAATTCTCAATCAGTATATATATATATATATATATATATATATATTCATTGGTAATTAATGTAAAAGATCTGAATATTTATTAGTAAAGCAAATTAGGAAAACAAAAATGACATTATGTACCTTTCAGAAAAACAGAATTATAAATGAAAACCGCAATTTCTTCTTTGAAATGGATTTCTTTGCTTTCAAAAACTCAGCATGCTTTGATCAATTATTCATATAGTTTTCTTTTTCTTTCAAGTTTCTAATTATTTTTTTTTTTCAGCCAGTAGGATTTGTAACCTTTATCTCAAGGTTAGCAGCTGAAACTGCCAAGCAGGATTTACAGGTATACTTAAACATGAACGAAATTTGTATGTTATTATTTACATGTTTTAATGTGTTTATTAATATCTATATTAATTTACAACATCCTCTAATCACCAGTATAATAAATGTTTCAAATGCCTAGAGTTTTCCTAGTGCAAGTAGAACATGAAAGCTTGTCATCACCTGACAATCAAGATTTCCTTTGATGAGGAATAGACCAGCCCAAGGGGGACCTCCACTTTATCTACTTTGTGTTTCTACTAAATGAAAGCCTATTTAATCTGTTTATATACAAGCAGGTATCCCCTTTATAACTTTATGTTATACATGGTATTCCCTCAAGACTTTGAATTAAAGATTTTTTTCTCAATGTGATATTTGAGTGTTTTGTTAATATCATATTATATATGTTAACATGATAATCTGTATGGCATTTAGAATCAAAATTATTAAAATTTTATAAAGCAAATCAATGATATTGGTTGGACAATCAAACCATTGATCCATACAGACTTGATCTCATATATATGATATGTTCTGTACATGATTAGTTCATGATCCCTGTCATGCTGTCACATACATCAGTAAGAATCATGGACGTGGATTTAGGGGGGATGAGGGAACATGTCCCCCCCCCCACCCCCTAGAATCTGAAGGGGGGGATGAGGGAACATCTTAATTGACCGATCGCAGCTGTCAATCAAAATAATAAATCAAACTATCAAAAAATGCCTTCCCTTCTTCGCGAGCTGGCTATATTTCATGATCTACGAATATAAGCAGGTAAATTTGTTAACTTCTACGCAAAAGTACCTGGGACATCCTTCAGCACTCTGCGCTGTATCAAAAGTTGCCCCCACAAATCCACACCCTTGGTAAGAGTCATACGTTAAACACATGTTGTCTCAGTCCAACAAATATCAAATTTAAAAAGAAAAATTACTTGTGCTTCAAAAGTCTGTACTAACTAGATCATCAGATATAATGTTGGACTAGATGATTAGTCTATTTGTGATGGAATGATTGTTGACCAAACGTCTGTAGAGATTCTCACAATTTTTGTCTAGAATTATAATTACTGGTAAATAGGCAAAAATGACATGATTTGGAAAGGAAACCTAATCTGGTTTTTATTGTAACTGTAGATGTATATAAGAGCTTTGTTTTCTTTCCTCTGCCAATAATCCCCTTATAATTAGACACAGAATACATGTTTGCAGTTTTCTCTGTGTGTAATGGACCTTGGATTAAAAGAATACCTTGATTTATAACTGAAAATTGACTACAAATTCTAGAATCCAAAGCTCATATTAACCCTTGGAGCTATCACAATCTGTGGATCCAGATATTTGAGGCTTAAATAGTTACACATAGTGGGTTTACTAAGTTGTCATGAACCTTCTGGCAGTATGAGAGAATTATACTCTTTTCTATATCACAATATAGAACATTTAAGCTTCTAGTTCCGGTACTAAATTGTCTAAAGGTTTAATAATACACTAACATAGCATATAACTAATTCTGTTGGATTTCTCTTTGTTTCAATATCTTATATTTTTTTATAGGGTGTACGATTTGACCCAGACTTACCCCAGACATTGAGGTTAGAGTTTGCTAAAAGCAATACAAAAGTTACCAAACCCAAACAGCAGTCTCCTCAGCCTGCCGCTACACACCCGACAATTATCCATCCTTTAACAGGGCGTAAGTGCTGTGTTTATCTGTTTTATATTACAGTTGTCTAGGTTATCATCAAACTAAGACAGAAACAGACCAGGCTAAATTTCAAAACTATTTTGTTTGCAGTGCTTCAAAACTATATTGAAACTTTGGTAGTCTCGGAATCAGTCCTGATCAGTCAAAAAAGGATGTCAATTTTGCTGAGATAGATCATTGTCATCTTTATTAAAGGTTTTATCACAAAACACATCTGAGCAGTACCACATAATGGGGTCATAAAAAATTCGATTGACAGGAATTGTAATATTACTTGATAGTAAACCCACTTATATTAAAGAGGAAAACCTGCTTCTATTAAAACGGCAACAAGTCGATGCAGTTTACAGCAATTTATCTTCATTTATCAGCCTTTAATCATACTAATTGTTGAATATGTATATTAATTTAGAAATTTTACGGCACTTAAAATATTATTGAATAATGCCCATTTATTTTCTCGCAACAACATCACTTCTGTAAACAAATAGTCAACCAATTTAAGAATTGGAATTTTCAAATGTATTTGAAAATTGTGAAGATTTGTAGACTGTAATATAGAATATTTTAACTCCATGCAAAGACTGACCGTGATTGGTTTGGTTTATATAAATTAAAGAAAAACATTGCTACTTTAAAAAATCAACAAAATGAATTGGAAGAATGATTTTAACATTGGTCTGTCTCTGTTTTTTTTTTGTTTTTTTTAAATTGTTTGGTTAGGTTATATAATTAGGATTGTTTGAATCATCTAGATATTTTCTATGACAATAACTCTCCATGTAGTATATCTATATAGATAGAATCTAGTTTTTTTTTTAAAATAATCTACGACACACAGTATAAGTTTATTTATTTTTAATATAACAATATTTTACCACTGCATGTTGCCCAACTATATCATATTCTTCTTATATCTCGGTGATGGAGGCACCAGCTTCAAGCTTCTTTTCTAATGTATTTCTTTGTTTATCATTGATTTCTCCGAATTGAGCAGTGATGACCAGATCTGAAACAGTCTTAACAAAATAATGCAAAGTTACTTTTGGAGACCTGAGCTTGATCTATGATCTATTTTCTGAGATTGATGATATAATCTTTAAAGTTATATTCTAAATTGTATATGAATTAAAATCAAGATGTATGTTCTGCTTTAATTATATTATATTTAAAGTGTCAGTATTTAAATATGTTATTATTATCTTAACACTCACAAATTAGTGTACTCACGTGTGCGTGTCTTTTTCTTCCTTCACTTGCAGAAGAGCTATGTCCCGCCATCTTCCCAAGCTGTCCGGAGGGCTGGACCCCCCACCCCCTGGCCACATATCCGGAGTTGACTCACACCGCTGCCCTGCATCACACAGCACTGTTGCAGCACCCAGCCCTAACACAGCTCCCGGTACGGGTTAGTTTTGTCTTTCAGTCATTATTGCACTGTGCCAATGTAATTTGCAATTCAATAATTATTTTTGGCTGATATAAATCAATTAACAATTTTTTTTCTAGTACTAAAATATACTTTTTAAATGTGATTTTTATCATTAGAAATAAAGGAATTACATTCTTTACAAGTAATCACACAAAATTTCAATTACTCAAGTAATATTTTTCTTCTTTTGATCATCAACATGTACAGTTTAAGGTAATTGGCAATTTCAGTTACATACAATGTAATTTTTGCACATGAAATTTGTTAAATGCACAATGTTAAACAATGTTTTGTTAATTATTCTTGATTATGCACATAAATTAAACTAACAGTATTGTTATTTGTTTATGAAGTTTGCTAATAATTGTTCGTACAGTGCAAAAATGACATTTCAATCCATATATTTCCTTCTAGTGCTATTTATAAATGTCTGGAAATAAATGGATTGGTTAAAATTTTTTAAATGAATTGTTTAACAATTGTTTATTATTATTATACATGTCTTTTATTTATTAACACTGTTTATGAACACAATTTTTTCATGTTTAACTTGAATTTGTTACTACTAAAAGAAATTATTAGTTTATTCCACAGAAGCTTATTATCATGATGTAAAGTCAAAATTAATGTCAATGACATCCCGATTAATAATTGTGAAAAAAAAAAGTTTAAATTTTGTAACTTGAGTCAAATGTAATTTATAAGAAATCGATAGATAAACAATTATCTCCTGTTTCGTTCCATTGCTGTGTTATTTCCATGGTTTCTATGTTTGAAATTTTTTGCAGCGAGCATGGGATGGGCGTGTAGTATCACCCAGCAATCAATTTGTGGTACGACATGATTTATTACTTAATCATTGACAAATTATTATTGTAGTTCACAAACAGTGTTATAGCGTGTACTTTGTGTTTATTTGTTTTTTTTTCTTTTCTATGACGATGTTTGCCTCAAGTGCATTTGTTGTCCTGATATGCATGGACATGACTAAACCGCGTACATATGTACATCACAGACATAGCTCTGGTGACATTTTACATGACTCATCCACCAGGAATTAAAATAAATTGGTTAGAAACGAACTCAAATGATTCCGATTTAATTGTAATACTTGAATCTATAACCCATTTAAAGGTTTGCTTAATGTACGTGTATTGAAGATCAAAACAACATATTATTTTAAAATTCCCATCAATACATGGATAAAAAGTGAGTTATTGGCTTGATCATTGAAAGAACAGACCCGACAGTCGATGCTAACTCTTGACAGTAATTATTAAGATTTAAATCTTTCGTGAAGAAAATACCATGTTTTGAACAAAAGGCAAAGTCTATTTACTCTCTATGTTCTGGATTCTATTAACAGACGATTTTGTTTACATATTTATCTCTTAAAGGAATATTTTTGCTGATTGAAACTTTGAATGTCATCCTAATCTAGATTTTTAACATAAAATCTTGGATGAATCTCAAATTTCCTTTTATTGCATAACCCGCATTCAATAATATCTCGGCAAACTTTTCCTTACAAAATAGATAAATTTTTAATGGAAAAGATAATTATTCTATGAATTTTTAATCATTTCAGATCCAACCCACGGCGCTTATTGGCCCCCCAGCTACTATGGGTATCCCACACCCATCATACGCCACTACCCCCGTCTTAGCTAGTCCCACTACCATGAATGCAATGACCACTACCACCAATTTGATGACCTCCCATAATATGCCCTGCTCAACATTATTTGTTGCTAATTTGGGGCAGTTTTGTTCAGAACAAGAATTAAAGGATTTATTTGGAACGTAAGTTAGTTTGAATCTCTGGACTATGTTAAGATTGATCAGTTATTGTATTAATGATTATTACAGTTATGGTATTTTATATTCATAATAAAACAGCGAATGGGTAAATAGTAGAATTACATGGATCTTGTAGTGATATCTACATCAACTGAATAAAAAAACTACTGCATAATAAAAATAGAGATATCTATATCAACTAATTAAAAATATAAATCTATAGGCCTTGTAGGCATACCTACATGAACTGATTAAAAATACAAATCCATAGACTTTGTAAACATTATCAACTTAATAAAAATACATCCTTGTGTCTTGTACTGATATCTATATCAACAGGGTAAAAATACAATTTATACATTCAAATGAAGTTTGGATAGTGTATGTATTGAGGCTATCTTGTGGTATTTGTAAATTTAAGATCACTCTTATGGCAATATTTATTAAAATAAATGCTATAATTGTATAAAATATCTTGCCTTCAATAAAAAGACTAATATTGAGTCATCAACTGTATTCAACAAAAAGATAAAACAAATTTAACTCTTTGGGTAATTACATGATTTTATGTGTGTTTTATGATTTTATAGCATCAATTTGGATTGTTATACAACTCTTGTTTCTCGTGTTGCACTTAAAGGAGAAAAAACAGATTTACTTGTGTATTTCATTCAATTTTTTTAACCAATAAATTTAATATTGATTTCCATTTCCAAAAGATATTTTTTTTTTAATTTCGCTACTGTGAATTTGGTGCCAATGTTTACATGAGTGTTTGACCTTGAAATCCAGGGCACTAGGTTGATACTAGAAATTACACTGTGTGCTTACTGTAATTTAGACTTTGTAAAATTAATTCTGATGGTTTTATTTTTATATCTTAATCTAGGTTCCAGGGTTTCTGTAGATTACGTATGCATAATAAAGGTGGTTCTCCAGTAGCCTTCGTAGAATTCCAGGTAAATATTTTGCTGAATTGCCGCGAACTCAGACAACATTAATCAATAACAAGATCATTCCAGTGAACTGGAAAAAAGCAAATTTTATGGGATTACTACCAGTTGCATTCTGAGAATATTGGAAAGCAAAAACTCTATTGACTTAAAGCTAATCTCTCTGTGTTCAGCAGTGTATTTCTGTTGCAACATTCATCTTCATAAACTGGGATTAACCATCATATACATAGAATATTTTACAAAAGTTTGGTTTGTTATGAGAAATATTAGCTAATGATAGCTAGTGTTTTAATTTATATTCATAGTTTAATGCATGGGTAGAATTCAGTCACATATGCATCAAATATAATACTTCAGGTATATTTTAACCCCAATTACTAGAGTATTGATGCAAGTAAAACTAACAACCAAATATAGGCAATGTGTGATTTAGTGTACAAAGTGTGCTGCTCAGTGACTCTGTGGATACATTGTATGGAGGTTCTTGACATGATTGAGCCTCATTTACTTTGATTTATCCTCCCTTGATGTGTCTCGGGTCTTGGAGGTAAAATGAAGCCTGACAGTAAATCAAGTTTATTTAATAGAATAAGGTAATATGCGATTCCAGGTACTGTAGGGCCTACCCAATTGCCATTTCTATGAAACCTGTAAGTTTGAGATTTTTGTTGGTTAGAGTGATGAAGCTGATGAACTGAAATTTTATAAGTGCCATAAATCACCCATGAATATAACATGACTTGATAATATATAAAAGTCTCTAGGCAGTGAAGGACCTCAAACTAGAGATCAGACATTGTGATGTGCACAATTTAAAACCTGGCTTTATGGTCAGAATCATCAAGACAAGGTTGTACCCAGATAACATGACACTAATTTTATGTCATCCTGAAGACATATTCCCAAATTTTCTCTGGTTGCAAACTATATCTTGTAACAACTTTCTCTCCAGGAAAAAATTACAGCAAATTAAATATTAATGGGCTTGATAAGGCCTTTCATATTATAATCAATTTCGTACATGTTACTTTCTTTGTAACCTAATTCTTGCAAATTCTTTTATATAAGTTTAAACATTCAAAACTTTCCATACAATGCAATAAGAACATTTATTTTTCAGGATTTAAGAACAGCAACAGAAGCCATGGCAAGACTTCAAGGCTTTATGCTCCTTTCATCTGATAGAGGGGGTATACGCATAGAGTACGCAAGAAATAAAATGGGAGAAGCGGTAAGTATATTTATTAATTTCTTAAATATGCCAGTCGGAGCTTATCAATGTTTATTGTAATCCATTAGAATAAGTATTTGTTTATGTGCATGATAGATCTATAATATACTTATAATAGAGGGAACTACACAAACTGGTATTTGGGCATTTTCTGACATAAAATCATCTATTTTCGTTTTGAACACAGCTTACGAGTACTGATAGGCTATCATGCTTAAGTCTGTTTTTCAATCGAAGCCTTGGGCTAAAAAACAACATTCTTTCGCTCAAATAGTGTTTACTGCTGTCACTATCTATATTCCTTTTGGCACATTAAAATTTGTGGTGAAGGTATTATAATATGTATCAATAAGTTAAAATTTTTGAGTGGCTTGATTTTTTTAAACAAAGGCTATGGTCCTTAATGTCCTATTTTTTTGACAGTTAACCTTAGAATCCTGTTTTATTTACTTCGTGGGGTAGTTAGGGCTTAGCTCAGTTTTATCTTAAATTGTGCTTGGAAAAATAAGAAGGGACATAACTCTATAAATAATTTGATTGTTCTGTATAAATAAGTTAGGTATTCTTGCTTTGAAAATATCTAAATTTTCAACTGGTTATGTTTTTTAAACTTGAATTTTTAGGTTCATGATTATGATTCTGAATCTATATATGGTATGATATGTTTTGAATGTTTTTAGAAATATTTAATCCATTTTGAAAATCAAAATAATACACTCTAACCGTACTTTTTCTACTATGATGTTTATACTAATATTTTTCAATAAAGTTATTATTATGATCTATATATCGAAACTAATATTTTGATATTTTCATGCTGTGTTTTAAAACTTTTTTGTAATGTTTTATGTTGACTCCCAAGAAATTTTATATAAAAGAAGAAAGTTATGTCTTTAATGCAACCTAAACACAAATCGCACATCCTTTAATTCAGATGCAATAAAATAATAATGTTGATGATCTTTATTTGCATTTTTCAGAAAATGTCTAATATTTTATGGCTCAATTAATGCTAAAATTTACTCCAAATGTTGACTTATAAACCTACCATAGATTCAACTACAATATTGTAGATTGCAAGGATGGCAAAATCCATGAAAATGACATTCAGAGACATTCAAATGAGAAAGAAAATATGATTGAATCTGGATTTTGTAAGAAATTTGAGTAAAGGCTGTATGTCAATTAGGACTTAATTAATATTCTGAGCAATGATGTAATTATAATATGATGACAATCTTGCTGCTTTTTAGTTAAGATCTCAAATTTGGCTATTTAATGAACATTTTTTTTTTTAAAAAAAGGGTCAAAATTACACTAGGGTGCATTAATCTCAATTTATGTTGACCTCCACATTAATTTCCATGACATATTGCTGTTTTAAAGTATTAAGTCTTCAAAGTTGTCAGATATTTTCAAAACAGTACACAGTAATTCAGATTTTCATACAAATGAACCAATTAATTTTGTTTTCTTTTACTGTAATTGTTATTGGTACTTGTATTAACTCATCTGTCATTGATATTATATAAAATCATTATTAACTAAATGAATTTGGAAATTGTTTTAGATGTATCAAATGGCGTTGCCCCAATCTTTATAGCTGTGACATCAGGAATCTAATACAGGACGAGCAAATATTTATCTGTCTTAAGGTAAAACACCTCTTTTAAATAGTGAACTCATCCATTTTTATTAAACTCTTATCTGTATAGCTAATCATTTTATTTACTAAGTATCACTTGAGGGGTGTTTTGTTTTATGACAGTCACATATTTTTTCAGACTCAATTATCCCTCCTTTTCGTCTTGTATCTCTGGATTATATCACTAACAAATTTTCTATCAAAATGTTATGCTACTTAATCATATTGCCCTATTTGCATGCATTTTAGTTTTTAAAATAACTGGGGGAAAAAGCCATCAAAATTTTTAAAAATCTACTTTGGAAATAATTCACCCACCACTTAAAATGTCAGGAACTAATTCAGTCCTGGTCTCACACTTTGGCTTTTCAGTTTATCTTATTTTGCACCAATTTTCTTATTTTGTGTGTTATTAAATGCCTAAATGTAGTTGTATACCATTACTGTCATTACCTGTGTCACAACAGGCTAAATTGAGTTCAAATTTATACACTGTGTTTTCTATTCATGAGGCAAAAATCCTTTTGATTTTTGGTGATTTGACCACTTAGAAAAGTCTTGTAAATGCTTCCGTTACCTACAAAAGAATAAAACTGTGACAACTTTAATGGACTGGCATAAAATAAGTATGTCCAGAATGACTGCAATTGTGCTAATTTTAATCACTACTTACATATATTTTTCATGCTAACCATGAGAATGTTTCAATACAAATACATAACAATAATACACACTATAACCAAATTTGAAAAATTTTTCAGGTTTATAATTTATTTTATTTCATTTTTCTATAGCAAGATGCATATGTTCCTCCTTTTTGGTATGAGTTAGATTCTAGCACTGTAGCATAAAAATAAATATTTGACTGTTTAGATAATTAGTTGTATGTACATTGCCATTTGATTGAATATTTCACAGATCACTTTGTCAAATAATCAGTTAAATATCATTCAGTAATTTAATAGCATGTCAAATAAAAAAATTCGAATTTCCTGTTAACTTAATTTCTGATTGCTTTTAACATCTAAAATCACAATTGTTCATGTGCGAATGCAGATGTATACAGGCATATTTCAAATATTTGTTATTTAGCTAAAAAATCTTCTAGGGGAAAAGTCCCAGGAACACCATATGGGTTTGCTACACTGCCCCCCCCCCCCCACACACACACAAACAAACAAACAAACAAATGAGTTTCATCTGACAGGTCCAGTACAAGATGTGTTTATATAAATATGGTTGCAATTTGCATGATTACATATTTATATCATTTAACTAATGATTTGTCTTTTTTTTATTTTCAGGGTAGAAAAGATGAATTCCCAATTATTCATTCTCCAGTGGCCATGGCATTCTAAACAAAAACAAAGTACATGTCAAGTAACAATATATTGTATTGTGATATGAAAACAATCAAGATTTTATAAAAATCATGAATTAAGTTTATTGCGATATAATTAATATATTATAAGTATATATATGTGATTTATTATAAATGTATAGGTATATCTTATTTCATGAATGAATGCAAAAAATATTGATTTTCGTTGTTTTTTTTAGTACATGAATAATGCTTGAATTATTCCAAGATACACAACTGAAACATGGTTCTGAGAAATCCATTTGTAATATTGTTCTGTTCAAATATGTAATTTATATATATATATATATATCTGTTGTATGTTTGTTAAATTTTTTTGGTCCAGTTATCCTCTGAAATCTTTCAATCCATTATTGTATATTTCTTTTTTTTCTTATATATAAAAGTTTATTAATAAGTATACTGTATTTACAAATAATGTACAGGAATATGTTATGGGAAGTGTCATCGAAACCAATTCTTCGCTTTCTTTGCAAAATTCTTGTTGATGCGGACTCCCCTCTTCATCCTTTTATGGCAGGCTGGTGTTACATAATTAGTGCTCTCGGCAGAATTATGAAAAAATATTAGAAGACAACCCCCCAAATTTTAATTTTGTTATCTGGAGGCTCTATAGTTTCAACTTCAAATAAATTTAGATTTCTGGGCATGACCATCCTATACAACATTTACTCTTTTTATTATCCTGAGGTGTTGTTTTAAGAGAATTTAATACAACACAAAAACGTGATATAAACATCAGTGTCTTAACTGACAATTTTTTAAGTTCAAAATATTATACAAATAGCTTAAAGTAAGAAAATGTTTATTAACCCAAGTCTGGTAAAATTCATAAAACATTGTTAAAAATAAAACATTTTTTTACAATACAAACATTCATAGATATAAAAAAGATAACCCAAACAACGCCTAGATCAAGGGAGGATACACTTCAGCTTCAGGAATTTTCTGGTGTCTATTTAAAACAAAATTTCCGTCCAAGAAAATGTACATATCGGAGTTTAAGTGTCATCGAAATCTTGACTTGACATCTTTACTTGTGCCGTTTTCAATCATGGTGTATTAAATATGACACAAAGTTAGATTGGTTTTACCAAACTGTTGGTTATTTTGTGTAATTTGTAGAACTAGTGTAAATTATTAGTGTTTGATTTCCATTGTAGGAAATTATTATTTTTTGTTAAATTATTAATTTAAGAAAATTTGATATGTGTTCTCAATATTTATCCACTTTGATCATAGCTATTGTTTGAAACTTTATACTATTTATTGTATTATGTGTTCAAAGAGTCCGATTATATGTAGGCTTACAGGTTAATATTCTGTGCGAAGTTTTTATACTGCCCTTCCTGGTACATGTATTTCAACAAATAGTCTTTAGATATGCATTTAATGTCAGTTATTTGTAAAACAATAGTGGGTAAAATTCAGTTAAGACATCACTCTAAAAAGCTTTCCTCATGAACAATATTTCTCTGTAGCGAAGACCATGAAAAAGATATGTACATTAAGTGTGTAAGTGTTGTTATGTTTTATGATATAGTTAAAAATAAAAAGAAAGATTCTATTTTATGTATATAGACCAGTTTAATTGTGTTACCATTGGTTGCGAGGTTTCACCAATCAACGACTTTGTACAGTCCTTAACATTCCAAAATAGTAGGTTCATTATTTCTGTTATATTTTGTTGCAAATGTGTTTGATAAATTATTTATTATTTTCGTCAGAAAGTTTCTGCTGATCAAGCTTGATAACTGGATGACGTAGCATTATATTATCATAATAATTATGTAAAATTATTTTCAATTGTTGGCCCGTATGCACTAAGTTATATTTTATGTCATTCTTACGAAAATCAAAATTATCGTCATTAATTCTAGTGTCATATATTAAATCTATTAATAATTGAAAAACAAAAAGTAACTCTTAAAGAAGACCTACATAACCAAATTTTTGATTCCTTGTAATAATCTATAGATGTATATATTTAATTATTATTGATTATAAACTTACATATACATACAGGTCGGCCCTGTCGACTTGGCAATATTTATTCCAATATGGATGTTATATTATTATAATTATTGTATTATTATTATTATTATTATGAAGTGCTCTAATTTATCTTTTCTGTTAATGGACCGGAATTCCAGTTTCATATAATCAAAATACAGGTGCAAAGTCTTGTTTAAATTTCTAAGATTTTTGCCTGGCTTATACTAGCCATTGTTAACTAGCTAGACTCGAAATCTTATTTCATTTTTCTCATTTTTTTTCTCTCATTTTTTGTTTGTTTGGAAGTAGACTCATGGAATGCTGAATTCTTATTTATTTTGTATTGTTGGCTATGAACAAAACTTGGTGAATTTTGTGTGTTACTGTGCAACTGTTACATTTGAACGAGAAATGTGTTTCATCATGTTAGCCTGGGGCTTATATATATATATACATATTATATATATTGCTATTCTTATAAATAGGTTATTATCTTATATAAGTTAACTTATATACCTTTCTATGTATCTTTCATAATTTGTTTCATTGTTTTTCTTACATTAGAATATGATCGGTTATGGTATACAGAACCATTGTTATAGGTTCTGTTCTACACTGGTTACCACTGTACGGAAAACATTTATTTGTTTTTTTTTAGTAAAAAGTTGATGTCTCTTGTTAGAAGCTAGTCCATATATTTTGATTTGTCCTGAATTTTAAGGGAATTGTCTCTAAATACAATGAATATAATAATGCCTTGATTTAACAAACAAAAAATATGGTTGTGATGGATATAAGGTAAAAAGAAAAGAAAAAAAAAACTTTACCTCAGAAAATTAGCTATGTTTATTCTTATATCTTTTTTTTAAAAATATATAACATCTCCCCCCCCCCTCCCCCAAATAGGGCGTGTAAATAAAATTACAAGGCTTTCATAAACACTCTAGTTTGCTGCTTAAGCCTACTTTTGAGAAGAGGGTTGGAATTTAAATGACTACCAGATGATCAATCTTAGGTACAGTGAAAATTCTCTGGTGACACGAGTTTCTTAAGATAGTTCTTCAATCTTGGGAAGTAGCTTAGTTCAGTAAACCTTCCTCTTACCAGCTTAAGATGTTGTCACTTGAAATTTGGCATTGTTTTCATGTAGTTAGCCAAGTCTTTGTTAGAACAACTTACATAAATTAATTTTATATATATATATATGGGGCATTTTTCTAAGATGTATATGTATAGATAGAACTATTACTATATTAAATGTTTCTGCTATTTCTTCTCCTTTTTGTGCAATGATCAGGTTTGCTCAAGGACTGAGTGTTTGTAGGATCATGTAATCATGATGTCATCAGCTAATTAGCATAATATTTTGTATGTATGTATATTGGTGCATATATATATATTTATATGTATACAGACAAAAAGAAAATCAACCCACTTATTATTTGTACAGACACAAAAACGGTACTGATATTAAAATTATTAAATAGTTGCATATGCTACTCTAACTGTTGTGTACATAGTTTTGTTTAATGATTTTGGGGGTCAAAGAACTGTGATGTATATAGTAAAACAAAGATTGGAGCTGATGACCTCATGATTACCATTTCTATATAGGGGTCGTTTTTTTTCTAGATAGCTGGCATATTTTTTATCTGGAAGTTATTGTTCTCTACATTTAATAAATTAGTATCTCAATTTCTGCTTTTGTTTGTTTATATATTGCATTTCTAAAATCCTTTGACCAAATAAAAATGTGTGTGAACCCAGCCTATGGGCAAGTGTCCTGCTGTTTCTTAAGCCAAAAAAAAATGTGGGTTTTAAATCATTTTAATTCTCGATGTATTCTTATGTCTATACCTACTCTATATCTATTTCCATTGTTTATTTTCCAGATTAGTTATACTTCCGTGCTGGTAACTAGACGTAACAGGAAATAGAACTTGCCAGATGACCACTAAAATACTATGTAATCGGTCTGTGGTTTGAGTTCCTGCTCTTACCATGTGTGGCTTATCCGCCCATGGATCGAGCTTGGCAGCAACATTTTGTAAAGGGGGTGGGGTGTGCAATAGAAATTTATTGTGAAGTCGCGTGCAACTCCATGTATTGTTCTCAAATTACTCTGAGAAATGTAACATATGGTTTCTGCTCGGGTGATCGCATGTCCGATAGATGACTCAAAATACCAACGAATCTTGATGTCGGGAATTGTTATTATAACGTGTAGGTCTGCAGTCGTGAAAATGCTTAAATTTTTAAAACCTATCTCCTTTCAAATAAGTTCTTTCAGCTTGGCATGTTTGTGTTTCTCGTCCCCCACAACACCTGAACGGACGTGTATGTTGGTATTGAAAGAATACTTTTTGAGCCAAATTCTGTCGCCATATTGGATCAACCGTTAGGTAGATGAAATGAAAACAGTGGCTAACAAAACAGTCCGATCAGAGACAGCTCCTAGAGGAACTACTGTTGGTGGTATTGTCCCCAAGTCCATCGCATCTGATTTTACATGTTTAAGATGCCCGTTCTCACATTTCAATACTCGAGACTTGGGGGCAAATAATCAAGGGGGTGTTTCGAGTAAGAGATGGTTCTTTATAGATTCACCTGGCAAAACCCGATGCAGCCCAGATCGTACTTCAATAAGAAAAACCGTCATTTTTTCTTCAAAGCGTTTATTACATTTCTGTCATACCCAACTACATTTAAGCATATAATCCTACCTGACATGGGTACAAACCATCTCTTTTAAATCGAAGCGATAATAGCTGAATTTTTCCCATCATGCAGTACTGACCTGATACGAGTTGCGCAGGACTAATGCAACGTAATTATGAATGTCTGTATCAATTTTGATAAAAACAACGTTGGATTCACGGTATTGACAATATTTGCAGATAAACGAAAGTTGTTTCATTAGATTGGGCTGCGTGTGTTTAATAGTATAAAATTAACTTATTTTTAAAATTTTACATGCATTAATAAAGAAATTACGCTTGCCAGGTGAAACTAAAGGCACCCAATCGTAGCTAAAAACATGCACATTAGTATATCTCAACGTTTTAGCTACGTTCTCGTAGCTAGGGGGAATCAAAAATGTTCAGACAAACAGACCCAACTTTTCTAGCGTAAATTGGCACGTAGGATTTGATTTCGAGTCCGCCTATTGGGCGTTTTGGATATATTTCGGAGCAAAGGTCAAATGTATCACGAAAACATAATAAAAAGGACTACCAAGCTTTTCCCCGGAAATAAGTACCAATACGGCATATAATGTATAATACAGCCGTAAAATTCATGATGCGGTTTTATTGGTCTAGTGTACTTTTAAACATACTGAAAGATTACCAAAGTAGGACCCCAGGGAAAGTGCTTTTTTTCTCAAGATGGCCACCAAAACCTTTTAATGATCATAACTCTGTAACTATCAAACCAAATTGGATGAACTAGGTGTCTATCCCCAGGTTTTTGGGGGCATACAACACATTAAGATCATAAAAAAATGATGTTGGCCCAGTGGCGGCGCCAGCCGTCGGTGATTGGAGGGGCAAAGCTGAGGCAAAGTCCAACGTTAAGGGGGCAAAGGCACGAGCTTCAACTGATCGATGAGGTAAAGTGTCAAACGAACGGACTTGCGAATCACGACGAAGCCCACTCAAGAGCGTCAAAGAAGGGAGTCCTCCCTCAGAAAATTTTGAAAAATAGACTGCCGGAAATGCTGTTTTACAGTATTCTGTCAGGCACCGGTCGTCGAGATAAATAGATCTGACCAGATACCGTCCGTCGCCTGATCACTAGTTTATCCGACTAGAGAACAGAATGTTAAACGAACGGACTTGCGAACCTCAACGAATTCCCCTTGTGAGCGCCAAAGTAGCGAGTCCATTGGGGACCTCGCCAAGAAAATTTTGAAAAATAGACTGTCGGAAATGCTCTACAACATGCAAGTTTATGACTGAGTGGGGATGTGGGATTTATTCACCGTAGAAGGTATTGATTACCGAAACGTATCAATGGGTTATCCAATAAATAAATACATAAAATAAATTAATGAAAGAAGAATTGAGATTATTCGTGCAACTTTAAGTTCGCATAAAAGACCTAAATATATTTTGTAACTTTTCGGCTAATTCCAGTCTTTTAATTCGGCAAAAGATGAAAGTTAAGGACATTGCATAAAGTTGTGCTTTAGAATAGTGTACTATTAGAAGGACGCGTTGCGATTAAAAGCGTTTACATCCAATTTAGGTATCAAAGTATTAAACTCGGATATCCCAATTAATGATAAGGTGGGATCATTTTGGTATTATATGGGCAAGTGATTAATTCTCCATGTTATGGATCGTATCACCGACAAGAGTCTTGTGATTCTTCATAATAAATTTAATGTTCTTTATAGTCAGTAAATTTCAGAATTTTTCGGGTAGCAGTAGGTCAGCTACTTGCGTAAGCTTTCAAGAAGATAACCAAGCCTAATGCAATAACCAAAATTAAGATAAGACCATTAACGGGCAATATGTGATGCGACTGTTTAAGTTGAAAATATCATCTAACATACAGATCTTTGCTTAGGTTGACCTGTAACAGCGCTTTGAAGAATCTGGAAGTGACGTAATTCAAGGAAAATAGGTTATCTTTACCAACTACATGTATTCAATTGACTGTCACGAGACCAGAAAAGACAAGGAAACGGCCTAGTTTTCATTAATATTTTGCTTGCGTTATAAATGAATAAATGGTGTGCTATAGTGTCCAGCTAAGGGTTCTTTTTTTACGTAGAAGCCATCCGACGAATGAAACGTGAAATAGATGTTAAATGTAATGACATTTTCTAAAATATTAACCATGTACTTGTAGGTACACCACGGAATAAATCGTGGCAAATGTGGGATTTGTGGTGACCCTTATGGTCAACCAGCAGAACACGAGGCTGGTGGAAAATACGCCCCTGGTATTATAGTGGCAATGTACCAACCAGGACAAATTGCTGACATTGGAGTAGAATTAACAGCCAACCACAAGGGTTGGTTTGAATTCAGGGTATGCGTCCACAACGATTTTACTACTCCAGCGACACATGACTGCTTGTATGAAAACCTCTTGAAGTTTGAAGACGGCACAACACGGTAAGGGCGTATATATAATGCCATACGTTTTGTTCAGTGTATTGACCCATCGAAATAATATATTTGTCTGATGTATGTTAAATTGTTTATTATTATATTTTTGTCAAAATGGATAATAATTTTTATATAAAAAAAGATGTTCATATTTTTTTCCGCCAATTGGGATATTTTACAACATACGCGCACGTGTTAAACCACTAGACCACCCAATCCCCATGTATGTTGTTGTATATTGTATATATCGGTACGGGAAATTTGTTTTATAATAGGCCTATATAATAAATTAAATTGTTGTAGTCTATGGGGTGTTTTTTTATCAGACATTTTTGGCAGATAAAATATCCCAATTGGCGGAAAAAAAATATGAACATTTTTTTTATATAAAAATTATTATCCATTTTGACGGAAAAGAATGAAATACAATGTGAGCCCTGATTGCACTTATTCAAATGCGACCTGGAAAACTGAGACTACAGCAGCTTCCGAGGCGAAAAGTCGAAAAGTCGCTAATAGCGTGGTGTGTTAATTTCCTAATTTCTACTTTTCGAGTTGCATTTTGGCTTGGTATGCGTGTTGGCGCCTTCTTACTGACATCAATAAATACAAAAATATGACTAAGTCGAAAGTCGACAAGACGGTATACAAGCCAAAATGCAAGTCGAAAATAAGAAATTAGGAAAAAACGACGTGCGCTATTACCGCTGTGTGTTATTTCTTAATTCCCTATTTTCGAGTTGCATTTTGGCTTGTATAGCGTGTTGGCGCCTTCTTACTGACATCAATAAATACAAAAATATGACTAAGTCGAAAGTCGACAAGACGGTATACAACCCAAAATGCAAGTCGAAAATAAGAAATTAGGAAAAAACGAGGTGCGCTATTATCGCTGTGTGTTATTTCTTAATTTCCTATTTTCGAGTTGATTTTGGCTTGTATACCGTGTTGTCGCCTCACATTTTGTCGTAACTTCTACTTTTCGACTTTTCGACTTTCGCGTTGTGAAGAGGCGAAAAGTAGAAATTATGAATGGTAGTTATAGGCTTCCATAACACTGAGCTTTTTAAAGAGAGAAATCCAACACTCCGTTTGACGTCACTATCTATAACGAATTAATAGGATCACATTGTGATTCAATTTCATTGATGCAAAGCACACAACCGTTAAACTTTTCTGATAAAAAGTGTTGTTTTACAACACCCCCTCCTCCATAACTCCTCACCTCTAGATCCGCCCCTGCCTTGACTATGTGAAAAACTTAACTGTACTTAAATTATGGAATACCCGTAATCGCCAAAAAACATGAATTTCTAACTTATGGAATACCCACCACTACCAAAAATGACGAATTTCTAACTTTGCACAGAAGTTATGTCTCCTTAAGATCACCACTTTCCTTAATCTTTTAGAAATATTTATTTCGCTTCAATTTAATATCATTTAGTCTTTGTGTGTATGGCAGATATGAAACGGAGTATAGAAAGTATATTATTTTTTGGATAGGCTGCCATTTAGAGCAGAGGTCTATTCTCGAAGAAGATAGTTGTCTGTGTGCAGAATGCACTATAATCTATAAAATCTTAGTAGTCATTACTAGGACAATGTTTGTTGAAATATTATATTGTATGAATATAAATTATAATAGTACACATCCTTTGCAGGAACAGTTATGTTCGTAGATTTTTGTAGAAAATTCAATTTTAATAGATTTGAATTGCAGTTATCGAACAGTGGTAGTATTTATTATTTTAAAAATGTATCACAAATATATAACATCTTAGCAGTACGCAGGACCATTTGACTTTAAAGTTAGACTGAACACATCATTCAATGCTGTTTATCAATCTATCATTTGAGAAATTTATAGAAATTCTGTCAGTGCCTATACGTTGATGGTACGAAATATGTAACTTGACTTTATTTTGTACCTGAATAACTATTACCGATTAAAACGCAATAATCATATATTTGTAAATTTATATTCAAACGAAGACAAGAACATGTTGCAAACAATACTACTGCCTTTGAATACCACGTACCCTTACAGACGATATATTCCAATCTATACAATGCCATACGTTTTGTTCAGAGTATTGACCCATGGAAATGGCATATAATTTGTCTAGCTGGTTTATGTTGAATTGATTGCTATTATATTTTTGATATTTATTAATTTTGTTTTAGATATACCATAACTCCAGTATTAGGTATTATGAAATTTAAAGTAAGTATTTCCCAAGTAACATGCACGCAGTGTGTTCTACAATGGAAATATAAAACAGGTATTTAATTATTCTTTCAGTAAATGTCAAGGGTACTAATATTTCTGCATGCAGCCAAGCAGCTAATGAATAATCTCATTTTATTATACACCTGAAATTGTACAAATATCTTCCCGATATCAATAAAGTAATAACTTCCCGATATGTTTTACAAATACCTTTACCATCCCGATATCAATACAATTTACACATAACGTCTTTAAGAATAATAAGTTCTACGAATCTCGTACATTGTAAATTGTATATACACCTTCCAGATACAAGCACCATACACTTTAGAAATAATGTTTGCAAACTATCTTCCAGATTAAATTAGTTATAACCTTCCCGGATATAATAGAAAATTGATTTGTTAATTCATCTCTATGTTTTAATGACATCCTTTAAGATTAATAATGTTCCCATAAAGTGTGTATTCTAAATCAGTCACGTAAGCTACATGAAGCTCTTGTAACGCGTAATGCGGCATACTGATGGGTGTGGATATTTAAGGTTAGATAAGTGTTTATACAAATGAGTTTTATTGTTACAATTTACTTTATGCTACAAGAACAAATAGGTTTTATTGTTACATTTGACATTATGCTACAAGAACAAATTACATTTTACTTTATGCTACAATAACAAATTATTTTACAAACACAAATGAATTAATTGTTACATTTTATTCTGACGGCATTGAGATTATTGTTCAGCTTGAGCCAAGTCGGCGTCGTCGATAATATTGAATGAACTGTTAAAATATATTGTTGGTAAGCATTTTAACCCCCCATTATGTTCAATGAGCTTGACCATGTAGCTTTAATGTTACTATAATTTTATAATAGGAATACACGACTAATACACGCTGTTATTGTCAAGTCCCATGTATTACGATTCAAATTTAACCGTATTTTAGGAAACAGTTGGGGAACTGACCTTAATGGCAGGGGTTGTTTGGGATGCGGTATTCAAGAAGAATTCTATGGGTGTGGAGATGTAGCAATTAGTGAATCAGGGGTTCTGCCTATAACAAGTCCAGTAACTAGCCAGACAACCAGTCAAATAACAAGCCCATCTACTAGCCAGATAACAAGCCCAAAAACCAGTCAGACAACAAGTCCAATAACCAGCCAGACCACAAGCCAGGTAACAAGCCCAACCACGAGCCAGGTAACAAGCCCAACCACGAGCCAGATAACAAGCCCAACAACCAGCCAGATAACAAGCCCAACAACCAGTCAGATAACAAGTCCAACAACTAGTCCGATAACAAGTTCAACAACCAGCCAAACCACGAGCCCGGTAACAAGTCCAACAACCAGCCAGGCAACAAGGCCGACAACCAACCAGATGTCGGATACAATGAGATGTGTGTAAGTTATTGGATTATTTAGCAGCATGCCCCATAACACACACACACACACCCACACACACACTTTCGGGTTCGTTCCTTGGCTAAGAATTGGCATTTTCGTCTGTAATCAGGACCGAGCATTTGCAATTATATGGGAAAACGACTACCCCCTGCACATTGAGCAAACATGAACTCTAAGAATTAGAAAACCAATCAAATTTAGTGTTTCCGTGGCATTTAGTAATTGAACTGGAAATATTAAGGACACAATTCTGTAGAACAGAATTACTACTGATCACTGAGTGACGTTTCGACTAGGTGTCTCTTGTCTGTATCCAGAAAGAGTAACTAAAGTAGCCTAGTTGACACGTAGCTCAGTAATAAACTGTAATTGTATTCAATAGAATTGTGCCCTGTGTACTTAACGAACAACTGCATCTAAAGAGGTCACATTGTGTACGTCTTTTCTCTGTCTGTGAATATGTATTTCAGATACAAATATAACCTTTTGTTTTACAGTGCTTTTGGACCTTGGCTAGGGGTGGCCGGTAAAGATGAATGGTGTGAAACTAACAGTCGGAGTGGTTTCTGTCCCGCAAATTGTTGTACATGCACGGATATGGCGGAAACATGTAGATCTATGGGTATTTCGTTGGAAGTGATATGGACAATTGGTGCATAAACAATTGCTTATTAGGCAATTGTCCGGCTGATCGTTGCAAATGTTGATTTATCTCGTATTTAATTTTAAATGTTGTCTGGACATGGATCTATATGATGATGTAATCATCGCGCAGATAAATGTTATTCTGGGATTGAAAATAAATTATAAACTGTAGGGCATACAGGTATATACAGATATATTCAAATGTGGTTCCTTTAAATATTGAATAATAATATTCACAACTAAATTCGAGAAAATCTCCAGTTATAAGTCATCAAAACTTAATTATTATCTTCAAATCATTGTAGAATCAACCTGGTTGACGAAAGATTTATATTTAAAACGATTGTAGATTATGATACATATAATAAATTAATGAATAATCATTTTAACTTGAATTAAAAGACACTGACAATAAACGTGTATTTGCATTGAAATAAAAAAAGATAACATTTCAGGGGCGGATCCAGAGCCCCCCCCCCCCCCCCCCCCCTGCTCAGCTACATAAATGTTTTTTGGGGGATGGGATGGGCATTCAAAGCGCAAGATAATGATATAGACATAATATGTGATATCACAACTAATGCTTTGCATCAATGAAATTGAATCACAATGTCACCGTATCAATTCATAATAAAAATTGCCCCCACCCCCGCAATCTTTTTTATTTCACCAATTCGCTTGGGCGTAGGGGTCTTTAGCAGTGAGAGGAAACCGGAGGAACCGGGGAAAACCCACGAGGTTGGACAGGCGACCATACTTCTTGCCACGTACAACCGTTGAATCGAAACCACGTCAGTTGACTCAATGGCAGACCTTATGATACAGCGCGAACGTGCTAACCATTCGCCCCCTCCCCACTTTGAATTTGGCGATCTGTATAATATATGTACGGAGGTCATAATGCAGAAATTTCTGAATTTGGCGATCTGTATAATATATTATACAGATCGCCAAATTCAAAAATTTCTGAATTGAGACCGCCAAATTCAGAAATTTCTAAATTGTGACATCTAAATTAAATATAATGAAATATTGAACATTTCCATTATTTCAGAAAAGTGTACCAATTTTCTCCTATATGGTATCAATGTATGTATATCTGGTATCATCAGAATGTAAGTCTGCCGGGTTTCTGGTGGTGGGTGTGGTATTCCACGCCCAAAATGCCATGCCCCCCAACTAGTCTAGATTAGCTCAAAAGTGTACCACATGAAAATCGCACAGCAATGTACCGTACATCTTCAGGTGTTACAAAAATACTCTGACAGATATTTCTAGTGGTGGGGTACCCTTGACAGAGCTATGTAATTTCCAGACATTTGTAGTGATGGAGTATCCCTGACAAAGAGTTATCTAATTTCCAGACCAAAGCTAGGCTAGATTAGCTGAAATCTGTACCACCTAAAACAGCTGATGATACCAGATATACATACATTGATACCATATAGGAGAAAATTGGTACACTTTTCAGCTAGGTTGACCCCCTGGGCTCCCGGTCTAGATCCTTTCGATATTGGCGCGTATCGAACCGTATCTTTCTGATTACGCGGCCCCGGATTGTATACAAAATGTCACGTTTTTAGCTTGTAGACCCTCTCAAAGTCACATTTTTTTATATCTTATTTTCAAAACCATTCATAATTATGGTCGAGTCCGATTTTCCTGAAAATCGGACCGAAACTTCCCGCCAAGCGACCGCCCGAGTTTTAAGCAACTAGTGTAAAAGAATGTAATACCCAGTTTGTGGACCACCAAGAGGCCACAATTTTTATCTGATTTAGATGAAACTTAAAACGAGTATCACTAGTTGTTGGAGGAGTTCAATTTTTGTGCACATTTGTGGACCTTCCTGGGGCGACAATTCTGAACATTCTAGCTCAAAAGTATTTGTGACCCAAACGGATTGGAGGAGAGAGATACTGCCATACATGAAGAAGGACGAACCCATTTCAATTGTCCCTTGCTTTCATCAAAAGGTAGGGGGGGGGGGGGCAATAAGGCCTAAGCTAGTGTTTGTTCCCCCTGAATTCATGATAGCGCCGATTTACAATTGTCGCTTTTCCACTCTTTTGTATTGCATTTTGTGCAAATTCTAGAATTTAAGACTTGGAATTTACATTTTCTGCAGAACAACCATGAAGTACACGTCATGAATTAGGGAAATCAAGTACAAAAATGACCCCACAAACTATAGATTCATTTAAATGCCCATGGAAAAAAAATACAGATGGTCAACCGCCTTCAATATTTTTTAGCAGATTATTGTGTGATATTGGGCTCTTGGTTGTTTTAAAGATTAAGTTCAACAGAATGTTCTGCCCAAGAAATGGTATGGATTTAACATTGAAGTCAATGAGGAGAGAATTACTAGTCAGAGACCAGCAGGAAAAAATGATCTTTACATTATGTATCAAGTACTATTTCTGGAGGAGAAATTCCCAAGTGTATCAGGATGCTCTGTGCTATGCCAGTCTTTAGTAGATACATGTTTATAATTGAACCAACCAAACATATTATATAAGTTTAGTTTTATATATATATACATGTATAATTATACAATATAAGACTATAAAATTACAGTATATAATAAAGGGGGTGGGGGGAAATATTACAACTTCTTAATATATATAATATATACCTCAACCAAGCTTCTAAAGTTAATGGTAAAATATAGAATAATGTATAAAGATAATAAAGGCCACAACATATTACCATTACATCTATATCATTACACATATTAAGTAGAATTTATAATGATTTAAAATAATTCTCTTTAATGTAGCAAAATATATACAGAAATAGTATATAATTTTCTAGTTGTAAATTTGAAAATGAACTTTGACCTGTGGAGTGTTCACAAATAATTATGGATGGATGATGGGGAGGAGGACAATATATATACCCACATTTAATGTGGATGTATTAAAGGTAAATATTTTAAGAGTGCTATATATATATCAATATATGTAATAATAGACTATATGTAAAAATTAAGTTATATTTATAGGTCAAGATGTTAAACCTGTTAACGAATGAAGCATGCTATAAATGACTTGTAACATTGACACCTGCTCAACATGCTTATTGTTATTACACAGAAAACCCACCCCACTTCTCTATATGATTTCTACTAAAACTAGTGTAAACCAGTAAAAGAGTGCAATAAAATTGAACATGTCTAGTTATTGCACGGTTAAGCTCCACCCAATCTTCTACAGGGAAAACAATCGCTTATTCAATGAAAAGAACAAAGGAAGATTTCCCATCCATGTTACAATAATCTTTATAGCATAACACTGAGCACAGACTAAAACGCACTTTCTGTTCCATTTAATATAATAAATACTAATGTATAACTGATTGACCAAAACAGATATTGGGAATGCATTACTGATTTATTTATATCAACTTTTTAGAATTGATTATATTCCTGAAAATTATCATTAACATTAATGTTATTCATATTCATAAATAAAGTTATTACATCATTTGTATCAGGATGAAGCACATTTATATCCACTACATTAAAACACAATCAATGTAAACAAGTCATTTCAGTTATAGGAAAATCCAATCTTTTTTTTGAGAAAAATTTCAGGCAGTAATATGGAATGCAGGGAAGCAATGTCATTGAAAATACCCCATCAAATTTAAAATGTTAAAGAATTATTAAAAAAGCACTCTTAAGATCAATATATAGGAATGATTGAAGAAAAGGTGTAGAATAATAAGATAGATATACATAAATATATATATAGTATGTTAATACAATTTCTCGTCATGCTAAGAGATTCTAAATCTAAATGAGATTTATTTAAATCATGATTTGTTGCCCTTATAAGATGAAGATAGATCTTTTGACCAATTTCTTTTAAAATCTTTTTAATTAATACAGAATATAGACAGACTATGGTATTGTTTTTTAACCAAAATATACTGCACACAGGTACCGCTTTATTGGCAATGCAATTTTTAAATTAATTTCTATTTTCAAAAGCTCAAAGCAATTCATATTCCATACACACTAAATGTGAAGAAAAAATATATTATTCACACTGCCTAAAAAAAGCCAGATTATAAATCTCCATGAATTTGACCATTGGTTAAACATCTAAACAATGAAAAAAATTAAATCTACACATATACAAAAATTGAATTTACTATTAAATTAGGCACTTAAAATAATAACAATATTTACAGGCAGACTATCTATGCTACCATATTTTAAAATTTCCATCTAAGCGTAAAATACAGTATTAAGTCTAGATAATCTATTATTCATGAAAGCATATTAAAATGACCATTATTCAAAACCCCCCAGTTATTTTCTAAAATAAATCTACTGTATAGCCCTTAGTGAGATAAATGTTAAGTAAAAAAAACATTGATAACCACAGCTAACTAGGAATACACTGTCTTTTAAATTCAAATCACCAAGATGATCTCAAGATTGGTCTTTTTAATATTTTCTAGAAAAACTATCTTGGTATTAATTTTAAAAGAACTGCAGTGCAATCCAAACTTAGATGGTTTCTCCAATCTAACACTGTGGTTACCCATGACATTTCTTTGGGATTCAAAAATGCAGTTTATGATACATGGTAGGCATACTGGTATAATTTTAATTGGATTAAGGTATTGGCCAGTAAGTAGTACAATATAAAGGTAAAGGTTATAGGAATCCATATTTATCTTGATATGTTCAATAACTTCAAACTAGTTTCCATAATCCATAAATATATATTGAGTACAATTAATAAAACAAAAAAATGCAATGTGTTAGGTTTTATTATAAATTATGCTTGGACGTTATAATACACCATTTCTATATAATACTATTAAGAAAATCCAAGGTAAATAATATTCATTTGATTGATTTTTGAAACATAAAAACTTTTGATTTAAAACTACCAGAACCGTATATAATTTCACAACAAATATAAGTAACAGAAATCTATAACACTTGATGTATCTGAATATGATTTAGTCTTCCTGTTTGCTTTAACAATAAAAGTGTCCACACACCTTAAAGATACATTATGTAAGATATAGAAAAAGAGCTGACCATTCTTGCTATAGTAGTTTTAATATAGATAATGAAAAACGAATATGTTAAAAAATCTAGTCAAATTACTTTATTCTGGGCAAAATTATGAATGTTTGAAGTTTCAATTGCAAATACCATTGCTATGATAATAGACAAAGTCTCAATTATTATTCTTTCAATCGGCAGTCTCCCTGAGTGGCGTCCATATTAACCTGTAACGAACATACAGTGCACATTGTCTAATCCATTCAATATCTCAGCCATCTAATGGTCAATGGAGTTGATTATAAACTTGTCACATGAATAAATGTCTCGATAATCTATAAAACTCCATTTCATTTATTCTTTCATTTAGGAGTTATGGTAATATATTTTATACATATGTATATTAATACCACTATTCTAAATTCTTTGGAGAAACCTATGGAGAACTGATATGCATATATATATATACTCGTTTGTTTGTCTGTCTGTTTAGGTTTGGTGGCTACATTAGGTCTGTCCCGAGGCTGAAATTTGGGGTATAGGGGTAGCTTGGAGCAGGGAGTAACATACTTCCGGTGGCGATGGACTACCAGTTCCGGTTACAGAGTTATGCTTCCTCTGTTTTATGGCTATACCCGTGCTATGCCAGGTCAACGGCTAGAATCTTATATAACATTTGAAGGCAGAAAAGAGACCTGCAATATGCAGATTAAGCTCTTACATAATACATCTTTAACACATTTTAAACATTGGCTTCATTGTGCAGAAAAGGTACCACATCTGAAATTTATCGAATTGTCTTAGAGTATGAAAATTTATCATCACAGCAATACAGCAAGAATATTTTTTTATGAAATTAAGGTATTCTTTGATAAACTAATATGTAATCTAAATTAGAAATTAACCAAAATATAAAATTACATAATATTATTACAATTTCACTGTAAAGTGCCTTAAATTTAAAAAAAATTATACATTCTTTTCTTGTTCATAATGTAAAACATGTTATTTGCAAACATTTAATAAAGAATTTTGTTTTATTTTTTGTTATCTCCTCTAAAAGTTATAACATAATATGTACATAGTGTAATGGTTAAAAAAACAGAATGACACAGATAGAAATATCTATGCCATTTAATCTTACTATTTTGTTTAAACTTATTATATAATGTATATAAAAAGCCATTTCAGAGAAGAAAAAGCACATTTTTAAATTCAAGATTTCACCAGATAATTTTAGCCAGTGTTCAATTCAGTCCACATTTTTTCAGGGGCTTCAGGAAATAAAATTTTTGAAAGATTTTTGTAATCCCCAATTTTCAAACCTTGTTGAATATTCCAAGATCAACCAGTTTGCTACATGGATGGATGAATTGGATAATCAGCTCTTGGCATCCATGTATCTTGTAGATTTTCAAAAATTGTATTTACCGTTTAAAATTTGTTGTCTCCCTTGATAATTTTTCAAGCACAGTTTTAGTCTTCTGGACATGTAATATAAATACCGGTAAGTACTATTAATGCAATGCTGTCTTTTAACATAACCTATTTTTCTTCCTTAACATCTAATTACAAAAAATCTAGACAACACTTCCTAATCAATACACTGATATCCCATAAATGTTTTGGAAATACTTCACAACCACTTGAGTGGACTGATGGTGCTACCATTTCTGTAGCTTTTAGATTTCTCCATGCAACATTCTGTTAAAAATCTGAAAGCTCATGAATGGTTTAAAAACAAAATGGGAAATTTGAAGTTTCTACCCTCTAGTATGGAAGATATGTATTGTCACGCTCAAATTAAAACTTTCCAGATGGGTATTTTATGGTTCTTATAGCTGCTGAAAGAAGAGACAATATGTATCACATATATTAATGCAATAGTTTCAACAACTACAGTCTGATTGCTGTGGTGTTGTATCTTCTGGAAGTTCAAGTTTTCGATTGCTTTCTTTAGGTGGTGGTGGACTAGGCTGATCTTCTACTTGTGTTTTGTATATATCTAAATAAGCAAAGACAATTCTAATTTTTATTTGAACAATTCCAATAATATATTATAAAAATACAGTTCTTGACAATCAGTATCGAAAATTACACAACCATCAATTAGGAAACATAGTAAATATTTCTGTGAAGTCAAATTCTGTTTGAAAGAAGGTTTCACAAAGACAATTCTTCAGTTACACAGTAATTTATTATTTCTATGATTAAGTGTACAATATACAAATGATAATTTTGAGTTTCCATTTTTCCACTGAAATATAACTGCCAAGGTATCTTTTACCTGCTCTACATTGGGCACTAGATGTCAAAACCTGTAACTGTTGGCCCTGCAGACATTAACCCTGATAAGAGAGAATCTGGGTTGAAAAATCCAGAAGGAAATTCCTTGCCCAATCCTAGGATTTAATCCTGGAAGATTCCAGTTTTGAGTTCAGTGTCCTAACACTCTGTCACTTTGCTTTAATTGATAATATGGAATGGCAATTTACAATCAATGGTTAATTAATTTGAATGATCTGAATTTTGTTACGACTAACTGAACCATCCTAGTCACTAAATATCATTGCAAAAGGTTAAAATTTGATTGACTTCCCTTCTTAGTACGTGTACTTGCTAAACAATCCCAGCAAGTTTGAAATTGAAAATTGGATCTCAAAACTTTAAATTGGTTCAAATTAGGGTGACGAAAATAAACTCCTACTTAAAATATGGGTGGAAGTATAATAATGCATGTTTAGAACTTACCCACTAAAAGATTATTGAAAGCTTCTCCAACATTAGAGGCATCAAGTGCTGATGTTTCAACAAATGAAATTCTTTCTTTTTCTGAAAATTTTGTACAAGCAGATTTAGCTCACATAATATATTGGTACATAAATGTATATCCAATTCTATATAAAGTTGTGTATATTTAGATATACAACATAGATTATTCTGCACTTAAAAATAAGTTTTGCTAATAAAATATGACACTGTTGCCAGACATCTTGATTTGAGAAAAAATATACTTGTTGATTTCAATCATTGGATTTTATAAGTTAATCTGTTTTTTGTAGGATGACACTGATGACAGTCTATCATGGTTGAAGATTGTACATCTATAAATATAACCATTGTTGAGATATAATAGATTTTGTGTTCTGCTGTCCACACAGTAAGCAAAATTTGAAACTAAAGATTGCAAAAAAATGCCCAAACTTTCTAAAGAAAAATTTAAATAATTTATTTTGACCTAAATTAAAAGAGTTTCAGTGCCTTTAAGGAAATTTGAGCGAGAGAGAAGTGGGGTTTAATGTTCACTTGACACAAAGTAGGAAATTTCGGGAATAATACATGGTTCAAATTTTATTTCATTAGTTCGCTTGCGCGTAGGGGTCTTTAGCAGTGGGAGGTAACTAGAGGACCCAGAGAAAACCCACAAGGTTGGACAGGCAACCCTACTCCTTGACACGTACAAGCGCAGAATCAAAACCATGCCACTTGACTCAAAGCCAAAGACATAGCTAATGATGCAACGCATACGCGTTAACCATTCGGCCACCCAACCAACATTTAAGGAAATGAAAGAGAACATTATACAATAACTAATAACAAATTTTACCTGCAAATGCTCTGCCCTCTTCTTGCATAACTTCTTTAAGATGATTTAAATCTGTTTTATTGCCCACTAACATAATATTACAATGAGGATCGGAATGTTCACGTAATTCTTCTAGCCATTTCTGTAAGCTATCAAATGTGTTCTGTTTTGTGATATCATATACAACTAAAGCTCCCACTGCACCTCGATAATATCTGAAATCACATAATAATAATTACCTGTCCTCTTCCATGAACAACCTAGTTCTTTAACATATTTTTTATTATTTCTTTTAACCAAATTTTAGATGCGTACATAATTGGCAAAACAAAGTTTTTTTATAAAAAGTATCAAGCAATCAAACTGATTATCAACTATACACTAAGTTTCATCACTCTCTATCAGATAGAATCAAAGTTATCTTGTCCTAAAGCATTGACCAATGAAATTGCTTAGCTCTGTTTAGCTTTAGCTCGAAATGTTAATCATTGAACTCAGTCAAGACATTCACCTAATCAACATCTACATCAAGTTTAAATATTCTACCTCAATTAAAAGGTCTTAACCAATCAAATTGCTTATTTCTCCTCAGCTTGAGCAGAATATTCTCATCATCGAACTTAGTCAAGGTAATGATATAATGAATCTATACTCGGAGTTTCATCACTTTCACTTAATTATAACTGAAGTTATCGTGTCCCAAAGAATCAACCAATCAAATTGCTTATCTCTGCTTACCCTAAGCAGAAAATTCTCATCTTCGAAATCCATCAAGGCATTCACCTAATAAACACCTACGCCAAATGTGAACATTCTAGCTCAATTAGAATGAAAGTTATTGTGTTCTAAAGTCTCAACCAATCAATTTGCTTATCGACCTGCTTATCCTGTGCAGAAAATGTTCATTATCAAACTTAGTCAAGGTATGGATGTAATAAATCAAAACAATACACCAAATTTCATTACTCTCACTTAATTAGAACTAAAGTTATCGTGTCCCAAAGCATCAACCAATCAAATTGCTTATCTCTGCTTACCCTACACAGAAAACGCTCATCGTTAAACACCATCAAGGCATTGACCTAATAAACACCTACACGAGACAGTAGATTTAGAGACACGATTCTTGCAAGAGCTCATATTCAGGAGCAAGTGTTGATGAGACACTATAATAAGACCAAATTTGAACATTTTAGCTCAATTAGAAGGAGAGTTATTGTGTTCCAAAGTCTTGACCAATCAAATTGCTTATTGCTCTGCTTACCCTGAGCAGAAAATGCTCATTATCGAACTTAGTCAAGGTATTGATGTAATGAAACTATACATCAAGTTTCATCACTCTCACTTAATTAGAACTAAAGTTATCATGTCCTAAAGCATCAAGCAATCAAATTGCTTATCTCTGCCTACCCTTAAGCGGTGGACACACTATAGCCGAATGATTCGGCTGAATCAATCGGCGTCGAAATTCGCCTAGTGTGTCCACTGTCATTCGGCCGAATGGTTCGCCCGAATCAAGCAGGTTTGATATATTCGGCCGAATATTTATTCGGGCGAATTATATTCGCCTGGTGTGTCCGCTTCGCCGAAGCATTCGGCCGAATATAGTATTCATTAGCCAATCACCACTCATATGGGGATCACGTGGCTAAGTGGGTAAGACGCTAGCTCGCTAGCCTGGAGGTCGGGTGTTCGATCCCTGCATTGGCCGAGAAAGTTCATCCAGATTTTCCGGTGTGGTTCTCCCTTGTCAGTGATGCAGGACGGAGGGGCTGACAAGGAAAGCTGTCTAGTCATTCGGATGGGACGAAAAACCGAGGTCCCGTGTACACATTGGCGTGCAAGTAAAAGATCCCTTGGCAGTTGGAATTCGATATAAGAGTAGGCCATAGTGCCGCTGTCCGGGCAAAATTTCCCTCATAGCACACTGTATGGCGTATGCCCGTCTTCATTAGCCCAGGTTAGGAGCAGAACAGTAGGACGTTAAACCCCATTTCATTTCATTTCATTTCACCACTCATATCGAGAAGTCATATGATGGATTGAAGACATAGACGCCGCCATGTTTAATCATGTGATGTGAAAGGTGATGCAATCGGCAGGTTGAATCGGGCGAAGCATTCGGCTAATGTGTCCACCCATTCGGCCGAATAAAATTCAGCGCCGATTGATTCGGCCGAACGATTCGGCAAATGTGTCCACTGCTTAAGCAGAAAGCGCTCATCTTCGAACTCTGTCAAGGCATTGACCTAATAAACACCTACACCAAGTTTGGACATTCTAGCTCAATTAGAAGGAGACTTATTGTTTCCCAAAAAGTGTGACAGACAGACAAACCCATTTTAATAGTCCCCTGCTTTCTTCGAAAGGTGGGGGACAATAAAGGGTTAACTCAGGTGTAAATTTCATCAAGGTTAATTGATATTTTGTGATGATTTAAGACTTGCTTCAGTAATCATAGCATATATAATTTATTAGTCACTAATATTCTATTGATTGAATTGAACTAATGGTGGGAAAGCTAGTGATATTTGTAAACCTTTGTATGATCAGCAAGATAAAACCATTTCCCGCTGTAGTATAACTGATCAAATAAAGTCTCATATACATGTAGTAGTGGTCACATCAATGCTTGTTTTACTATTCAAATATTCAAACTCAATTTCTGGAATGCCATTCAAATATTTGCTTAAATTCAAAAGATCAGTTTTTGGACCGTTTTGGGTGTATTTTAAGATTTCTTGAAACTATGTCAATTTTTGGAATGTCGTTCAAATATACGTTTCAATTGAAACTAATTCAATTTTTGGCATGCCAGTCAACTATTTGTTTCAAATGAAATGATCAGATTTTAGTTAAGATTTCTTAAAACTATTAATCTTTCAAATCAATATAGTTTCCTTTATCTGTTTGTTTATGTTAGAATATTAGTTTATTTCCTGGAATTAATAGTAGTAATTATGTCATGTACGTAGCAGACAAAAACTTTCTATTTATTATTATTATTACAACATATTTATAGTGTGCCCTTTCATATAACATGTTCAGGGTCACTTTACAAAGTGACAATATAATCAGGGGCGCTGAAACGGCGCGAGGGCCAGGGTACCAAAAGATAGGGGGGGGGGGGGGTGCGGGGGGTCTCTCTCCCCAGGCTCTAGAAAATTTTGAAATTAGTCAATTCATCTCATAAAAAATCATTTTTAATTTGACATTCAATACACCAATCTTCATCAAGAAAATAGAATAAGCTTTTTGAATGAGACAGTAGATTTAGAGACACGATTCTTGCAAGAGCTCATATTCAGGAGCAAGTGTTGATGAGACACTATAATAAGACCAAATTTGAATGTTCTAGCTCAAATAGAAGCAGAGTTATTGTGTTCCAAAGTCTCGACCAATCAAATTGCTTACCGCTCTGCTTACCCTGAGCAAAAAATGCTCATTATCGAACTTAGTCAAGGTATTGATGTAATGAAACTATACACCAAATTTCATCACTTTCACTTAATTAGAAGTTAGCGTGTCCAAAATCATCAATCAATCAAATTGCTTATCTCTGCTTACACTAAGCAGAAAATGCTCATCTTCGAACTCCATTTGCCTAATACAACTAAACTAAGTTCAATTAGAAGGAGGGTTATTGTGTTGCAAAGTCTCGGCCAATCAAATTGCTTATCGCTCTGCTTACCCTGAGTAGAAAATGCTCATTATCGAACTGAGTCAAGGTTATGATGTAATGAAACTATAAACCAAGTTTCATCACTCCAACTTAATTAGAACTAAAGTTATCGTGTTCCAAAGCATCAACCAATCAAATTGCTTATCTCTGCTTACCCTAAGCAGAAAATGCTCATCTTCGAACTTCATCAAGGCATTGACCTAATAAACACCTACACCAAGTTTGAACATTCTAGCTCAATTAGAAAGAGAGTTATTGTGTCCCAAAAAGTGTGACTGGCGGACAGACAAACAGACGGCAGGGGACAATAACATATATTGTGTGACTGATATATAATTGAAGGACAGTTTAACTGTAATGGATAATTGAAATCTAAGAACAACTTAATACTTACACACTGGTTATTGCCCTGTATCTCTCTTGACCTGCTGTATCCCATATTTGTGCTCTGATTGTCTTTCCTTTAATATTTACATTTCTGTCAGCAAATAAAACCAATTAGAAGAAAAATAATTATTTTATACATGTAGTACAACTTTATGAACAATATTAAGACAAAATAAATATTGAATTCTATGGGGTTTTTGTGTTTTGGGGGTTGGGGAGTATTTTCCAAGTAGGTGTAATTGTTACTTAATGTTTACCTAATACTCCACCCAGTATGAAAGCCTCTTCATTATGGTCTATGAAGCAAATATAGTTAAAATAATCTCTGAATGCCAGTAAAGTTTGCGAAGCAGGGAGCTAAGAAAAGCTCAAGATATTCTGACTACAATTAATTTAGTATAAAATTAATTTTTGAGAACTATTTTGTCTGATTGGTACATGTACTGGTATTTAAAAATTAAACTGATACTTTACTATTCTCTTATATACATACACTGAGGATACATGCACATGTACCAGACATTCTAATTATTGGTTTTTTTTCTTGCTTCCATAAACGTGGCAAGTTTTGATCACATATAATATATCTGTGACAGATATAGAAATGAAATGAAATGAAATGGGGTTTAACGTCCTACTGTTTTGCTCCGAACTGGGCTAATGAAGATGGGCATACGCCATACAGTGTGCTATGAGGGAAATTTTGCCCGGAGAGCGGCACTACGGCCTACTCTTATATCGAATTCCAACTGTCAAGGGATCTTTTACGTGCACGCCAATGTGTACAGGGGACCTCAGGTTTTCGTCTCATCCGAATGACTAGACAGCTGTCCTTATCAGGCCCTCCGTCCTGCATCACTGACAAGGGGAAACCACGCCAGAAAATCTGGATGAACTTTCTCGGCCAATGCAGGGATCGAACACCCGACCTCCAGGCTAGCGAGCCAGCGCCTTACCCACTTAGCCACGTGATCCCCAACAGATATAGAAAGATATAGCAAACTAGAATACATGGTTAAAATGTGTCCTATTTAAGGTCGTTGATGATATCAGGGCAGTGGTGCCGATACAGTCTATTCTAAATTCATATTCCAGCTGTCAAGGGTTCTTTTATGTACATGCGACTCCTTTTTTGTTGTCCATTCTGAACTATTTGACACTGTACTTTGTCAAGTCCTCCATCCTGCACCAATGACAACCTGAGGTACTTTCTTGGCCTACATGTACATATTCTGTTTAGAATTTAGGCAATATTTTCTATTAAAAACATACAGACGCATTTGGGATACACAGGTACACAGCTATTTCTGCTCACCTTGAAATGTCACATTCCTGTTGTGAACTTAAGACACTTATATATACATACATACATATACATATACATGTACACATTCAATAGAGTATGGGTCTCCACCCAAAACATTGTTTACCTTGTTGCAAATTCTACACCTATTGTACTTTTACTCTCAGCGTTAAATTCATTGCGTGTAAATCTTGACAGTAGATTTGTCTTTCCTACACCAGAATCACCTACTAACACAACTAGACGAGGAAAAATGTTAAATATATAAAAATATCACAGATACATGTACATTCACAAATATTTCAAAAGATCACAGATACATTCACAAATATATCAAAAGATCACAGATACATTCACAAAAAAATCAATAGATCACAGATACATACATGTAAATCAAATTCAGAAATATCTTAAAATAGGCAACTGTTAAACAGTTTAACGTCCACTCGACACAAACGAGGTCATTTTCGGGACTAACATATGGTTCAATTTTATTTCAATAATTCGCTTGTGCGTAGGGGTCTTTAGCAGTGGGAGGAAACCAGAGGACCAGGAGGAAACCCACACGGTTGGACAGGCGACCCTACTCTTTGTCACGTACAACCGGGGAATCGAAACCACACCAGCTGACTCAATGACAGACCTTATGATACAACACGCACATGTTAACCATGCTAACAGAAGGCTAAATCTTAATGCATTTTCCCAATAATATACGTTTGCACCAGTCCTAGTCCAAAATCAAATCTGATTTCTTTTAACAGTATAGATAAGTTGAAACCTATATTGTTCAAATTTAATTTAATAAATTTAACAGTTAGAGCCAGTGATGAATACGGACTGTAACTGTTAATTGGCAAGGTATTCGATTGCTATAATATTATAGAGCAGTGTTTTTGCCCATAAATTTTACCCCATATGTGACGGAAATGGTTAAAAAGTCAAAAATATAAATCTTAACATAGAGATCTTTGTAATGGTTCATCCATAACAGTGAGCTGAAGATTCCGAAAATGATGCGAAAGAGGAAATCAGTTCTTGTTTTTGACTGAATTAGAGTAATACGTAACAGCTATATGGATGATCTTCAACTGGATAATCCAGTTATAAATGATAAGTTGGGAATGAGCAATGCTGCTCAGGTCAATCTGTACTGACCAATTGCAGGTCCATATAATGGTATATTCATCATGGCAACCATAAGCTGCAATGCATGACATAACCTATGTCTTAGGTACATGTCTGTAAGTTCATGCTGCATCTGAGATTCTCAAACTGTATTCTTGTCACTTAAGGTAAGACACATTTTATGTAGTTGTAACATGATGCTCCTGTTTGGAATTGAAGTAGTGACCTCAGGCATGGAATTCATACACTTCTACCTAGTGATAGGGAATTCCTCATGACCAAGTCAGTAGGAAGTATATTTAAAATCGAGACAGCACAGGACAAACAATCTAGTAGTTCCTAGATATATGAACAATCACACAGCACACCACATATTTGCATGCCTGCAGCTACATGTACATACATGTATTATTTATATTCATTACTTTGATAATTCAACTTTTTTCTTTTATATGATTATGGCCTTAATTTATTATGTTATGAAATATTTAGGCATTACGTTTCCCTTTGAATGACGCTTATAATTATTCAAAATTATCATTATTATCATTATGACATGCACTGTACTTCTATGGTGCACAACTGCCAAATAATTAAATGTGCTTATGTGTATAACTCTACAAAGACAAATAGAGCAAAACACTATTGCATTTACATAATAAAACAGGATAAAATTACTGTCATTAAAGGGACAATAACACTCTTGCTGGCTTGAAAGCTCCAGAAAATAAATAATATCTCTATCTAAGTACTAGATGTTTAAGTGTCCTACCTGTTGTGTAAATTATCCATTACAACCTATTTTACTTGTCCAGAGGGTTCGAAAATATTTTTAAATCGAAGTTTCATTTGAAAAGGTTTACGTTAGGCTTTTCAAACCATTATGTTGAATTTTTCAAAATTTTTAAATAAGGTGTGTTCAGATGAAATTTGTATCATCAATTAATTGAAATATTGTAAAATAGTACAATTTGTTGACCAGAATAAAGATTGGGACATATTATTCAGTTACAACAAGAGTGGTATTGAGCCTTTAAAACATATCCAGATAATCTACTTATGATAAGGATCACTGGGTAAAAGGGACATATTATTCAGTTACAACAAGAGTGGTATTGAGCCTTTAAAACATATCCAGATAATCTACTTATGATAAGGATCACTGGGTAAAAGCTGACAGTCCCGCATGCCTCTGCGGTCATATATTTGAAGGTCCCGATCATTACCTCCTGCGATGTTCCTTACATTCAATTGCACGAACAGAAACCATAGACAAATTACAACAGGATATTAAAAATATAAACTGTATTTTATTCGGCTCCACAGCCTACAGTCTTGATGTTAATTCTAATCAGGTCCAAAAATTTATAGATATATCAAACAGATACTAATTTCATCTCGATCAAATAATATTTTATCTTCTCTTTTATGTATGTATAGTCTCTCTAATGCTGATTATTATTAAAAGATTCTTACTGTGCTTGCATATGTATAATTATTAACTACATATATACTGACACTGTACATTTTCACCCATTTTATTATATCTATATAATATGTATGTGTTTGCCATTTTAACTATGTATATACACCCTTTTTGTATTAATAATATATATGTATATACAAATTATTTAGGGAGAGGGGTTTTACATAAGCTAAGCCTGTTCCCCAATCCCATTCAGTGAACCTGAATAAAAATATGGTTTAAAAAAAAAAGCCTTTTTAAATAGATAAGTCTTTAGCTTTAAAAGCAGCAATAGCAATTTCAAGTATTGTCAACTCCATAGGCACCTAGCCCAAACTTATGGAAAAACTGGTACAATGTATATATTACATGGCAATGAAAGAGAAAAATAATTACCTTTCCAAATATAATCATAGTGGTCCTCTTCTGACATGATAATATGTCATTAACTCAACTTATACACTATACAAATATATCTATAATAGAAAATATTAATACATAGAAATATAATTGGGGTGGATGATGCTGTTAAAAATAGTGAGTTTTGTGATTATAGACAGATAAATAGAGTTTAACATCCACTCAACACAAACTAGGTCATTTTGGGATTACTTTTGTTAATATAGCCCTTTCACACCTTGAGTAAAACACATAAAACAAATCTGATTAACATGAACAACTTGTATCATCTATTATTAATGGGACATTCGCTACTTTCTATTCTTGTAAAAACACCTAATTTGATAGGCCAAAATGTATATACATCTATAACAAATCTCTTGTCACATTCTACTCTAAATTGCGAGACAGTCTGAGCCATTTTTAAGAAATTTTCAAGCAGAATGTTGCATAAATTTATAATCATTATCCTCTTAAAAATTCAAATGTTATCAGATAAATATGGAATGTTCTCAAAATTCACTCAAATAGTATGTACAAAATAAGCGCAACACACATAAACAATTACACAAGACAAACCTGTGGACAAGATACACTTTATACACAGACATGTTAAAGAAATGGCATTGAACAAGCCAACAGTGAGGCTGATGTCCCCCGCCGAAATAGGAAAATAATTAGAGGACACATATAAATTTATCACAAATTATCGTTTACAAAGTATTGAACAATCAAACAGTATATCTTTACTTATAGTCTAACAATCAAAGTAGGAGAGTTATTGTTTTCCAAAGTCTCGACCAATCAAATTGCGTATCGCTCTGCTTACCCTGAGCAGAAAATGCTCATTATCAAACTTAGTCAAGGTATTACTGTAATGAAACTATACACCAAGTTTCATCAATCTCACTTAATTAGAACTAAAGTTATCGTGTCCCAAAGCATCAACCAATCAAATTGCTTATCTCTGCTTACCCTAAGCGGAAAATGCTCATCTTCGAACTCCATCAAGGCATTGACCTAATCAACACATACAACAAGTTTGAACATTCTAGCTCAATTAGGAAGAGAGTTATCGTGCCCCAAAGTATCAACCAATCAAATTGCTTATCTCTGCTTACCCTAAGCGGAAAATGCTCATCTTCGAACTCCATCAAGGCATTGACCTAATAAACACATACACCAAGTTTGAACATTCTAGCTCAATTAAAAGTTATCGTGTCCCAAAGCATCAACCAATCAAATTGCTTATCTCTGCTTACCCTAAGCGGAAAATGCTCATCTTCGAACTCCATCAAGGCATTGACCTAATCAACACATACACCAAGTTTGAACATTCTAGCCCAATTAGGAAGAGAGTTATCGTGTCCCAAAGCATCAACCAATCAAATTGCTTATCTCTGCTTACCCTAAGCGGAAAATGCTCATCTTCGAACTCCATCAAGGCATTGACCTAATAAACACATACACCAAGTTTGAACATTCTAGCTCAATTAGGAAGAGAGTTATTGTGTCCCAAAAAGTGTGACGGACAGACAGACGGACAGACAGACAGACAGACAGACGGACGAACCCATTTTAATAGTCCCCTGCTTTCTTCGAAAGGCGGGGGACAATTAACACTGGAAGAAGATACACCTATTGTAAACTGATCAGGTGGGTTGTATATATATTATGTTTCTAAAGGGGCATTATGTAAGATTAGATAAAGAGCTGACATTTCTTGCTATAATAGTTAAAAACTAGATAATGAAAAGGGAATATTACTTCATTCTGGGCTAAATTAGGGCTGTTTTGAAAATAGTGGAGTCTTGATTGTCTTTGCTAACGTTGTTACAATAGCAAACAAAGTCTTGGTTATTCATTTTTTCATTAAATCATTAACTGCCAATCATTTTTAAATCTGTTAAAAATCAAGAGCATCTGATAGCCTAGAGAGTTGATTATGGTCTTGCCATATTAATAAATGTTTAATAACAATTTATATAACATTTAAGGCCTAAAGAAAGACTTGCAACAGTAAAATTTAGCTCTTGAATAGTGCATCTTTAATCGATAAATTAAATCAGTACATTGGAGAGTGTCCCACATTTGGAAAAAAGTTGTTCCCCTAATTCATTCCAAATTGAAGAGATAATTGTGATACTCTTGAAGAATTTTTATAAAAATTACATTTCTACATTCAGGGCTACCATTATGAATATTATATTCCTGACAATGGTCTGATATATCATGTGCCACACCCACCTCTCAAAAAATACAGCAGCTCAACATTTTGACACATGTACAATGACGATTTGAAGGTTAATAAAGAATATTATGAAGCCTTTACAAAATGACCTATATGAATTGTACCCTTGGGCTGAACATGGATACAAATTCATAACATATTCTACTTTCAAATATGTCAGTGAAATCCACCATAGTACATAAAAATATCCATAAAATATGATTTACACAAAAACTGGCTAAATCAGCAAACATAAAAAAATATCCCGAAAACGTAAATAGTTTTTATCATTTTATTTGTAAAGTAAAAATAAATTTACTTCATAAAATATTATAACAGTGCAATGTAACATGGAAGACCTTTATTTTCTTACTGGAAGGGAATTAACCTAAAAACCAATTGATCACATTCTTGTTCAATAATAAACGATTCAAGAAAGACCAATAGATTTGTTAAAATGTTTGTAGCTTTGATATCTTTGATTTTGGGTAAATACATGTTCATATACACATGCATACCTAGTAGAAAGAGATATGCTGTCCTACATGTAATCATAAAAATAAATACTGGTATATAAACCATACTTCCACATTAATATCTTTATAAAAAAAATCATGCACTCAAATTGCTTATGACTCTACTTAACCTGAGCAGAATATGCATATCATCAGAATTAGTCAAAATATTGATATAACTAAACTACAAACCTAATTGCATCACTTTCTCGCAATTAGAATCAAAGCTATCATGTTTCAAAGCAAATGGCTAATCTTGTTTTAGGCTACGCAAAAATGTTCATCATCGAACTGACAGTCAAGACATTCAGCTAACGAACATCTACACCAAATCTCAACATTCTACATGTACTGCAAAAAGCAAAGTTTTCATGTTCCAAAGTCTATCTAAAAATCAAATTGCTTATCTTGGTTTAGTCTAAGTAGCTAAGTAGAGAATGTCCATGATTGAACTTTGAAATGGTACTAATGTAATGAAACTATACAAAAAATTCATCACACTCCCTCAATTAGAATCAAAGCTAAAGGGTTCTAAAGAAAATGATCATCATCGAATTCAGTCAAAATATTAAACTGATCAACATCCAGACATAGATTGAAAATTGGAAGCAGAGTTACTGCGTTCTATAAAGCATCAACCTAACAAGAAAAAGGTGTGATCGATGAACAGAAAGACTGATGGACAGACAGACAGGTGAACACATTTCAATTTTGATCTTCTACATGTAAATAAATAGTAAATTACCCAAAAGTATAATGAAACTTCTTTACGATTTTAGCACCGGGGTATACAAAATTACATATAAAATTAAGGTCTTGGATAAAAACTTTTATCAGAAAAGTACCTTATTGCCTTGTGATCCTTTAATAGCTAACTTTGATGTGCTGCTGGATCTTTAACCCTAAAGTAGTTATACAGGTATCTTCTTTGATTTGCATTCACATACCTGTATCATTTGCTTGATAAAGACGAGAGTATCCTCGTCGAAACATCACTTAATATTAAACTCAGTAATTGTGTATCCATAAAATTGTACCTTGAGTTATACAGGTAGGCTATGTACATGAAGAACATGAAAACATCCACATGTACCCACAATTTTGATTTGAACCGATTATACATCCACCAATATATCAGACCTACATGTTCAAGTGTCAATCTTTACTTTATGTTAATCTTGTTAAAACCTTAATTAGCCTATTCATAACAGGTAATGAATTAACCACATGTATAAAAGGACATCTTTATTAATTAACTGTAAATGATCTCCACATAGACCTATATGTCCCTCTACTAATCAATTACATGTCATCTCCTAAATGTACATCAAATGCAGGTGTTACAATACTTTCTACTCTATATAATTGGGTGATGACATACTTGTATTAAGAAACAAGAGGAAACATAAATTATCCAACCTAAATCATTGACTTCATTTTTCTATTTATTTATCAGATAAGATGCAAGTATATATAGGTTTTATTTTAAAGGTGTCTATACATGTAGATATACACAGTATAAAAGCTTTGAATAGGTTATTTTAATAATGTGCAAATTCCTTTACAAATGTCTACAAATGCTTATAAACTTTGATGAGATACTATTTTAAGATAACATACCATGATAATGTACATGTAGCTTTAGGTATGTGTAGGTAAAAATATAATTTTGGGTAGACTTTTGTTAAAAATTTTGTCAAATTATACATATATCCTAAACTCATTTCCTCATTGACATTTATTTTTTGTTTTATTTACAACAGAATATTATATCTATCTAAAAATAACATGTATGTGTAGGTCTAGATCTCATGCTACCACATGTATAATCACTCCAACAAGTATTGCATAGATGTTCCAAGATAACAAGTTATTGTTAATTAACTCTGAGCTATTCAATCAGTTCAGTTGTTGCTTAACTAGGCTGAACAACTTTGTTGTGGGTGAAAAACCAAGTTATTGATTTCACTAGATTTATTTGTTGATTTGTTTTCTGTGAGGGTATGGGCGTCCAAAACTTGAAATGTATCGTCATCATCCCCACCTAAACCATGTAGGCCCATTGTCTTACTCCAACCATGGATGCTCCAACGAATGGTGCATTTGCAGGGAACTTAAAAAGAGCTCATCACCAAGCTATTGTGTGGTGTTCAATAGAAAATCGTAAGTAGGCCTCCTTTTTTCATTATGTTTGGTCCTATGAACCCTATATTCATTAAACCCTTATTCTGGCATGTTAGGGCTATAATTTTGTTCTTTAGTTTTAGTTTCATTTTGTCTTAGTTGAACACACAAAGTCGGTTATATTTTCTCAACACAAGCTTGATATAGTAGGCCCCATGTAAATGTCTGAAATTCTCAAACCATTGCAGATTTTATCACAAAGTCAACATATATAAAATTAGATTTTATTTTTGGCCCAAATCGAAGAGGGAGTGGAAAGAGGGAGTGGCATTGTAAATAATTAAACTTATCAACCACATTATGTTGGCCCAACATAAACCACAGAACTCATTTTGGTTAAGTATTTATAATTACCCTAGCCTACTACTGACCGCCACTGAAGAAATACATATCTTGGTCATGCCTCATGGACCCGAAAAAGATACGATGAGATGACAGTTGACTCATAGCATTATGCGAGATCATAAATGTTTATAATTTACTCTATTTCATGACTTCATTCACACTTGTATTGTTGTGGGTGTGAAATCTTGTATCAGAACATATGTAAATATCAATTACCTTCGACGCAAAAGATAACCATTAGCTATTGTTTTGATTTTCACTTACCTGGACATTACAACCGGAAGTTTGCTTTTCACCTGTCAGGTAACACACAGGTGAATTTAGTCTCGTATAAATGCGCTCCTTTTGGAAAGTGAACACCGCCTGTAAATTTATATGAGGAACGCAGAGAGTAGATAATTATAAACAGCTTTTTAATTATTTGAAATTGCAAGCCATGATTGTAATGATCCGATAAAGGAATGCTAACATAAAATCAGAATTATGATATAGGGGAGAAAACTCCAATTAATAAATTGGAAGCAGACCACCATTAATTTCCCCATTTACTCCAATGTTAATTCTGGCTCCTTTTTTTACTCGGTTTCCATCTTCCACCAAAGTTTGTCTGAGGTTGACCACCAAATATTTGAGATAGACAAACTTCAAGTATCATACTAAAAACATATATAACTTTTCGTCGCACATATTACCGTAGCCAAACTGTTAACACTGTTATCCTTCCGCTTCTAAGATATGCTAAGATGGTGAAATTTATTGGTGGTCTGCCTCCAGTTTGATGACCGCAATTTTAACGTTCACCCCCAAAATACAGCGTTTCTTTTGTTGTTGACTATATTAATTTGCACGCATCATTCTACCTTGTATCAATATTTATCCAACCAAGCAGACATCTGTATATCAAAATGAAAAGTAATATTTTTAGTGAATTTTATAAATATGCACCATTGATGGGTAGTAGAATAATGCAAATTCCCAAATTCACTGTTTTACATGAAAGTGGTAACTATTTTCCCCGTTTGGAATGGTTTATTATTTTGGAAATTTAAGATGATATCCTACCTAACTTTCTGAATCCCTAAAAAATCCAAAATGGCTATGAATACTATGCACGCTTTAAAATTTCAGGCTGGGTCCTTCTATAGAAAGACACATTGTTACAATTTTGCACCGTATACTTTTTAATTTTACTGATATTACCTCTTTAATTTAAACCTAATTTTGCAAATTCATTTGTTATTTAACTAATTTTGAAGAGTTTATACTTTCTTTTAAAATTAATGGGGACAGTGGCGGCCCAGTGAGTAATGCGCCATAGGCATACGAGCCACGGGGCAGGACCAGGGGGGGGGGGGAGCTGCCCCCTAATGTTCAAGCAATCTGACTTTGTTCGAGCGAACTTGTACTGAATTGACTATGGATTAAACATTTTGTCTAGAGCCATTCTGTACTTTGTGAGAAAATTTTCGGGCATCCATCACTATTTGTGAATGTATAGCTGCAAAATACAGTCTGATTGGATGGTTCGAATTCAGGTCGGCATAGACTGGGATTTCGGTTGAAAACCGATTGGAAACTTTGAAGTTGGTTAATTCACGGGCTATAGATCAAATTTTCAATATTTACCCGGGGAGCGCCAGACCCCCATACCCCGCGATGGTTGATTGCTTGTTTGGGATTTGGGATTCAGGTACGTCACCTAAGGTAGGCTATATTGGACCACATTGAAGTTGCTGTGTTCACTGACTGGAATAGCAGGAAAACGCGTCTACGACAGTTAAATTTTCGCCCGAATTTACCCCTCTCCGTGGACTGTAAATGATTGATTGATTTGAATTCGAGTTAGCTACCCAAGTTAGGGTACATTTACATTAGACCACTTTGAAGTTGCTGTAGTCTTCAAGGACAATATTGGTGCCAGTCATTATCACATATGTGATAGAACTGGTTAAACACGTTCCAAATATTATTTTATCACAGAGATCATTGCTACGATAGAGGCGTAATCAATGCTGCAACAATCGGAAATGACGAACGCAAAGGGAAAACACGAGTTATCCCTATATATAACTGACTGCATGAAGTGACGGGTGATAACAGATACATGGGCGAATTTCTGCTCACTAATAATTCATTCGGGGACCAAAAGTTGTTATATAGACTTTAAGAGTATATCTGACAATTCAAAAAAGTAATTGAATGTCATTAGATAAGAGAACACGAATAAAATAGAAACAGTCCATAGATTCACGCGTGTTTATTCATTCTATCCTTATAAAAACATGGTAATGCACGGACTTTTTCTATTTTTCTTTCATGTTCTCTTATCTAGGCCTAGTGACAGTCATTTTTTTTTATGAATTGTCAGATATCCTTTCACAGTCTCACACAACATCTTTTGGTCTTCGAAGGAATTATTAGTGGGTAGAAATTCGCCCATGTAGCTGTTATCACCCGTCACTTCAATCAGTTATATAGAGGGATAACTCGTGTTTTCCTTTTGCGTTCGTCACTTCAAATTGTTGAAACATTGATTCCACATCATTCTATCGTAGCAATGATCTCTGTGATAAAATATTATTTGGAACGTGTTTAACCAGTTCTATCACATATATGATAATGTCTGGCACCAATATTGTCCTTTAAGCAACTAATAATCTCCGGTTACCGGTACTCTTTATAAAAAGTAGTTGTGGGTCTGTCCCTATTTTCTAGACAAACGTTATTACCTCCCTTGAAATTCTTCTGTACATGCTTTTGCAATATCAAAGCTTCTCATTATATATTTAGCACAGATCCAGGCAATGGACTGATTCGCCGTACGAATTAAATGAGTGAATAAAGAATCAAGTAGAACCAACCACAACGGTGCCAAACACCAAAGCTTCAACTAAAAGATTCTGCGACGTTGCATTGATGTCTGAAAACGAAGGTCAAAATGGATAGAGGTTGAGAATAACAAAACCTCTCCTTGCGGCTTTGGTGCTTTGTGTTTGTGCAGTATTAATACTATTATTGAGCCTTTTTACCGTCTACGGTTAGTCAGAGCACGTCAGAGGTTTGTTTATTTCGTTTGTTCTATTTATTTGTTGTGTTATGGATCAATATCATCCCCATTTCTGCCCGTGATTGATATTTCATTACGTTTTGATGCAATAAACATCTTATCTTATCTTTATATAGGCCTATATATCTTATACCATAATGGGGATAGAGTCTAGGGCCTAAGCATAATTTTTTTTTTTTATCAATTTTGATATAAATATAAATTATAATCTTGCATAATGACATTGTATACTGTTGTAATGTATATATAGCTTAATCCTTTTGGCAAGCACGAAGTAAAAAATTACTGAAGATTGTAGGACTAGGAGACGGTGTGGTCATATATATTCATGATGACTAGGGTCGGACCAAAGATCACTTAGTGACTTACACTTGAACCAAGACAGAAGACCAATCGGACAAATGAAAATACCCTAGGCGTAGTCTTGTTTCTGATGCTGCCCCGCCAATCTCGTCCTTGTTCTGTCTTTTCAAATTAAGTGTATGACCGTCACTAGTGACTAAACACTAGTTTTCTCTTGCCCAGCTGGGTGCCAATATCTTGATCTGAGTAGTCTCTATCTTGGTCTGAGTGGTCTTCTCAGTTCTATTTGCCTTGCTTATAATAATGAAGACCCCAAAATTGCTGATACCAAATTTCTACAGATATCTTAATGAAACTACATGTAGATTACAGGGGATGATTGCTCTGAGATACAGTTGTATGATGCCCCACGTGGACCGATATTCCAGGGGCGTAAAAAAAATTTTGAATCCACTAGCCGAGGGCTAGTAGTCTACTGTCAGGCACTAGCCCGGCATTAATATCCACTAGTCCATAGTTTGACAAGGTACAAGATTTGATCTTCAATATTTGGGCATATGTTTTGTTGCCTGCCAACCTATCGTTTTTAATAAAGATCGTAGACTTGATTGCCTAATAATTAAGGATGTATACGGCTACTCGGTTAACCAGTCACGGTTCGCTTGCACTGGTGAAACGGTTCAAAAAACTACAGACCGATATTTGTTTTCATATCATATCTGACCTTCAAAACCAGGAATGGTAGCGACAACAATGTTTTCTTTCACTAAAGACCATATAAATACTTCATATAGCACATGTCATTCATAATATATCACGGTAAATTAACGTCCTTTAATTCCTGCTTGAAGATTTGTATATGTTACATTATTATTAGCACTTACTGCAAAGCACGAGATAGCCTCGACTAAGTAATTGACAAATTAATTGTTTTACTATATTTTTTTTACCTGGTCACTCTATAAAGAGTCTCAAAATGAAACAAATCAGTTTGATGTGCTGATATTTATATTAAAATAGACAGGATAGTAAAATTGTTTATATTATCACTCCATGCTATGTGCCGATAGGGTTAAAGTTGATGACACACGGGTCACTGGAACAATTCATCATGGCGTGTGTGTAATGAACACATGTAGTAAATTCTTTGCAAATACCTGACATGTTAAATAATCAAAATCATCTTGTATTTAAAACTACAAAGGTATGCTTTTGAATATTTATGTCAGAACTAATCTAATATAAAGTATAAGTGAGTCTTTTGTTTTTAAATCAACTGGTTTATACATGACCTGTAAAAGCGTGCAAGATGAAGAAATGTCAAGAATGAATGAATAGAAGGGGTACAAAAAATGTCCATGTGGCAAGTTTTACTACAGAAAATCTATTGTTATGATTGAGTTTTCCTTGGAATTTGAGAAATAAATGTGGGATGTTTTACAGTTTATTTATCTATATCGTCACTAGTTTAATTCACAAACCAATGAAAGGGCACTACACTATCCCAGGACTAGTACGGCTAAATAGATCACTAGCCCGTAAGTTATTTTTGGTAGCCCTGGTCGTCGGGCTAGTGGATTTTTACAACCCTGCGATATTCCTATTAGAGATTCATCTTTCAGAATAAAGAATTATACATGTTTTGATATACATGTACGTACATGTATAAAACAAACGTACCTGATTCCTCTTAATTATAAGAAAAAAATGTCCCTTCGTGCTGTATTTCATCAGATCCGTTTGTCTGGCTATTGAAATGGACTGCTTTCATTTATATTTCAATGCCATGGAAGTTACATGCCCTTGTTTTAAAAAAAGCTGCCTCTAATAAAATTCTAAAATGAACTGATCATATTTGTTGTATTTACTGTAAATGTCAGTGTTATTGTTGTATAGTTGACATAAATACATTTTTATAACAAACAATCGACAGATTTTAAGATATTTGATCAAAAGTGCAATGTACGTGCTTCTGAATTAAAGGTTAACGCAGTGGTCCATGGTGAATACTGACTAGGATTAGACTGATTATCAGTGTGTGTGAAATAGCTTTAACGTCCGCTTCCACGGATCAATTGGTATCGCCGACAATTGCATTATTATTTGATATTTATTTACGTACGTATGATTAAGGGATATTAAGATTGGTGTACAAAACAAGAAAGGACATTGCGGTAATCCATTAAATACCAATATTATTTTCGGTAAAAATTGTGAGCAGTCCAAATTAAATGGCGGTTGTTTATGCATTATTATTCAAGACATCCAGTCTACAAGTTTATTTCTTTTTGTTTATCATTTGTGGATAAGCCAATTTTAAAATTACTTCATTGACTTGTGCTGTGGTATATGTTTTGCTTTGTTCGTCAAGTTTTCAAATTACAAATGGAGCCCATAATTTCACAACGGTAACAATATCAGTATTGATTGAAATAGACCAATATTGAATTCTAATTCATATTTTTACTGTCATGGATAAGTTTGAGTTAGAACTAGGCTATACCACCTGTGTACTAAACAGTTGATTTGCCAAGCTTGTTTTATTAAAAGTAATATTAATTGGAATACTTGATAATTGATATTAAGTACATGTACCAGTAAGTAATTTTATCTCTTTGAATGGGTACTACTGAACTACCTTAATCTTGAAAGCAAGTCATGCCTGATCCTTCAGATACATGTCTTATCTCTAAAGTAAAAAAAAAATAAGTAAGTCGATTATTTTAGAATAAAAATTGTTGATATTTTAACAAGCCTGGAAATAAGGCACTTTTCACAGACATTGTCAGATGCAAGTTGCCCAATTCCACTGGTACCTGTCATTTTATCCAGCAGAGATTTGTCAGTGTTTTATGGATATATTTTTAACACATGTCTGGTTCTAGTTCTTTAATATCTGACATAATGTCAGGTACAACTGAAATCATTATTTCCACTCCAGGCCTGAAAAAAAAAATTCATGAAGGTTGGACTGACATACCTAATGAAAAGTTAGAATTACATGTATTTGTACTTTATTTGTCTAAGAAGTACTAAGACCGATAGCTGGTGGTGTGAAATCATTAGAAACCAACCTAAACTTTACTATAATTAAAATTTGAATTAAAATTGATTGATTTGATCAATTTGATTTTGAATATTTTGTGGACCAAAATGGTTTTTTTATGAAATTAATTTTGATTTTCTTAAAGATACATTATGTAAGATTTAGATAAAGCGCTAGCCATTATTGCTATAATAGTTCGAAAATAGATAATGTAAAATGAATAACTTGAAAATTACATTCAAATTCCTCTATTGCGAGCGAAGATATTAGAATTTGAAGGTTTGACAAGACATTTGCAATAAATGCAACCAACGTACGGGTTGTTTGAAGTCTCCCTCCTCAAATTTTAAAGTTAATCAAAATATGACTGAACCATTCTAATCTATTTAATATCGGAAAAATCTGATGCCATCGAGAGCTGATTATGGCCTGGATCATGTAATTAAAATTAATAATTTAGAAAACATTTCAGGCTTAAAGAAAGACCTGCAATACGCAGATTTAGCTCTTGCATAATATGTTTAAAGGGGCATTATGGGAGATTATATAAAGAGCTGCAGTTCTCACTATATAATAGTTAAAACTAGATAATGTAAAGGGAATTTGCTGAAATTATCAGTCAAATTGATCCACCATGAACCGAGATATTAGCTTTTCAGACCTCACCGTTTGAAAAATGATAGAGCCATAAACAGTCCTCCTGAAAATCCCAAGGAGAGTGATTCACTCTCCTGGAATTTAATTACTTACAATGGAATATATTTTGAGTGTATCTGTAATGCATTTTATTTGTCCAAAAAGTCCAAATAAAATAATCTACTTCAAATTGAATCAAATGCTATCAAGTTTCTGTTTGTTTAATATCTTTAAGAAGACATAAAATTTTTAAAAAAATACTGAACATATACAATAAAAACTGACTAGTGTTCCATATACATGTATAGATGAAGTTGTCACAGTATTTTCATCAAGAAGAGGATACAATTATCATTCATGATGGAAACAAGACTTACAGAATATAACAATAAAAATTTGTCTGCTAAATGCTGCGAAAGCGATCCCTGACTGTTGGCGAGGTTAGATGCGATAACGATAGATAAAGTTGTAAAGGTATTTTCAACAAGAAGAGGAAATAATTATCATTCATGGAAACAAGATATACAGAATAAAAATAATAATTCATCTGCTAAATGCAACCATTTTTCTGCGGCGAAAGGCGATTCCTGTTAGATGAGATAACGCTAGTATCGAAGATCGGTCATATTACGTGATATTGATATAAACGGCCCAGTTATTCAGCCTGCGGTAACCAAAGAATTTTGAATGCAAACTAGTGTTCTTCCGTTTTCGTCGATTAACAAACCACGGTGATTCAATTCAATGAGTTCATTGATTTTTGATGGCTCTCTGAATTCGAAAGGAGCGTGAATTTGAACTCTACTGACACAACATTTAGGTGCGCAATAAGGCCTGGCTTTTGAATTTTTGGCCTAGCCATGAACATCATTACTAAAGTCGGTACAATAAAAAACATAGTCTCGATTCTAATCTAGTAAATTTCACAGGCTAGTGATGACATTAAGAGTTGATTATGGTCTGGATAAGTTAATTAATGTCTTAATTAATAACTTAGATAACACTTCAGGCCTGAAGAGAGACCTGCATTAGGCAGATTTAGCTCTTGCATAATGTATGTTTAAACTATACATGCATTTACTTATATTCTAGGGTGTTACAATTTAGAGCTTTAATTAACAGTTGATTATTTCTAAGTATTATTTATTACATTTACGTACATTTACATATATTATGTAATGTATGTCTAAATCAGCTTTAAGATAATCACCAATCCATACATGTACCATGTGATAAGGAGATATAAGAAATTGTTTGAGACTCTATCAAATAGAGCTGCACACTCGAGCTTGAGAATAATTGTTTGACTGGCCTAGATATCGATGAAGCAAATATTGATGCTTTGGTTTTTTTTTACCTATTAAAGCAAGATTTACAGTTATTCAAGGTTTGACTTGAGCTGATAATCTGTCTTACACAGTGACCTTAAAGACTGGATATTATGTTATCAGTTTAAGGTCATGTACATGTACATGTGTATGACTTAATTAGATACCAGGTAATAATAGCTAATAATATATCAACAGTTCATGACCTGCAATTTCTTTATCATTTACTTTAAACTTTATTGGAAAATGTTTCATTGGATGTTTTGATTACTTTCTAGTTATAGTATTTGATCTGTATGAAGGATAAACCAACCAACTGGAATTGTTTTTAAAAATACAACCATAGTGGAACAAGCAACACACAATTTCCCAACATTATGTCCACCTCACCAAGGACAGCATCCTTTTATATAAGTGATGAGGCTGAGGGAGGAACTCCAAATGAAATAATGGTAAGTATTCTAATAATATCAGTTGATAGTCTTAACCAAGTTTCCCTGATTAATTAGCTTTAGTGTTAATTGATTAAACAATCAAAATTTAAACCTCCCTTGATTAAATCTCCTTTTAGAAGTTTATGGTTTTGGTAAATAAATTGTCCACTATATGTGTCACTGTCTTTACAATTCATGATTTTTTTTATGGTACCAAAAGGTCATTTCTTCTTAACATCTTGATCATATCATTAATTTTACAAAATTTCTTTGTGATCTCTCAACTATTTGCTCTTAAGTATGTTCTTGTGGATGAATTTGAAATTTTTACTTGTGATAGTTTATAATATTATATACGTAAATTGACAACATTTTGTCACATTGGGACATATCGACACAAATATGGCTTTCTTCAGTGTGTACGTCATGTGGAAAGTGATCATTATCAATTACTGTGAAAAAGTTTTAAAATTTCCATAATTCACCATAAAATGAAGCACTGTATACCACTACAGGAAATTTGATTGGAGAGTAAGTCTTATGTGATATGATCATCTGAACACTTTTTTCCAAAAAAATATCAGATGTCAATATAGTAGTTAGTACAGTGTAAGATATAAAACAAACTGTAATTGACACATGATTTTAATTGAATACCATATAACTGAAGCAATGGCCTAAGAAATCCCTCTCTGCTCATTGCTGGATTGACTTCTGATACTTGAGCTTTTGAGGGAGTGTGTCTATTTATCCTGTTCAATCGAAACTATCCCAAGTACAGCAACATGGCAGCCCTTCGTTTAATCTGGGGTCTTCCCTAAAACTTTGGACAGTGATTTAAGGTATTAAAAATGGTGAAAGTCTTGTTCGTCTACATACTGTATTGTTTACATTATATTCGTGTTGATAACCTTGTTTGTCACACATTTTGATTTTCTGCAATATTCTGCTATGCACTGGTTAATTGAGAAAAATAAAATCGTGAGTCGTGACTTAATGTTATGTAAACATATTTGGTCCAATTTGGAGCTTTGTTTAAAGCGTAATCATATTGTTACGCAGTTAGCTATTGGTTGTAAATCAGAATATTGACCAGTCATAATTTGGAACAGAAATTTGCTTCCACTTAAAGCAGTGTTTAGTGGATTAGCTCTAATCAAACGAAACACTGCAGGGAGTATGATTGAATACATTTAGTGTAAAAAAAAATAAAGCCATTGAGGCACTCCAGTAACTCCAGTGCTCAGCTACATGTACATGTATATCATGGAATTTATATTAGACATAGGGCCAGTAGGGGGATGGAATGGTCTAGTGGTTTAGAATGTTGCGCTTTGACCTCTAGTGGAGATATGGGCACCTTCTTAACCTCGTTGGTATTCTCTGTGTACCCTGATTTCCTCCCTCAGGAAAGACCCCTGTGCATGCGCTATGATAATGCTGCGATATCACCCTCAGTGGAAGGGGACGTAAACACTAATAGAAGATATTAGACATATATGTTCCATGGTTATAGGGGGGTTGGATGGCTTAGTGGTTAGCACGTGCGCGCTGTATCATTAAGTCTGTCATTGAGTCAACTGGCGTGGTTTCGAATCCCCGGTTGTACGTGACAAGGAGTAGGGTCGCCTGTCCAACCTCATGGGTTTTCTCTGGGTCCTCCGGTTTCCTCCCACTGCTAAATACCCCTACGCGCAAACGAATTATAGAAATTAAATTGAACCATATGTTAGTCCCAAAATGACCTAGTTTGTGTCGAGTGGACGTTAAACCCCATTTCTCTCTCTCTCTTCATGGTTATATGTAGTAAAGCTAAAGATATTTCTGCTTTATGTTATGTCACAAAATCTCTGATGAAATGTTGATTTGTATTTAGTTTGATTCGACCTCAGTCATATTAATACCTGTCATTTAGTGCTAAGTGGACATCTATAATTAAAACATTAGAATTACTTATCATTTAATTTATTCATTAGTCTTCTTTTTGTCAATGAACTTTAATTGTATGGTTTTTTTTATAGGATTGTGAATTTTTAGATAGGAAGATAATTGTGGGAGTGTGTGCTATGGCCAAGAAATCTGGATCCAAGCCTATGAAAGAAATTTTGCATCGGCTGTTAGAACATTTTGAAAGACTAGAAATTCTTATTTTTGAAGAGAGTGTCATTTTAAATGACCCTATTGAAAAATGGCCAATAGTTGATGCTTTCATTTCTTTCTTTTCTTATGGTTTTCCATTAGATAAGGCAATAGCTTACAGTCAATTACGTAAACCTTATGTCATCAATGATTTAGAAATGCAACATGTTCTGAAAGACAGGTGAGTCTTTAGAATAGAATATACTCTTCAGAAAAAAGTAGGGGATATTCAGAAACAATACAAAACTGCGGAAATGCACTGCTGTTTTTATTAGAGGTAACCAGTGTATGCTAATAACAGGCCAATTGCCTACACATGAAAAACAGTTCAATTGGGCGGCTTATCTGACGGCCCCATTTCACTCACAAAGAGATACACTGTCAAAAGTGAAAATTGACGTTTTTGATTTTTATCTTAATAATGAGTAATTGCTTCACCAATCCTCAGACATTCTGCAATTTGTCGTGGCACACTTCTAATCAACCGTCCAATCACGATTTGGGGCAATCTGAGCCACTCCTCTTGCAGTGCCACGGCCAATTCTTGCGGTGTTGTCGGTTGGAGGTAATCATTCACGACACGAGCGAGGTGGGCACGGGCATTATCATCTTGAAAGATGAAACGTAGATCTGCATGTTGAGCAATGGGCAGAACTATCAGTGTCAGGATGTGGTCACGGTAGTACACACCAGTGACCCTTCCTTGAACAATATGCAAGTCCGTTCTGCTAGTCATGATGATTCCTCCCCATATCATAACAGACCGACGCCCGAATCTGTCATAACGCTCATTTACAAGCCTCCAAATGTGAGCACGCCTATCGGTGAAATCCAGAGTAAATTTGGAAGCATCTGAGAACATTGCATGCGCCCATCGACAATTACCCCAAATTCTACACTGCCTACACCATTGACGCCTGTTTGCCATGTTTTGGCGAGTTAATAGAGGCACAACATGCGGTTGTCCCGCATGCAAATGGGCTGCATGTAGCCGTTTTCTAATCGTTTGGGGTGTAACTCTAATTTCTGTAACTTGGTACAAGTTTACAGAAAGCTGATTGGCCGTTTGTCCTCGATTTCGCAGGACCTGTGTACGAATGTATCGATCCTGGGCTTGTGTAGTGGTTCTAGGACGACCTGAACTAAATCTATCATCAGCATTGTGTGTTTGTTGGTACCGGTTCCACTGTCTGCTGATCACAGACTGTGACACATTAAGCATGTTGGCTACTGCTCGCTGTGTAGAACCTATTTGAAGCATGCCAATAGCAAGTAGACATTCATCATGTTGAAGACGTCTCATTGCAAATTAAACGTAACACATTAAAACAAAGATACACTAAACAGTAAATCTTATGCAAGAACCGATAAGAAAGCAAACATGGATAGGATAAACCAGCACACGGCAGTTTTCATCAACCCTTCCTTGAAGTGTCAATTTTGACAATGAACCCCTCCCACGTGTATGGCGCTATTGCATGTCACACGTGCAGCTCAGTGGTTCTGTTGGGGCGATAAGTTCTTCATCTGTGAACATATATGTGCAAGTAATTAATGAGTGTCTTCTATGTTCTGGGATTAAAGTGGAAGATATCGCTCTCACTGTTGACTTGTTATATTTGCAGAAGAGAAGTGTATAAAGTATTACAAGTTGAAGGAATACCCCATCCTCGATATGCTGTATTAAATCGTGATCTTGGTTCTACAGAAGCACATTATCAAGAAACAGATGATGCTATAGAGGTTAATGGAGTCTTGTTTCCCAAACCGTTTGTTGAGAAACCCGTTGATGCAGAAGATCATAATGTTTATATATTTTTTCCTGTACAGGCTGGTGGTGGTAGTACACGCCTGTTTAGAAAGGTTTGTATTGTTATTGCAAAAAAAGATATCCAATCTTGTAAATTGTTCTGATTAATTGACAAAGGCAGGAAAAGATTTACAAAAATCACAGATCACAAAATGACTACTAGTACCACATTCAGTCCTAATAGAAAAATCAACACTACATTTTCCAGGACCTCTATAAACTTTCAGTAGTTATTAAATATTAATAATTATCTCCAAGAAAACTCAAGTAATTCAGTATGTAAAAAGATTGTGAAATTTGAATGGAAGAAAAATTTAACACAAAAAATAGGCATTTGGCCAAATATTAGCGCTTGCTGTCCTTTACTTCCTAGCTGGGAATACTTATGTCATTTTAAGATAATTTTAGTCATTTTGTGAAGTGGTGCTACTTATTCTCCTGCTTTGTGATTGAATTGAAATTGGTCTGATATGATAAGTGACGAATATGTATTGCAATTTTCTTCACTTGTCAGTGTTTGCAGTTCTGATATTGGCCATCTGATGTTTTAATTATAGAGCGGGAGCCCAGGGGGTTAACCTAGCTGGAAAGTGTACATATTTTCTCCTATATCATATCAATGCATGTACATCTGGTAATATCAGAATGTAAGTCTACCAGGTTTCTGGTGGTGGGCGTGGTATTCCATGCCCATAATGCAATGCCCCCCAACTAGGCTAGATTAGCTCAAAAGTGTACCACATGAAAATCGTACATCAGTGTACCGTACATCTTCAGATATTACAAAAACACCCTGACAGACATTTCTAGTGGTGGGGTACCCCCGACAGAGCTATGTAATTGCCAGACATTTGTAGTGGTGGAGTATCCCTAGGTATTAGTATTCTACGCATCCTGGCTAAAATTTTAATTTTTTAAAACACGGGAACAGTGCCCGCTAATCTATCCTAGTTGGGGGCGTGGCATTTTTGGGCTTATCTGTTAGGGGTTACCCACCGCACAAATTGTCTGGCAGTGGTCATTCATGATTTCCGTCGTGGTACTGAACAACTCCAAGGCTGTTTTAGGTGGTACAGACTTCAGCTAATCTAGCCTAGCTGTGGTCTGGAAATTAGATAACTCTTGTCAGGGATACTCCACCTCTACAAATGTCTTGCAATTACATAGCTCTGTCAGGGGTAACCCAACACTAGAAATGTCTGTCAGAGTGTTTTTGTAATATCTGAAGATGTATGGTACACTGTGGTACGATTTTCATGTGGTACACTTTTGAGCTAATCTAGCCTAGTTTGGGGGGCATTGCATTTTGGGCATGGAATACCACACCCACCACCAGAAACCCGGCTGACTTACATTCTGATGATACCAGATATATATCCATTGATACCATATAGGAGAAAATTGGTACACTTTTCAGCTAGGTTAACCCCCTGGGCTCCTTGTCTATTATGTTTGATTTAAAATAAATCTTCAATCAGAGTTGATAAATGGGATTGAAACAGCACCTCTATCTTACTCTTACTGTTTGAACTTTCAAATATTGATCCTGTTTTGCACCCTAATTTTATTTCTTTTAACTTTTTGAAAGCACAAATTGAGTACATTTAGATTCTGTCACGTTGTAAACTGAAAATTTTATGGGACTTTCCAATAAATTGTGCACATTGAAATTTTTTTTAAATACTTTATTTTGTTGAACTTTTACAGCAGAAAACTACCACTTTTAGAAAGGTTAGACGCTGTTTGACAATTGAATTTACTCAGTTTTGTGCCACAATTGTGCATTATTGGTATATCCCTCATTTTCTTTTTGAAAACATAATGCATGCTGATGTTTTTGGTTCATGTTCATGTGCGGTTTTTATGTTTTAGTAAGTGGTCAAAGTATTTAAACTTACATCTTGTTTTGATTGTGTTCATTGTCTGTTAAAGGTCAGAGGAAAAGATTATCATCAACATCAACATACCTTCATTCACCTTTATTTCCACTATATCTATATTACCATAATTAAAGGACAATATTGGTGCCAGTCATTATCATGTATGTGATAGAACTGGTTAAACACGTTCCAAATATTATTTTATCACAGAGATCATTGCTACGATAGATGCGTAATCAATGTTTCAACAATCGGAAGTGACGAACACAAAAGGAAAACACGAGTTATCCCTCTAAATAACTGACTGATAACAGATACATGGGCGAATTTCTGCTCACTAATAATTTCTTCGAAGACCAAAAGTTGTTGTGAGATGGTGAAAGGATATCTGACAATTCATAAAAAAAATTGACTGTCACTAGATAAGAGAACATGAAAGAAAAATAGAAAAAGTCCATACATTACCATGTTTTTATAAGTATAGAATGAATAAACACACGTGAATGTACAGACTGTTTCTATTTTTCTCGTGTTCTCTTATCTAATGACATTCAATTACTTTTTTGAATTGTCAGATATACTCTTACAGTTTCATATAACAACTTTTGGTCTTCGAAAGAATTTTTAGTGAGCAGAAATTTGCCCATGCATCTGTTATCACTTGTCACTTCAGTTAGTTATATAGAGGGATAACTCATGTTTTCCTTTTGCTTTCGTCACTTCCGATTGTTGAAGCATTGATTACGCATTTATCGTAGCAATGATCTCTGCGATAAAATAATATTTGGAACGTGTTTAACCAGTTCTATCAGTATCACATATGTGATAATGACTGGCACCTATATTGTCCTTTAAATGGATAAATTTGCATACCACAAAAGTAGGAATATTGATATCAGTCCTATAACTCAAATGATGTTCAAATCTTGGCACTGTGTAAAACCAAAATATATTAATAATCATGGCTGTCAACAGCTTACTGTATCCAACATCAACCCCCCCCCCCCCCCCCCCTGTTCTCAAATACAATTTTGAAAACCCTAAATTAGTTACTGGTAGGTACAAAAATAATGCACGCCCAATTCAGGTGTTAAAGGACAATATTGGTGCCAGTCATTATCATATATGTGATAGAACTGGTTAGACACATTCCAAATATTATTTTATCACAGAGATCATTGCTACAATAGCTGTGGAATCAATGTTTCACCAATCGGAAGTGACGAACACAAAAGGAAAACACGAGTTATCCCTCTATTATTAGTGGGCAGAAATTCGCCCATGTACCTGTTATCACTCATCACTTCAATCAGTTATATAGAGAGATAACTCGTGTTTTCCTTTTGCGTTCGTCATTTCCGATCGTTGAAGCATTGATTACGCCTCTATCGTAGCAATGATCACTGTGATAAAATGATATTTGGAATGTGTTTAACCAGTTTTATCGCATATGTGATAATGACTGGCACCAATATTGTCCTTTAATATTTGAATAGCGCGTTGAGTCTTCCACAGAACTGTAAGAGTTGTACGACCTCTGATTTTATTTTAAAAGCCAAATTCTATACCTCATGTGTCTGCACCATAAAATTGTTATTTTCAACTTTTCCCATTCTGTCAAATTCAACATTTTATGTTCTCGATTGATCTGTGGTGTTGTTACGTGATGGTGAAACATCATTCTTCAAGTGCTTATGTGTATCTCCACACAAGATTTTAAACATTCATTTTAAAAAAAAAATAGTCCTGCATTCTCATTGTGTGTCGGTATATTAATTATTTCTAATTAAACAGCCAGAACAAATATAAATTTGATATAGAATCAGTTGGGAAGATGCCCAAGGCCATATATATGTTAAACTTTAGCTCAATTGAAGGTACAGATATGTTTTAATGAATAAAACTTGTTAATCGTAGAAACTTTTATCCTAATTATTTACAACTATCTAAAGCTCTTTTATACATTGTTGAAGAAATACAAATTTTCACTTTCCATGTGAGGTAAACAATAAGTCTCAAAATTTCAGGCTATTAACAAAATGCCTGAATAACCATGTCTGCATATATACTTACCTAGAATATAGTGGTAAGTGATTATCAAGACATTCATAGTACAGTTGAACACTGGAGTTCCCGAAATGAGTTATATAACCCTGATAAGTAAATCTAGCCATCATTTTTAATGGTTCATATTTTTATTTGGGACCTGCAGACAGTAATTTGGCTATTTCATGCAAATTTTGTTGTCCTCCAAAGCTCCAATAGGATCAAGCAAGTTTTTGGAACAAATTTGAATATGTAGTATTGATAAAAAAAATTTATTAAAACTTTTGAAGCCCACATTTTAATTTTATGGGGCCATTAGAACAAATCAAGATAAATTCTAGCCAGGAAACTTAATTTAAGACTGTAGAAAGATAAAGAGTAATTTGGATTAATTTCAAGGTGACCATGAAGATCATACAAATTTGCCTGGGTGATTGATATTAAAACATATGCATTTGATTTGATAGTTGCATGATATTATTATTGTCCTCTGTAGCACTACATTACAACTAAGAGTTATTTCTAAGTGTGTAATAACTGTAGATTAAGTCATAACATACTATATTTTTGAACAGAAATGTATTTAAGCTAGACTTGAAGGAGCTAAATGACAAACTTTGACATAGGACTTCTGGTAGATTGTTTAAGAGACTTTGTCCATGTACATTATAGCATACTGTCCATGGTGTCTGTTGTAGCTTGGCATGAACATAATTACGGTATCTATTAAAAAGTGGAGAAGTGGAGATTGAACCGCACTGGTATAAATATTTCCTTCGTATAGCAAGGGGCATCGTCAGAAAACAGTGATAGATATACACTTGTTAATATCTTATAATTCAAGAACAGGTCACCATTGTAACTCCTATAATTTCGCTATGGTTTCTTGATGAATACCAAAAATGATCAAGCTGAAGGAGATGTACATGTTATAAATATTCAATAACAGTGGCTAATAATAGTATATTAGCATTAGGTGATAAATAACTATGGCTCTAGCATATGTTTCACTTGTCCAATATTTCCATATATTTGACCAAGGTTTCATATGCATGTACATTTTGCTAACTAATTTACAAAGTAATTTTAAAATCTTGTATCAAAATCACTCTAAAAAGTAAAATGCTTGTGTAAGTGATCACTTAACAAAGTCTGGTATACCTATACAGACATTTTCATTGGTCAGTAAGTACAAATGACCTGAACACTGTCTTCAAAGAAAACATGTCAGATAAAATGAAACTTATTTGTTGGTAAACTTTACACTGTATATATTAAGAGCTACAAATGATAGTTTGCACATTAAATTATGCACATATTAATCAAAAAACATTGAATTATATAGACACTTTGCATATACACCAGTACCTCAATCAGTTGATGTTCCAATTGCCTAAATCAATCTTTGCATGAAACCACCTTGTAATAATTATAAGTTGTAATAAATATATTTACTGGTTTTGACATCCATGAATGTATCGTCTATTTACTTACTTTTAAAGTAAGAAACATCAAACATCTATCATGAAATCTAAGTGGATTTATAATATAATTTAGATTTTAACTTAAAGAGGGAATTAAGGGTTTGCAATTTTATGTTGTAGATAAGCTAACTTCTGTCTGATACTGGATTGTTTTTTTTGCAATTTGTGTTTTTTAATTTGGCTGCTGATATAGGGTGATGGACATTGTACATTTATTTTACATTTTAATCATACTCAATCCATTTTTTTAATTTTTTCTAAATCATACTTAATAGATCACAATAAATTTTAATGCTCAGATTACACATATCAATGTGTACTGACATTTATAGGTTTATTATACAAGAAATCAGATCAAAATCATCATTTATGATCTTTCAGATGTATCTTTCTTAGTCTGTTATAAACAGATGAATTGGTTACAATAGATATACCTTATAATCGATTTCTTCATTTAATATTGTAAGTAAGTCCAGCTCTTAATCTTATGTTGATCAGTAAAAGAAAGGTTAGATTGTTAATTTCTGATTTCAGGTTAAAGATAGAAGTAGTGTTTATGGTCCACATAGTCGTGTGAGAAAAGTTGGATCTTATATTTATGAAGATTTTATGCCTACTGATGGTACTGATGTAAAGGTATGTGAACGCCTGACCATGAAATTTCAGTGTGTGAACACTCATTCAAGTTACAGCTAAAACATCAATCTAATTAAAATATAGATCTATATTTCGTTTCGTTTTTTATACTTTCGATGGCCTACACTACATGCAGAGCTAACAAGTTATAGTGGGAGTTCACGTTCTATGACATCAGGTACCAAGCAAGCGACATTTGACCCAATAACGTCAGTCATTCGATTAACCAATTAGCGACCGCCATGCTTTTTTAAATCTACTTTTCCTTTGTTTTGATTTCTATCGCTGGTAATGTCTACCCACAGTTCCACGCAAAAAAGGTCAAACGCTCGATTCGACAGACCATTTGATTGGCTGACCCCTCATTTCAAGCAGAACACGAGTTAAATAACAAGTCTTCCAGATCCAAGTGTAGTAAAGACAAGTAAAAACGAAATTTTGAACTATAAAAAACGAAACGAAATTGGATCTATGTTTTAATCAGATTGCTAAAACATAAAACACACAAATGGATATCCATTAGCATGATATTTCGACTTCCACATAAAGAAGATTAAATCAAACTGAAATACTTATCTAAAAATATAAGTTCATATATTAGCCTCCCCTATTTATACAGTTTTGCTGTCTTATGTTTATTCCATCTTACAATTGATTTTTAGCCCAGATTTGAGTCAGTTATCTGTGGTCAACTTCCCAGCAAGACGATGGTATTAATTTTCAGAATGTCAATTGAAACAAAACATCTTGTTTGACAAAAGAAAGACTTGTAGCATGACAAATAAAACCGTGTAATCAAAATTATTAATAAAACATTATTCTGTGTGGAATTTGCGCAAACCCTTATCAATGTCTGCATAGGAATAATAACAATTTTTAATTTCATGGATCATTAGTTAATTATGATGTGTAATTTGAATATCAGTATGTGCTGTATGAGTATTTGATTGTGTATATTCTAGGTCTATACGGTAGGATTAGATTATGCACATGCTGAAGCTAGAAAATCACCTGCATTAGATGGCAAAGTTGAAAGAGATAGAGACGGAAAGGAGATACGATATCCAGTATTGCTAAGCGCGAAAGAAAAATTGATAGCAAGGAAAGTTTGTATTGCATTTAAGGTAAGTGCTTTGATGAAAATTAATTGTTAATGCAATATTCAGTTATGTGACATAAACAAGATGTTCATAATATTAATACATGTTTGTATTCTGATAATTGGAGTTTGACAAAATGTTTCTATCAGGTGATGAATAGTGATCACCTTGCTGACAATAGACTTAGTCAATTGACCATATTTCTCTTGTAAGAAAATGTTAATCTGATTAGGGGGGTAAGACTAACAAATCATGTTACTGAAAAGTATGCAATAAATCCTTACTTGAAATTTATGAGCAATTTGCATGTTACAAAAGGTTTCCTTTATTTAAAATAAAGTTAAAAACTATCAGTTAATTTGGCCGATTGTATAATTCCAACCTGATGATACATTTTAGTTAACTACAGTGGCTTCAATATAATTTCCTGTTCTATATTGCAATAATTGGAAATTTGTTTTATCTACAGCAAAATGTATGTGGTTTTGATCTTCTAAGGACAAGCGGTCAGTCATATGTATGTGATGTCAATGGTTTTAGTTTTGTAAAGACCTCTAGTAAATATTATGATGATAGTGCTAAAATACTAGGTACTATGATAATGAGAGAGGTGGCGCCACAGTTGCAGTTGCCATGGATACTAGGATGTGCACCAGAAGATCTACCTGTAGTACCAACAGCATCTGGTTCAATGTAAGAATCATTTTTCCTTGTTCCTCTGATGTTGTAGGAATATATCATTACAGTGATGGCAAAATTTCAAAAGCTTTGGATGAATGAATACACATATCACTGAGAGCTCTTATCTTAATCAAAATGTGAAAATAACTGGTAACCTTATAATGAATGCAAGGATGATAATTACATTATACATTATTGACATGCATTCAATGGCATTTCACAAAGTCTATTACAAACGTTAAAAGAATGCTTTACGGAAAACGTATGTTTTGAGTTTCTTTTTAAATTCCGTTACAGTCTGACATTGTTTTACACTTTCTGGATGGGTATTCCAAAGGCGAGGTACTAACATAATGAAAGATCTGTCTGCAAATGTTTCATATTTAGTCTTGGGTATTGATAATGTGTTTTGTGATGACGATCTTGTATTGTATAATGAAGTTGAATTGGCAATCGACTTCAATTAGCAATATATGAAATTCTTTCAGAGAAGCAGTAGAGCTATGGTTGTAACTAACACCAAGAATTAGTTTTGCAGTAAACTTTTCAATTGGCTGGAGAGTAGCTGCTCTCAGGTCACAGAGCAGACTATTTTCATAATCCATAATATGGCAGAAAACTAAAGAGCTGGCAATTTGAAAAGATAATTCTCGCGAAAGAAACTGTCTCAATTTCTGCACATTGAACATTGTCAAAGCAACAGAACGGGTCTTCTGGGCAATACAATGCTTAAAGTTTAAATTTTCGTCCAAATGCATCCCCAGGAATTTAAAATAGGATGAAGACTCTTACTACAGGCGTACCTTTTCGTGATCCAATGAGAATTTTTTGATAAGCGGTTTGACCATAGCAGCTTTCCATACTGAGGCGAAAACACCGGACTCAAACGAATGGTTGATGATTTTCGAAAATGAAATAAATTGAAATGGGGTTTAACATCCTACTGCTCTGCTCTGACTGGGGTAATGAAGACAGGCATACACCATACAGTGTGCTATGAGTGAAATTTTCCTTGGGCAGCGGCACTATGGGCTACTCTTGTATCAAATTCCAACTGCCAATCGATCTTTTATGGACATGCAAATATATACACTGGACCTTCGTTTTTTTGTCCCATACGAAGGAATAGACATTTGTCCTTGTCAGGGCCTCCATCCTGCACCACTGACAAGGGGAAACCATACCAGAAGAGCCTGATGAACTTTCTCGGCTAATACAGGGATCAAACCTGCGAATTCCAGGCTAGCGGAGTCAGCATCTTACCCACTTAGCCACCATGGCTCTGGATTATTTTCGAAATCAGTGGAGCATATTTTTGACTAAAAACGATGTTAATGGGTCATGGTCACACATTGATGGTTTCACATTCTGGATAAGTTTATGAACATCATCTGTATTAACTTCTGTAAATCAGTTGATTGCAGGAACATACATAACATTAACAGGATTTGTCTGTTTTTGATAATTCCTCTAAATTAATCAGCTTGGATGAGCCAGTAAAAAAACTGCCCAAAGGCATATTTTATTCCAAATCCATTTGTTATTAGAAGTTTTGATACCATCAAAAATATTGGTTTTGGGATGTTAAATTTATACAATGTTTTTCTTTTAAAAATATTCTGTAGGATGGAATTAAGATGTGTTGTGGCTGTTGTTCGTCATGGTGATAGAACTCCAAAACAAAAGATGAAAATGGAAGTAAAACATAAAAAGTATATGGTCTATAATAAATAATTTGTGTTATGTTGTAAATTTGAAGAAAAATGTCATTGAACTGAACACTTTTGGTGAAATGAGTACATGTTAAAGTTACTTATTCTATGATTTATTTTTTCCATCTTGGGGACAGACTTAAGAATATTGTTAAAACTAAGCTAGGTCTAGGTTAACTTGTAAATTACCAAATAGACTGGAAATATTAATTTTGTTTTTCGGAAAAGAAGTCACAGCTGTCTCTAAAATGAACAGTTTTTTGACAATTAGTTTGGTCTAACAATGAAAAAAAGTACAGGTCCAAATTTCTGTTTGTATCAAAGTTTAGGGGTTGGGTGTCACTCTGAGTCATTTCCAGTCTGTCATCTAGGTAAACCCACAAGTTCGATCACATGATCATACATGTTGGTTTTATTTATAGTATCTGGTGCAAATTGATTAATAGATTAATTCGAGGGCCACATTAAGATGTGCATTGTTTGATTTTCTTGGCATCTGATAAATCATGACATATATTTACCATTTTTCCCCTTTCATTCTAGATTTTTTGATCTGTTTGAAAAGTATGGAGGTATGAAAAATGGACATCTGAAACTGAAAAAACCTAAACAGTTACAGGAAGTATTGGATGTGGTTCGACATCTTTTATCGAACAATCAAAAAGAAAAAGATCCCGAAGTGGAAGAGAAAAAGGTTAAATTCCAACAACTAAAACTGGTTTTAGAAATGTAAGTTTATTTAATATACATATTTATGTTTTACTTGAAAAATCAGCTATTTGTGCCTAGCACAGTCAGGGCAAGTACAGTCTTTAAGATATACAAGCATTTCATGTGTTTCCTGTCATTAGTAAAGGTAGACCACCATTTTGTTTTTATCAGAAATAAGGATGCAACGATACATACAAAAATAATCATGATTATTGCAAAATGAATAATCGCAATATTGTGGATTATCGTGATGAGATCATTTATCGTGATAATTCAAATAATTATGCTTGAAGTTTTATTATCACGATTATTAAACTGATAAAAGTGTAAAAGTTTTCTTTTTTCTAATGGAAATAAAAGAACTATTATCCAGGCGCATATATAGTTGTACAAACATAGTTGCCGACTGGATAATCAATGATCAACAATCTGGCTAGTGGAGTTGGTTTCTTTGACAACGATGCTCTACTCAACACCGCATGCAGTGGGGTAACTAGAAGCTGTATGTGAGATGTTTTGTTATCCTACTGTCATTTTGGCAAGATTCCACTCCAAATAATACAATATACTTTCCATATTTTATAAATTTGATTCTCCCAAATCATAATTGCAATTAATTTAAAAATGATCATGATATATCACGATACAGTGATTATTGAGAAAGGAGGTGATTATTTAATCACCTGACCCAATAATTACGATTAATCGCAATCCGTGGGCTATTGCTGCATCCTTAGTCACAAGTGACAAGTTTTTGAACGTTTTACATGTTTATTCTCAACTTACTTTAAATGAAAAATGATTTAGATCTTTGAAAGATGCACACTACTCAATGCTTTAATAAAAGACTATATAAAATTTTAGATTTAATGAATATTGTCTATATATGCAAACTATTTTCTAAGATCTGAAATTAAGAGTTAAGCTGATATGTGACAAATATATAATTAAGATGCTTACAGACTGTATATTATAAGAACACAATGTATGTTGCACATTTCTTAATATATAATTTATGTGACTCTTTAAAAATAGGCAACTGCAGTTGTCTTCCTTTGCTGAAAATGTGTCATTCTGTAGTGGAAAGTCTTTAAATAAGGAAGATAACAATATACAATGCATGCTATTCTATTATTATATTAGTATTAGACATGAATTTCAGATCGGATGAAGAATCTTTTATTGAGGTGTTATTTGGTAAGATTAAAGGGCTATCGGTGTTTTAATCAAAATACTTTTATAATATATGCCTATTTACTTTAATTTTATCTATTTAATAAACAAAACAAAAAAAGAAAACCAATTAAAACTTGGATATTACAGGTATGGACATTTTTCTGGAATTAATCGTAAAGTTCAAATCAAGTATCAGCCTAGGGGTTGTCCTAAACGGTCATCTAGTGAGGAGGGTGTGTACTGAGATCTGCTTCAAACCTTTATAACGTCTGGCAGTAGATTCATTTACTTTCTTTCTCTTACAGATAAAAACTGTATTGTACCCTTCTCTTCTTTATATCAGGTTCTTAACTAAAATAGTTGATAAGGAAATGCTGTAAAAATTCAGTCTTTTATGGATAATATCAAAATGTCAGTCATTATCTTGATGATCAACAAGATTTGATTATAATATTTTTACTTGCTATACACATGGAGGAAAGGGCTATAAATTTATAGTTGCTAAGAATCCATAAAAAGATGTTATGACAAGTAGCCTTTGAATACAATTATTTTAACAATTGTTATTGATAATAAAAAGATCATTTATAGATTGAACCTGATATGAAGTACAATAGAAGTTGTATGGTCTGGAAGTTCATGTATGGCGCAAAGACTAACACTATATATTTTAATAACAATGATTATTATTATTATATATATATTATCTTAAAAAGACGCTTTATTTTTCTAGTTAGTGGATTAGCTTGTTATTGTGATGGTATCTAAATGCTCTTGAGGAACTAATGCTTGGATGTTTGAAAACTGGATTTAATAAATGGCAAATAATCTGGTTAAGGGGGTCGGGGGGGGGGGGGTGCAGTTTTTTCTAGTAATAGGGCCTTTATTTTAAATTAGAAAATGTTTATTCCCAAAATTAATTTCAAATTCAATAAAAACTTTTTTCGTTGGTGGTTATGTATAGTTTTAAATCATTTATCAAAGGTGATTTTATAATTTTTTTTAAATTGTATTTTTATGAAAAGTTTTGCCTACTGTTCTTAGAAAAATGTTCAAATACTTGTATTGAAGTAGATTCTTAACAATTCCAAATCATGCTGCAAATTTTGTATCTTATCACAACAGCAAGCTAAAAGATGTAATATAGATGTAGTCACCCTGTACCCTATATGATCATATTATATTTTATTCTCATTTAATTATTTAGTCAAGCAATGTTTTGTGTTTATCTGCACTTTTTCTGTCCTACCTCACCAGGTATGAGTTTACTGGCATCCACCGCAAAGTTCAGTTGAAATATCAGCCGAATGGGCGGCCGTTAGGATCGTCCAGTGAGGGTTTGTAGTTTCCAACAATCTTGTCAACTTTGAATTCAAATTAATTAACTTTAAAACATATAAAATAGTCAATTTCTTTAAGCATCATTATCATTCATATTTATTATTTTCTGTAGTATTATTTACATTTAACAATTGTTTAGTGCCTAGTATGTAATTGTACTGCACTTTAGTTCTATTATAATCACTAGTCGATTGAATGTCACATACCCTTTAAAGCAAATAGAAAATATATAATCGATGTTGTATGTGTACTATACACCTTTTAGTTATTATTATACACTTCTCTTTAATTTACCACTCTCGGTAAGTGACCAAAATTTAAATCCGTCTTATTACATGTTAAAAAAAATAGGAAATGCGCGTTTCTATCACTTAAAAAAAAAACATAGCTGGTTTTCTGGAATTTATTTCAAAGGAAAGTTTTGAAGGGAAAGTTTTGAAAGGGAAGGTAATGATAAGGACAAAAAAAAAATAGCTGAATAATATGGACACGGTAAAAATCAAGCTATATTGTCCTTTCATGATTAGAAGCAGTCATATCCTAAAAAATAGGCAAACTGTAGTTGTTGAGTAATTAAACTATTTTTACTATAATGCAATCACTCTTTTATGTAACTATAATGAAAGAGTCATTAAAATCAATTTTGAAATGATGGCTTCAAATATGCCCTGTTAGTTAATACTGAATGACATGAAGTGACTTTTCAGATCGTATTATATTTTCATCAATGTTAGAACACAATGTACTCAGTGATGTTTTGATATAAATGTTTGACTGAATATGCAGAGATATGCAGTAATGGCTTTACAAAAAGAAGCAAGGTCTCAGACAATTTCCAGTGCTGGTTTGAGCACTTGATTCCTATGATATTCTTTCAAAGTGTATAACATTTTTTTAAAAAAAAAACAAATATGTGTCACCGAAAAAAAAATTTCTTTTCCTTAAATAGGAATACTTTAAAGCTTGGAATGTTGGTTGCAACTGCTTACATATAAATATTTCATGCTTGGTGGCAGGGATACAGATATCTATATATTCGCTTGTTGGAATAGTCATATTGTTTATTATACATCAAGAAATGGGTTGGAGTCAAGCTCAGAAACTGATAAGTTTTGTTCATCGACTAAGCCAGAATATATTCTTATCAGAATTATTATTTTGCTCATCGACTAAGCCAGAATTATTCTTATCAGAATTATTATTTTGCTCTAAATAGCTTATAAGTTGACAAGATTGTAGGTCCATCAGTTGTGTGTTTATACCCTTCTTTTAAAGTTCATGAAAGCTTCGTTTTGACTTGAATTTACTAAAAATATTATTAAGAATATGAGTAGCTATTATAATCTCCCTTATAATAAATGTTAATTAAGAAGTTATATGAAATAATTATTCTAGATTCAAATATTTTTAAGACAATTAATTATTGTTATAAACTAAATGTAAAAAGATAAAGTAATTTTTATATGCCCACATTTAAAGTAGACAGAGTTATGTCCCTCCCCTAGCCTATCCTCAATTTGTTTTGAACACTAGATATAGAGGTTGCAAATCACAGATTTGTCTCTCCCAATTAGATTCAAATATGGAAGCATGAGAATGCTATACATGACAGAGTTCCCATTTTTAAAACTTGAGATTGTTCATCTGGGTCTTTCAAATTCCAAATTTTCGTTTTGGAAATTTCAAAACATGTTTCACAGAATATCTTTGCATTCACATTTTGATTGTTAAAGCTTGTGAAGAAATTTTCCTTAAAATTTGAATGTCGTCTTATGTTTTCATCACCCCCATACATACCTCTATCCGTCTATCCGAAATTGCTTTGGAGGTTAAAGTTTTAAGTTGGGCATATTAGAAGCCTGGTAAGCCCAGTCTTATGTTTTTATATTACTGGTATTTGAATATAAAAACATTTGTAATGAAAATAACTACTGGCCTCCAATTTTTTTTTTTTTTTTTTTTGCTTTACATGTGTTATCCATATGCATATCTCCCCACTCTTGCTATTAATTAGAGCTCTTGTCAGATCCAAGATAACTTATTTTATTGCCCCCTCCCCTCCCTTTTGTGTGCTTTGAGATTGTAAGCTTGATACTACAAATGTCATTTTAGATTCCTTCATAATAAATTTCATCAGTATATAAAATTAATATATCATGTTCAATCATATTTTATTATTTTGAGGTCTTCTATCAATTCAACCATATAAGGCATTACAACAAATACAGCATACTTCAAAATTCAACAATCGGTATTTGCTTATACCAAATCAGTTTGATATGGCATAGGGGCATAGATATATTGTTAGGGAATCATTTTATTAATATTTTGAGACATTAAGGAATATTGATAATTTGAAATATCAAATAATACTGATATTATTAGATATCAAGGAATATAATTTTAAAATATAAAAAAAGTGAAATGTGACTTCTAGGGTACAAATCTTCAAAATATATTTGAAATTTGATTTTAACCCAACATCATTCTGATTTTACCAAATGTAATTGTAAATTTGTTTATTTTTGAGATAAAATGTTATTCTTCAATTTTAGATCTAAGTACTTATAGTTCGGATGCATGGTTTGAATGTAAGTTACATACAATCTGTGTGATTTATATTTACAAAACTTAGATGTTTTTTGAGAATCATATAACTTACTAATAATACTGATTTGGTGCATGTGTGTGTGTGTGTGTGTGTTTCACTAGAAATACATGTAATAATGATTAATATTTTACCACATAATCACAAAAAATCATCCATATTCAACTGAATTTTACCTTGAGTTACAATGTACTGAACAATAGCTGTTGTCCAATGTGGGTGGAATCTTAATCTGCCTACATATGCACTCTCAGAAGCCATGTGACGGATTTTGATAATTTTTTGACGTATTTGTCAAAGATTTAGATTTTGTCCAATAAGATGGATTGGTTGTAAAAAATAAAGAATTATATTTTTATAATTTACAAATACAATGAAATTACAAAAACAAACAAAAAAGAGACAATTAATTTTTTTTTTAATCTCATAAATTGTATTTTTAGTGCTATTTTTGGTGGATGATGTATATTGTCTGTCTGCTGTTCATATAATATTAGCACACATCCAATTAATGTATATATAAAAAAGAGTAAAAATTTGGACTACACATTCTATAATTATTGAAAGATATCACAAAATTCATATATGCTTAAAATGAAAGTTTAAAAAGAGTAATCAATGCGAAGTTTTCATGAACATTTTTGCCCGAATTATAAATTTTTATTTTATTTTGATTATATTCCAATCTGATTAAAACATAGATCCTATTTCGTTTCGTTTTTATATAGTTCAAAATATCGTTTTACTTGTCTTTACTACACTAGTAGGATCTGGAAGAGTTGTTATTATTGATGAGTTCAGGATAATGTCAGGGATTAGCCAATGAAACGGTCTGTTACGGCAAGCTTTAGGCGTGTTTTGCATGGAACTGTGGGTAATCCACTAGAAACATCAATGCTGTTTGGTTAATCAAATGTCTGACGTCATACTCATAGGGTGAAAAGCCACTCGTATGACCTCTCTGACGCCACCTATCGCTACAACCGGTCAGATCTTCATGTAGTGTGGGCCATCGAAAGTATAAAAAAACAAAACGAAATATGGATCTGTGTTTTAATCAGATTGGATTATATTCATATTTAGAATCATTCTGTTGTTTGATTTGAGCTTGATTGGTGCTCTGTGTGATGTCAAAAATTCATCCCATTTAAAAGCAAACCACTCCCTTTGTTTTCATATGGTACATGTAACTCAGAACACTGGTACAACTTATTTTAATTTATTCCTTGTAGTGCATGATGGTTTTAGGATCCACTGCGCATTCACCCATCATTTCCTGTTTCATAATTCATACACAAAAACAAAATCTATCTAGACTCTAGACATACATGAACAATAACAATTTCTGTTTAATTTGTTGTTGAAAACATAAACGATTCTTTAAATTACAATTCAGTAAATCTTTGTAGATATATTTTTCTAAATAACTTTAACCAATAATCTGATTTAAAGTTTAGTTCGAATCTGTGTTAATTTTACAAAATTTCATTAATAGCATTATGAAACTTATCCTTTGTTACTTTAGATGAAGTTCCAAGAGAACCGTCCTTGTTGCTGATAGTTAAATGGGGAGGGGAGCTAACTCCAGCAGGTAAAATTCAAGCAGAAGAACTAGGAAAAGCTTTCCGTACCCTTTATCCAGGTGGCCAAGGTAAGAATTGGATCAATGGATAAACAATAATTGTATTTTCTTTAAATATTGTAGCAGCATTACTTGTTCCCTTCAATCCACTATTCATTTGCTGTCCCCAAAATAAAATGCTATAGAATTAGAAATATGCCGTAGCCTTAAAAATTATTCATAGTGTTTAGGATCCAGAGATTTAAAATCCATACTAACATTGTTGTGACTATCACCATTAGTATTATTTAAAAAAAAAAAATTATCTAGAAAAACATTTTCACTTCATAATTACATATTAATGTTATTTTAAGTTATCAAGAAGAATGTCAGTTTTTAATTTATAATTTGAATGATCTATCAGTTAGTGATTTAACAATTTGGTTCAAATTACCATACTGAATTTGTATATGGTACATGATTATCAGAGCCTCGTCTAAGGATTTGGTCGTGCGCAGCAATGTCGGTCAAAGCCCGACTACGGTGCTCGCGGCGCGAACACCGCAGGTGAGAGCCCGTGCTGGGGGTCTGTGGGGCCCTCCCCCAGAAAATTTTGAAAATTGACTCCCTTAGACTTGATTTCTGAGCACTTAAAAAATAGTTTAGGAGATTTGATACACTATTAGTTTTGGCATCTTGTTAAACCATAGATTAATTAATACCCTGTAAAATCGAGATCAAAACACTGCTGCGGCTGACCCGCAGACAGAAATATACCCCTAAAACAATCAGAAAGACGATTTTGTAAACCTACGCACCATGATATAGTATTGGCACATGGGAAAAACCTTGTCAGCGATTTTCAAAACATATGTATGTTGCCGCCCAGTCTTCAACTTTTGGGCTCAGTAGGCGGCACAGTTTAGTCACCATGTTAAACGAGGCTCTGATGATTATGTGTGCAGATAATTTTTCAGGTCAGTTTGAGACTCCTGGACTAGGGTTTCTCAGGTTACACAGTACTTTTCGTCATGATTTAAAGATGTATGCCTCTGATGAGGGAAGAGTTCAAATGACAGCAGCAGCTTTTATAAAGGTAAATTAAGAAATTATTTACAACATTAAACACAGTCGGTTTGTTACAATTGGACTTCTTTTATTGAATACAATATAATAAAGCAAATTTAGACATCATTTCTTGGTCAATGTTTCCATATTAGTATATGTAATTATTACCTATATATTTCAGGGTTTACTAGCTTTAGAAGGAGAATTGACACCTATTATGGTACAGATGGTTAAAAGTGCTAATACCAATGGTTTACTAGACAGTGAAGGCTTGAGCTCAAAATATCAAATTGTGTATGTATGCAATTTGTTTAATGAAGAAGTAGTTTTCCCTTTTAAAATGACAAGGATATTTGGTAGGATAATTATTTAGTGAAGTGAATCTCTCTCTTAGTCTCCATGGTGTCTGTTATCTTCGGAATCGCATGTCTCATGAAAGATTTGTAATGTTATAATTTTACATGGCTTTATACTGCTGAATGCTTGAATTAACACCTCTAGAACCACTAAGCAATGAAAAAATATATTACCCATCCTATGGGATTCAAAATAATAACAATTGTAACGTAAAATATATTTTTATCTTCTGAAATGAAACAATTTTGTTGTATTCCAAATTTAAGATATATCATTAACTATAATAATAATAATACGAGCATATTATTATTATTAATGTTATAGATTATGCAGGATCTTCAATATTGTCGGCTTCAGCCGCTTGATGTTTGAAAAAAATGATTGATTAACCAATGAACCAGCCACTATATGGTATCATAAATCAATCTGCTTTCAGCTAAATTACAACGAGTTAACTATTACTTGTTGATTAAGAAGTGAATCAACTTGTTTGTCGGCTACAATAATAATTAATAGGCATACCTTTGTGAGAATCAGCCATGTGGTTCATAATCCTAGTAATTAACACATTTAACAATAATTTTAATAATCCGGTAGAAAAACAAAACAAGCTTGCCTTTGTTAAAATAAGCCACATGGCAAATAAAGAAGATCTCGACATGGATCATAAATCTGATTATTTCATTGACCTGTTGTTAATTAAATTTAAATAGTCATTGAAAAATCCCCTGAAAGAATCCCGAATATCCTGAGAAACAGTCATTAATAATGGCCTATTCAGTAGTGTTCCTACAGTTAGGACTTTTTGTTATTCAAATAACCGTAGCTATTAACCGGTTTGTAACCATTTAACCGATTGGTATCAATTTTCAACATAAAACAGACCTTGTTTGGAGGTGCAAGTCATTACTCATGCAAAAATTTCTGGAAACTTTTCATAGAAATGTACAATTCTTTAATGAAAATTTAAAATTATCTAAGGCCATAGTTAATTGATTATCTGGTTTACTTGGTTCATTTGAACAATTTTTTAATTCAGTATCTACGATAATATACAAGACAATACATGACATGGCGATAATATTACGATTACAGAATGTTATTAAGAATAGAATAAAGTAAATTGGAAGGTTTCTATTGATTGGACAATAAAGAAATAATTTCGGGCTTGCAAGTAGAATTTTTATGATTGGTTAATTTTGCGAGAAATTACTAGATATGAAATGTGTAGAATTTCGTAATAAATCTACTTTAATGTCATTGTCTAACCGTTATGATTATAATTATTTTGAATAGTGGTTACAATATTAAACAAGGTAGGATATAGTTAGACATGCCAAGAAGTATTTGAATTAGATTAACAATAGCAAAAGTCAGAACAAGGTCCGTTGACTTTGCCATAGGATAGTATTAATAGTATCATTTTTCAGCAGTCGACATCCTGGGGCAGTTACATTCTAAGATTTTCAAACATCAAATACAAAAGAAGGGCAACGAAAAACTTGTATTATAAAGAGGAATATAATGGGACATAACCCTATGTAATGGTGGACATCTGCGAATAACCATACTGTTCAATTTGAACCGTTTAACTTAGCCGTAGGAGCACTAGTATTCATAGTACAACATTCTCCATAACAAATTACCAAGAATTATTTTTGTTGAAGTCTGGTTATATTAAAGCGAATGAGAACTTATAATTACCCTATTTCCTACCGGGAAGTCATTTGACCTAATTCCGGCTGCTTTTTTTTCAAAAAGGATTAAGAACCCTAGTAAAGATATAATATAGAGATTGGTTTAATGCCCACTCTACACCAACTAGACCATTTTGGGACTAATATATATGGTTTAATTTTATTTCAATAACTCGCATGCATGTAGGGGTCTTTAGCACTGGGAGGAAAGGACCCAGAGAAAACCCTCGAGTTCATTTATTTTTGGCTCAGTTGTACACTGTTAAATCCTACATATAAATACAATTTAAAACCAATGTGGTCTCTGGAGAAAATTCTGAGATGTCATTGAAGCTAAACCATGGTTAATTTTAGTGTTAAAGAGAAGTTGAAAGATATATTTAATCAAGATAAAGATTTTACGGAAGAAGATTATAAAAAGGTAATTGAAAATAATATTATTAAAATCTCTTAAAGATTGAGAAGACACTTATGAATTTGCAAAAATATATTGAATTTAATGAACAGAATTTTAAGATCTTATAATTTCTTTATTTTCATATTGAGGGCTACTATGGCCAGGGGTGGAGGAGGGGGGATGATGAATTCTTTGTATCGATCAATGCAGAAAGGTGATGGTGCATTGATAATCCGAAAGGGCGTCCCATTTCTCCCATAGATTTAAGCAATAAAATTTCCTTCTGTTTTGGCAGTGGTTTCATGCTGGCACAAAGTAAAAGCAGACATGCAGAGTTCGTTCTAGAAAATTAACATTTAACCATCTATGATCAGTATGGAGCAAACAAATACTAATATATCTGGGCAATCGTTTAAACCAAAAATCTGGCATTCTGCAAAGCCATCATTCGTTTTTCATTATTAAAAAGGGTTGTTTAATGGCATTTTCCAAAAGGATCATCAATATTTCATTATTACAAAGGGTTGTTTAATTCACAATTGATGATTTGATTGCTTTGCAAAGGGTTACAAGTTTGTTGATTTTGATATCTTTAAGTCCAGAAATGGGCTTGAAATGTGACTGGTGACATTTAGCATTAATTTATTATTTAAAAAGGACAAATGAAATAAAATTTAAATGGCATCACATGTTTCATATCTTAAAATGATGAATGTAATTTCAGCTTGCTCCAACTGGTAGTGTGTCCTTAATTAATGCAATGAAATTTGTTAAAAATCCAAAAGAAATGTGTGATAAAGTTCATGCAATGGTGAAAGAAATAACTGCATTGATCAGAAGTCTTAAAATAGAACTAAAATCTCGAGGTAAAGATGGATTATGTATTGAAATTATTGTCAGTTTAGGTTTACAGACAGTTATATCACATTTTGCAGATACTGTATTGATTTAAAAAACTTCTATGTTTAACTTTCTATAAACCCATAATAGCAGATCACATATTAAACCTGAGGATTTTTGTGGAACATATAAATTAAACTCATTTGAGCCGGGGCTGTATATTTGGGATGGGGAGTATGGATGCAGTTTGGGGTTAAAGATAGGCATGATAGACTGAGGCACAATGAAAAATCACCATTTTTATGAATGGTTGAATGTCAATCTTTCTTCCTTTCATGAAACAAAGTTAAATAGGATTTTTTTTTTCTTTACTTTTCTAGATTTGAAGTTATATCATGGTGAATCATGGGAATTATTTATCAGACGCTGGGCTAAATTAGAAAAAGATTTTAAGTTAAAGAATGGACGATATGATATAAGTAAAATCCCTGATATATATGATTGTATAAAATATGATCTACAACATAATAAGAAAACATTACAATACGAAGGAGCTGAAGAGTTGTTTATGTGTTGTAAAGCACTAGCTGACATAATTATACCACAGGTATCTATATGTTGATATTTGGATTTTTTTCTTTATTCTATAGTGAAATGTGGTCTTTTATTCTATAACTACATGCAAATACAAGCAAATATCATTGAATACAGCCATTGAATAACCTGTGGTTGTATTCAATGGCTTGTATGCGTACTACTTTTGTCCAGAATGTCGTCACTTTCAGAATTACATCAGACTGTAATGACGTCACCACTAGCAACCACAATTTTTGTAAAAAAAGAAAGAAAAAACGGCGGAACCTATGATGAATTTTAACGTTATTGGTTATTTTGTTTTTGATAATCTGGATAGTTCAGTGTATTTTGAGATTTACATGTAGTTATAGAATATTTTCTATTGTAAAGATGTAGCCTTTTATTTACCTCATAGATAACATTGTGACATACTTCATGGAATGCAGCTATTACTTGGCATCTGCAGACGTGTGTTTTGTTGCACGGCAATCCATTTTTCTATGAATTATCAGGACAATCTGTGCTAAGATTGAACAATATTTTGTATTTCAAGTTACAATTGGTTTATGACTAAACAGGAAGTAGTAAAAATGGACATTCGACAAATAAGACTACATTATACAAATTGGTTACTGTAGATATAAAAAAAATATTGCTTGGTTCAGATGTATAGTATGGCTTAATAGGCAAAACACTGAAGAGTATATAGTAGACAATCCAAAGACATGATTTATAATACATTTGCTAAAGGTTTCCTACATTTACGGAGACGTTTACTTGATTAAACATACATTATGCAAGAGCTAAATCTGATTATTGCAAGTCTTAATTTAGGCTTCAGATGTTATAGAAATTATAAATTAGATCTTTATTTAAACAACAAGCCCAAAATCAACTCTGTAGACCCACGGATGGCTCGGCTACAGCTCGGATTTAAATAGGATTTCACTTATTGATTAAATCAAATATGGCGCACCCTGATAAGAATACGTCAGTTAGATCGAGGCTCAATGATCTTGTCCTGAAAATCTTGTAAAGTACATATTTATTCTGTGTTCTACATTATAGGAATATGGTATAACTGTTGAAGAAAAATTACATATAGCACAAAACTTTAGTAATCCTTTAATTAGAAAAATTCGAAGTGATTTTGCCCAGTGTGAACAACTTAATCAAGAAGATGATTCTACCAGATTAGATTCTAGGTAATTATTTGCAAAATTGATGCTGAATTTTAGAGTGAATTTGATATGCCCTATTATACTGTATGCCTACCACCTATACATGCCCCAGATTCTGTGCATTGGCCAAAGATTACTCTTTCTTAATAATTCTAAGCAAATTATATTTATCTAGAAATATTCTGTTGGATTTGACCTTCTCTACTACCTACAATGGTGAGAACATGGTCGCATAAAAGGTTGTTGCAATGTTAAGCGATCTTTTACAAAATGTCACTGGCCACTTTGGATACTGTATGAAGATTCAGAATTTTTAACCCATATTTTAATTTAGCCTAAGCTCTACGTCACATGCAACTGCAAATGAAATATTGATTGCTGTTTCAGATATTCAAAAGGTGTATCAACACCAGAGAGATTTGTTAGAACCCGTTTATATTTTACTAGTGAAAGTCATATCCATTCTTTATTAACTATATTGCGCTATGGTTCTCTATGTGATGAGGCTAAAGATGAACAGTGGAAACGTGCTATGGATTATATTAACGCTACATCAGAGTTAAATTATATGACACAGATTGTTCTAATGATGTTTGAAGATCCAAGTAAGGTAAAATATTTAACTGGTTTTATCTTCTAGTTCTAGTATCAAATACAATATATAAGAAAAGATTACAAAAGTCCCATTTTGTCATATTTTCGTGGTCATGTTATATTAGACCCAAAGAAGAACTTCTACTGTTTAAAGCATTTTGTACTTGTTCCAGGAGGAATCCCTACATTTGAAATTCTTGTATTGATCATAAAATTAAAACTTCCATCAGTTTGCTGACATTACCTTTAACAGAAAACTGTTAATATAAGATCGTTAGTCAATATTAGAGTATGTAGATGAATGAATAGATGAATGATATTTGTTTAGGACCCAACATCAGAAGAGCGGTATCATATGGAACTACATTTTAGTCCTGGAGCCTATACTAGTTGTGATACCAGTTTAACATCACCAAGGGGGATGGGTTATAGACCTAAACCAAAAACAGATAAGGTATGCTATAAACAATATTTGTAATTCAGTAGAAATTCATTTGAAATAGTTTATCACAGCACTACTGTATCTTTAATTTCAGTCCAAATTTTGAATATTTCAATTGAAAAGGTTTTTATGCAATGACCTCTTGGAACATTCGGACCCCAATTTGAAAACAAATGTAAATATCTGGTAAATAAATCTGCAAGTAGACTATCTGGACTACTGGAATAAAGTATTTGCTTTATAGGTTTCACAATTTTTAGGGATGGATTTAAATATGAAATTGGATGCATTTTCATTTTAGAAAGATAATAAAGATGATGTGATAAAAGAGTCAACGAGTTTGCAAGGTTCCTGTACCTGGGAGGGTTCTTTATATAAAGAACAACTTAAACCACGCCTTAGTAGATCTGACCCACAGACTTCTTATACTACACCAGGAATAAAATGCAACCTTGGAGAAATACTTGAGAGTGATCTATATGAACAGGATACTGTAGACCATTTGAATGTAAAGAGTATTTTTTATTATACGCCCACATTGAAATGTGGTTGTATATTGTCATCGCCCCCATCCGTCCATCTGTCAGTCCGACGTCCAGAATTGCTTGTTGACACTCTAGAGGCTAAAGTTAATATCTGATTGACTTTAAATTTATACACAGTGTTTAAGGTCAGGAGACGAAAAAGCTTACTGATTTTCATCAATTTCCGATAATTTCTTCCAGAGTTATGGTCCTTGATCACTTTGAAAAATCTTCTGGATGCTCTAGAGGTTAAAGTGATTATCCAATTGTTTTCAAGGTCATGAGACGAAGAGGCCTATTTTCAGTGGTTTCCAATAATTACTGCCTGAGTTATACCCCTTGATCCCTTTGGAAAGTCTTGTAGATGCTCCAGAGTTAATATCCGATTGACATTAAATCTATACGCAGTATTTAAGGTCATGAGACGTAGGGGCCTATTGATTTGAACGATTTCTGATAATTACTTCCAGAGTTATGGCTCTTGATATTAAATGTTTGTATACTAAACATTAGTATAGTGCAGAACTAGAAGACAAATTCCAATGATTTCTAATAATTACTTAATGAGTTTACTTGTACTCAGATTTTAGTGTGTTGTAAATGTTTTCATTACTGACAAGAGAAAAAAGCATGCAACTGCTTAGAAAACTTAGCTGGTGTGGGTGTATGCTTCTATGCCTGGCAACCTATCTTTATCAATTTCTATAAATTAGTCATGCTGGGCAAATGTTTTTTTTAATATATATTGTTAAATTTTGCTCCCAGGGAATTTATGTCAAGCAGTGTGAGTTTGTTTGTAGGAATAGACAATAAAGAAGTTTTTGGAGAAGGAAATCCCTTTATCTTTTTAAAATTTTATTTAAGGTTGAAAACAGTTCTTCTAAAACACTTGATTCCAGTATTCCTGAGTGGGATTGGGGAGAAACAGATGATAAAGTATGTGCAATTAAATACTAATGTCTCACAAAAATTTACTAATCAGTATTTTGCAGGGTTTGGCTTTATGAGTTGCAACTGAATTAACGAAATAAACATTGGAATAGTTTGCAAAAGTCACTTTTTTGCTTTTTTGGAATCAGAAATTTTGTGGACATTAGCTCTTTCATTGTGAAAGCAACAATTTGAATGTTCATGGATGATAATTCTGTTGAGAACTGCATCTAATAGTGAATCAACTTATATTTCACTTTAAAGTCATAACATTTTTGGCAGGACATAATGGGTGCTGCTGAATTCCAATAACAAGAACTGGATGAGTCAGAAACAGGGAGGGCTAACCCCAGATGAAAGAATTAATTCCATAATTTTAACAATAAGTTCCAGGCTCCCATTTACCTCATTGGCTTTTTAAAACTTAGTTTTAGAGCACAATATCAAATATAACTTTTTAAAACTTAGTTTTAGGACACAATATCAAATAAGGAACCTAGCATTGACCTAATAGAGGGATGAGATCTATGAGTAAAACATATAAATGCATCATTCTAAGACATTTCTTTAGTCAGCTAACCTTGTTTACTGACTACCCGTCAGAATTAAGACAGTAGGTAATAATAACCTATACGCCGTAGCAAAACTGTATCTGGACAAACACTACCCCGTCTGTAATCTATATAAAACAGTACCTCAAATTACTAACTTTTACTACATATTTCAGACATGGAGGTTTGGCTTAGTAGTACTATATCTTGACCATAAATGGCAACACATTTATTGACTCTCCTGAACAATTTGACAATACCATCATACAACGTATTGACTCCACACATATGACATGTCAAAATCATTTAGTGTTATTTTGATCATTTCCTTTTAAAGTAAAGAATGAATATATAACAAAAACTGATGAGGAGTATAATTGTTTATTTGTATTTTTAGCAGCAAGAAAAAACACGAGAGTGTAAGCCTCAGCCTACTGGCACATGTAAAAGTGAACCTATACCATGTGTGAAACCTGTACAAATAACAGTTGATCCAGTTTCAAGCCAAGGTTGAGTATTTTCCTGTTAGAAATTAATTATTTAGATCCTTGTTTTCAACCCATTCATTTTGAAATTCTAACCGGCCAGCAATTGTCTACATGCAACACCGCTTACTTGATCACTTTGATAATTGCCTTATGCATTATTTTCCTTGTTTGAAAACTCTTGTGTTTGATTATAAGGCTCAGTATTTCTTAAATTTAGATTCTTCCAAGCCACAGAGTCTTGATGAAAAACGCAGTAGAAGTCTGGATGATGACAAAAAATCGGGTAAGTACATATACACTGGAGAAATAAAATGCAAATATTTTTGATATTTCTAAGTATCACACAACATAGTAATTGATATTTAGATTAAAATGGAAAAGAAAATCAAATCAGATTTAATCCAATATTAATTTATGTTACTAAAAATATACTTGTTCATGGTTCATTTTAATTGTATGAAATTCTGAGATATGAAACAAACTTAATGTTATGGTGAGACAGAAAATGTTTTTAATTTTAGATGAAATCACAACGTCTAATACAAACGGTAAATTATTAAAACAGTGTCTAAATGTTCACTGGTTTCTATTTAGTTTTATTTTCTGGTTCTTTCTGTCTTTTAATGTAACTATGTAGGTAACTGTAAATCAATAAATCGAACATTCTGGCTAGACTGAAATTTAAATTCTAAAATAATCACTAAAAGCTCTTAATTTGAAAATAGCTTGTTTTGAATGAACTAGATATACTTAAACAAAAATTGATTTTTGAAATAACAAAAATGAAGAAATGTGTGTAAAAAAATTGCATTATTAAGAGTATGAACTACAGCTCTAGTTGAAAATTTCCTGAAGAAGTCGCAGTAGACTCACATTTCGGAACTGTAAAATATGTCGGATTTATAAATTGTTTCAGTCAATCATAGATGACGGTTGTAAATATAGAATTCAATTTTAAGGATTAAAGAGAATTCCGTAATAAGTTTGATTTAAAAATTTCATTAGTTATCATCACTGCATCAATCAGTTATATTGGTCATTATATTAATATGTTAAGTTCATTCCTCATTCCTGTAAAATCGATTATTGTTTTATCATTCTTTTAGAATTATGTTACATTCTGAAGTAATTCTATATTCATGTGGCTTGTGTGCATGGTTACAATTTGTTTTCTTAGCTCCAATAATGCTTGAATATAGTGTTGTAAATTTTGAAGTAGCTGTTCCTTTTTATCTGCCCACATTGCATATGGGAGTATATTGTTGTCACCTGTCAATCTCTTCACAATTCTGTATAGGATTCACAGATCAACAACATTTCAGTAAATTGTTCTTATTTAAACATTTTGAATGCGAATAAGACCTGGGATTTGGAGATGGCATTATTAATTCCATGACTTTTACCACATCCACAAAACTGCTGATGGCATATTTCTGTAGCTTGGCATTCCTATAATTTTATTTTATTAATTTCATTCAGTGAGCTTTCAAAGAACAAGTATTCCTGCTTTTAATAATGACTACAAAAACTTTTTTTTGCCCTTTTTTGATATCAACTATAATATTTTAAATTGGTGTAGTTTTTTTTTTAAAAAAAGGGTATTAGAAAACATTAAAGTGATTATAGAACCTTTTTTTTTAAAACATTAACTTTGATTTTGATTTATTTATGTTCATGGTTATTATTAGAAATGCAATGACATATGTACCTGTATATTTAATGTTGTATTGTTTTTAAAGGTAGTCTCACCCCTTTAAAGCTCACCTTTGTTCATGGCAAGGATAAAACCAAACCGCGATACTTGCATTCATTTTCCAGTGAATTGTCAGCCACCCTATCGGAGCCCATACGTTAGTATTCATATCTTTCAAAGCATGCAGATTGCATTCTTTCCTTGTTCACTCTTTTTTGTAACAATTTCACAATAGACTAGATAGATAGCTTTACAATTCAGTTTATATAATTAACTATTGTTATGTTAAATATTTTATATTCTGTTATTTGTCCACTTTTAATGTGAATGTATATTGCTGTCGTTGTCCATGTCTGTCTGTCTGTTGGTTACTCGAAAATAGTTTAATGGATTGGAGTCCACATTTTTTCATCTAGTTTATATTTAAATTTTAACTTGGTACATGAACAACTGTTCAATCATTCTATAAGTGTAAGTATTAAGAGGTAAAAATAAGTAAATACTTTGATTTAGAATATTATGGAATTTAATTCACTCAGTACACTCTTGTTACATTCAAATTGTTGCTTTCACAATGAAAAAGCTAATGTCATTGATCATTTGTTGTATTTTCTTAATTCTGATAATGGGCGTATCATAACATGGTGGGGCTCGTTTATGCTAGTGTTTTAGTTTATTTATGTTAAACATTATATTTTTCTTATATATATTTGCTTGGTATTATTTAATGTTATATTTATTTCAAGGAATGGTGTGCACAGAAAACTTATCTAGGAAAAGGACTATTCTTGATATAGTTTATTGTGTAAGGGGATAGGCACGCCTATTGTAGAATAGAATTAAAACATAAAGAACAAAGTAGCCATTCTTTTGGCCAGATACTTATCTAAGTCTGATTTTAAACCTTAAGTCACCTTTTACTGGTAGTAGACTGATAAAGCATAAATGTAATAGCAACTAAATGGCTGAGTTAATGGAATGTGTAAACCAATATTTTTGAATAGTAGGCCTACTGCAGATTATTTTGGTATAACAAAATTATAATGTGAATGATTTGATCCAATATTGACCCTATATTATTCAGCTTATTGAATGTCACTTTGCATCTGATAATAACTATTTACCAATTCCATCACATATAGATTGCACGCAGTATTAAAATGTGGTACTACTGCTTTTAATTAACAGATATTTGAAATGTCCTAAAATCATATTTTTAAACCACTCTAGTTAATTTTGTTCAAATTGATGGGGTTTAATATTTTTTGGTATTTAATTTGATTATTTTTTTTCAATTCAAGTTTCAAGTAGTTTTATTGTGGAGTAGTTATCACCTTTGACCATCTTCGGTCGGTCCATTCCAAATTATTTTTAACCCTGTTGTACAGAGCAGAATTCCTTATTGTTCTTTATGATAAGGATAACCCTACTATAGAAGTATCGGTAACTATAGGAATGGAACATTAATTATAGGCTACCAGTATATAGATTGCAGTCAGAGATCACCATGTATCACACATGAACAAAAATAAACTCATCACTATTTACATTATCATTTTGTCATCCTGCAATACCTATTTATTGTTGATATAATAAAGACATCTGTCAAAATTCTAAATAAAATATCTTTTGAAGTTGCCACCCTGGGCTTTGCTGCTGGTGGGTGTGTAATCAATCTCACATGGTAGCCAACTTATGTACTATATTTGATCCTTTAATTTATATGATACGATTTTATAACATAAAGATACAATTCTGGCCCTTGAACGGTAAATATGTACATGTAGGTTGAAGCGATTCCTTAGGCTTATGGTGGCCTGTCTTCCAAAACGTAGCATTATGTTTTTATATTTTTTTAAAATAAGTTGTCATTTATCATTTATCGAATTTAAACATGTCATTTTGATATAGGATATGATGTTCTTTGTCCTGAATGTATGATAATTCTGTAGACAAGTCATGAAATCACTTACATCAAAATAATTTATATTTCAGAAAATAGACTTCGTCTACAGGGCAAGTGTTTATATTGGAAAATTATTTGTTCATTAGATCTGAAATTAGTAAACTACACACACCATTTCTTACATTAGATGATTTGAAAATTAAAAATGATGTATTAGAATTTCTGCTCCTAAAGTGTTTTGATTTTTAAAGCACTATTTGTTCTTCATAAATATAGTTGGGTTTCTTTTTTAGTAATCTTGGTTTAGAGTTCCTTTTTTTTTTTTTTGCTTTTGAAAAATGCATGATGCCCTGATGTAATAATTGCAGCAAATTACAAGGGGGAAACGTGTGTAAAAGTATTGTATGAATTAAACAGTTAACATCTCTGAACGTCATTTAAGGAATTGTTAATCCCTTGCAAACTACAATATTGTGAAAGTTTAACCTCTAAAAGGAATATCGGTCTAAAATTATCAATTATTTCTTAATATTTAGCATCCGCCACAGATGATAAAAACTGGATATGATCAGGATGGCCAACATTAACTTTAGTCAAACTGACCAAAAATGTGATCAGAATTTATCTATATAATTGAATAATTTGAATTTTTATTGTATGACAAATCTATGGTGATTTTTATACGCCCACATTTGCATGGATGCATTATGCTATCGTCCCTGTCTGTCCGTCCGTCCCAGGTTTTTTTGTGGACACTCTACAGGCCACAATGTTTATCTGGTTCCTTTCGATATTGGCAAGTATCGGACCATAACTTCATGGATTATGGTCCCTGATTGTACGAAAAAAAATCACGTTTTTAGCTTGTGGACACTCTTGTGATTTTGATGAATCTTAAAATGCATGTTTATAACCCAACGATCTTGGTTCGTTTCGATATTCACGCATATCGGATTGTAAATTCCTGAGTGATGGCCCTTGATTGTACCCAAAATTGCGTTTTTAGCTTGTTGTCCTTCAAGAAGTCACAATTATAATCCGATTTTAAAAAAAACCATTGGAATATATCACCGCTACAACATATTGATTTTCGTGAAAATTGGACCAAAACTGCTGGACAAAATGGCCACCATTTGTACACAATTAGTGTAAAAATAGGTGACAATTTGGATCCGATTTTGATGAAACTTGAAATACATGTTTATAACCCAAAGATCTTGGTTCCTTTTGATATTCGTTCATATTGCATTGTAACTTCCTAAATATGGCCCTTGATTGTACGAAAAATCATGTTTTTAGCTTGTGGACCCTCTAGAGGTCACAATTTTTATCCAATTTAAAAAAATGTTTGAATATCACCATTACACCCTTGTATGCAAATAGTGTAAATATATGGTATATCAAGGTTGTGGACCCTCAAGAGGCCACAATTCTGATCTGATTTTGATGAAACTTTAAATTTATATCACAAAGAGCTTGGATAATTTCTATAATCGTGCATATCCGAACATAACTTTCTGGATTATGACCTCTGATTATCGAAAAATCGCTTTTTTAGCTTGTGGACCTGCTAGAAGTCATAGTTTGTATTCAATTTTAAAAAACGTTTAAATATACTCTTCAAAAAAAGTAGTGGATATTCAGAAACAATACAAAACTGCGGAAATGCACTGTTGTTTTTATTAGAGGTAACCAGTGTATGTTAATAACAGGCCAATTGCCTACACATGAACATAAACAGTTCATATGGGCGGCTTATCTGACGGCCCCATTTCACTCGCAAAGAGATACACCGTCAAAAGTGAAAATGGACGTTTTTGATTTTTGTCTGAATAATGAGTCCTTATATCCCAAATATCTCAGTCCCTTTTGATATTTTCACGCATTTCAGACCATAACTTCCTGAATTATGGCCCCTGATTGTATGAAAAATTGCTTTTAGTTTTAGCTTGTTCTCTATCCACCTCTTGCAAAATGTGGGCGTATCTTGCCTGACAACCGCTGGTAACTCAAATTGAATCCATGCTGGAATCTACTCTTGATTTTCGTCCCCCACCTTTCGAAGAAAGCAGGGGACTATTAAAATGGGTTCGTTGATCTGTTTGTGTGTCCGCCCGTCCGTCTGTCTGTCCTTCTGTCTGTCCATCAACTTTTTGGGACACACTTACTTTCTTTCTAATCGAGCTAGAATGTTCAAACTTGGTGTAGGTGTTTATTAGGTCATTACCTTGATGGAGTACGAAGATGAGCATTTTCTAGTTATGGTAAGCAGAGATACTCAATTTGATTGGTTAATGCTTAGGGACACGATAACTTTAGTTCTAATTAAGTTAAGAGTGATGAAATTTGGTGTATAGTTTCATTACGTCAATACCTTGACTAAGTTCGATAATGAGCATTGTGTGCTCAGGGTAAGCAGAGCAATAAACAATTTGATTGGTCTAGACTTTGGAACACAATAACTCTCATTCAAATTGAGGTAGAATGTTCAAACTTGGTGTTGGTGATGATTGGGTGAATGCCTTGATGGAGTTCAAATGTGAACATTTTCCGCTTAGGGTAAGCAGAGATAAGCAATTTGATTGGTTGATGCTTTGGAACACGATAAGTTTGGTTCTGATTGGGTGAGAGCGATGAAACTCTGAGTATAGATTCATTATATCAAGATAACTTTGATTATAACTGATGGGGAGTGGTGAAACTTAGACTACCATGTACTTCAAAACCTGAGTTTGATAGTTAACATTTTATGCTTAGACTAAGCATAGATAATCTAAGCATAGATAATCAGTTTCATTACTCAATACTTTTGAAAAAAATAAATGTGCAATTAATTAATATGTGTCATCTGTTTTTTTTTTGTTTTTTTTTTTGATTTCACATATGTGATAGAACTGGTTAAACACATATCAAATATAGTTTTAATAATATAATTGCGTCACTTCCGTTTCTTCAAATCTTTGTTAAGCATCTATCGTAGCAATGATCTGTGTGTTAAGATTGTATATGGAACGTGTGTAACCAGTTCTGTCACATATGTGATAATGGCTGACGGCAATATTGAGAGAATGTTAGATTGGAGACAGTCTAGCACATATGACGTCATATATGGAGTGTGGGTTAGGGTAAGGGTTAGGGCTGCAGATTTGGTCAAGGTCTGGAGATGCAAACGGGGCTAGCGCTAACCCTAACCCTAGACCAAGCCGTAAACCTAGCGTTCTCCCCAATATTGTATTTTAAGACATGCAAATTTTCAGAAAAATGCAAATGACGCACAGAGACTTTAACTTATCCATTGAAAATACATTTTTTATACCTCATTCTAAAAGTGTGTGAAGTTGTACATATTTCCTTCTGTTTTATCTGTTCCTGTTCATTGTTTTACATTTGGTTTTCAATGAACATTCTTCTCTTCTAGTAAATAGTAGTGCTCTTTAACATACCTCCAGAAATATATCTATCAATAGGATGATGCTGAAACTTGCAGCTTGCTTATATTAATGCCCCACTGTAGATTAGTACCAATCAACACTATATTGCTAGAGATAGGTCTACATAGAATGTTATCAAACTATTATCTGTGCATATAATTTTAAGGTGGGCTCAAGGTGCTTTAATTAGGCTAATTATTATTATAACATACTAATGATATATGTAATTGAATATATGCAATAATCAATGTCACAGTGTACTATTATAGTGTCAAAATATACATGCACCAGTATATTATATAATCAAAATATACATGCACCATATTTATATAATATTGTTAGAATATAAGCTTAGGCTGAGAAGTGTCAGAAATTTTACTATGTTACAGCTTTCAGATTAGATCAGCTGTGCATGGCCTTCCTACAGCCATAATAAACTGTGGTCATATATTGCCATCTGTCCATCGCTCTTCCACGATTTCTTTTGAACAATCTACAGACTACATTATTTATCATCCGATATATTTCAAATTTATGTTTGGTGTTTACATTATTGAGACGAAAAATTTCTGAGTTCTTGTCCTTGATCACTTTGTAAAATCTAATTGAATTTCAACAATTTCTTTTCATTATTTCTATCAACGATATATAGCAAAAAATGTTATCGTATGATGTGCTTGAAATTTATTAAAGTTGATCAAATTAGTAAAATGAAGAAGCCTGTCGAGTTTCAACAATTTATGTTATTTACTTCTAGAGTTATTACCCTTGCTGACTTTGTAGAAACTTGTGAATGCTCTAGTAAAACAAATATCCAGTCCGCTTGACATTCATATAGATTGTATGGTCCTTGCTCACTCGGTACAATTTTATGAATGCTTTAACATCGAAAGACATTTGATCTACTTTTAATTTCTGTTCATTCTTTATTTGATCAATTAGAGATTTTTTGCCGTTGATTATGCCATAGAATCTGGTCAACGTGTGTATGATATATAGTATATGTACAGTATAAAGATTTTACTTTTTATTTATCTTAGGATTCACAATGTGTCAACCTTTATAACCTGCTCAGATGACTTAGCTGTTGTGGGTGTATGTTTCAGTGCCTGGCAACCAATCATATAATGTTTTAGTTTTTGTTGGCATGTTATTTGTTTTGAGGTTATATCATTTCTTTTGTTTTTCCTTCATTTTGTGTGAGGTTGTGTGGATGGGGTGAATATTTAAGGTTTAAGTTTTTCAAAAAGATAGGAATAGTTAATTGAATGAAAAAGATAATACAAAAATGGTGACTGTTACATTTATTAGTTACACAAATCTTGTAAACCAGAAGTCTAACAAAAGAAATGTCCAGTTGTAAGAATTGTAGCTGCTACAGATATCAAATAGAGGATGTATGAAGCACATTGTGATTTTAATGTTATTTAAAGTTGTCATACTTTTTTCAGCATATGTTCATCGTCATTATCAGACTGTACATTTACCTTTAAATTCAGACAGACATCGGCATTCCTGTTCGAGTTTATTTTACCTTAATACAAATGCCCTGAAAGGTAATTACAATTTATAATTTACTATTTTCTGTACCACTTGGAAAAGTAATTGCAATGTATAATTTCCAGGTCTTGTATTGTTCAAATTGGAAAGGCAATTAATATCCCAGATGCATAGCCTACATGCTTTATTTTTAATAATTTGAACAATTTGGATTTAATCAAGTAGTCATGAAAATGTAAATTTATTTAATGCAAAGAAAATAAGACGCACTTTAATTTCAGCTTTTGAGGGTTTTAATATGGTGCCGTCCATAAAACCGCTAGAGACATTACACAATTCTTTAACATTTCGAGCTGTGGATGATTTTCTCCATCGTACAACGACCAACAGATTTCTAACACCTTTAGCATCTCCACCATATAATCATGATTTCCCGGCTGGTAAAAGTCTTCCACTTACAGTTCCTAATAAAAGTAAGTTATTAAAGCTAAATATTGTGGATTGTATATCCTCATTATGGCCTGTAATGTACATTTTACAGGAGACACAAGATGAAGTAATGCAATAATAATTATCTGATAAACTGTTTCAATGGCATTTAGTAATTGAACTAGAGTATACAGGTCACAATTCTATGGAATACAATTACTGCTTTTTACTGAGCGACGTTTCGACTAGGCTTCTCTAGTCATTATCAAGCTATGATAAAAAATGAAAATATGACAGGACAATATATACATGTACACCACAATGCTAAGTTAATGATGACAAACCAGGGATGTAACTTAATTACGTGTACCTAATGGTAATCTGATTTAATTGTACGCTAATAAGTAATAATACCAATTAACCTAAAAAATTGACTAATTGATTAATGGATAAGTTGTTGTGGAGTATACACAATGATTAGTGGGTTTTAATAATACAACCGTTGCAAGAAAATGAAAATTGATGAAATGTTATCAACGACCCCTTTCACTGAAATAAATACAAATGGTAAAAGGATAGATTGTTGTGGAGTATTTACAACGATTTGATGAGGTTTTGATAATGACAACATCCCACAAAGATGAGATTTGATTTGTGTTATGACCAAAATAATTGATATGTGGATGTTGATGCGAGTGATTACACTGATATACGAAAAACCCTTAGAACAATGACTGCACAAATGATCAATAGTCCCCTGAAGGCTGACAATTTAAAATATTGAGTGGTACTTCACTGGATGTTATGGTGATGTAGAAAAGCAGGGTTAGAAATATTGAGTGCATTAAATTACAATAACCGCAGGCCTGAAAAGCAGAAATGCCTGAAAAGCAAAAATAGTTGGGAATTATTAGTTGTCATTTTTGCATATTATGATGGTTATTACAAACTTAAAGTTGTTTCTGGAATATTGATAAGTATTAAATATGATAAAAAAGAAAAAAGTAGAATTATGCTTAGCCTTGATTATGTGATAAGAATATCATACGCCCTGGGAAGGAACAATCCTTGATCTCTGTTCATCGTTGGTTTGTGTCGTCGTATATGAATGGCTTCATGTAATCGGCGCGCTCTCTTGTTGCTTATATTCTTGCATAGTGGTTTTACGTTGGACCATTGGACTCTGTGGCGAGGGTTGGAGTTCAAATGTTCAGCTACAGCTGAGTTGTTGGTTGCTGCTTTCGACTTGTGGTCATCTATCCTTTTATTTAATGGTCGCTTTGTCTCCCCGATGTATGCAATCCCACAATTGCATACTATTTGATAAACACATCCCTTTGGTTGTGGTGGTTGTGTAGGATTTTGTTTACCATTGGCTCTTAATATATCTTTAGTGCTGTAGCTTTTTGTGAAAGTTACATCTATTTCTGGTTGTTGCATTAGTAGCCGTTTGATTTGGTAGGAGACTTTGCCGTTGAAAGGAAGGAAGATTCTGACTGGGGCAGTCAGGGTTTTTGGTTTAGCTGCACTCGCCGACAGGGTCTTGTTGATGGCGTTTGTCACAAACTTCCCTGGATAGCCGTTGAAATTTGTGAAGACATGTTTGAGATGATCAATTTCCTTGGAGAGGCTCTCAGGATCACATATCTTTTTCGCACGGTTCACCAGAGTTGAAATTGTGGCCGATTTGACGCTATTCGGGTGATTCGATTTGAAGTGAATGTATTGGTCGGTGTGAGTTGGTTTCCTATAGACACTGGTGCGGATCGAGTTGTTGGTTTTAGATACACAAACATCGAGGAAAGGTAGTTGGTTATCATTTTCGGTTTCCATTGTGAATTTTATACGTGGGTGTTGCCTGTTGAGGTGTTGTAACAGTGTTTCTGGATCATCTTGTTGATTGATAATAACAAAGGTATCATCCACTTGCCTAAAGAAGCATGTTGGGGTTACGGTGGATGTTTGAAGCGCCTTCTCTTCTAAATCAGTTAAAAATATTTCTGAAATTAAAGGGGAGAGGGGGCTTCCCATGGGTAATCCATTGGTCTGTTCGTAAAAATCGTCACCCCAGGAGAAATATGTTGAATTGATGCATTGTTTCAACAAGAGTATGATGTTGTCTGTTGATAGGGAAGTCTCTAGTGGGTTTTCTAAACTTTCTATGCGCTTGCGTAGAATCTTCAGGGCCTCTTCCCTTGGTACATTTGTAAACAAATCTACAACATCATATGAGACCATCCTCCCGGGGTTTTGAATATTCTGCAGTTTCTCACAGAATTCACCTGAATCTTTGATGAAGGACGATGCAGTTGTGCCAAGTGAGGAAAGTAGTTTTGATAAATATTGGGCTGTGTTGTAGAAGACTGAATCTCGAGAACACACCAGCAGACAGGCTTTCATGGGGTTTTTGTGGATTTTTATGGTAGCCCTGGCATAAGGTGGTCGAGGGTGGTTTGGTCTGAGCTTGTAATAGAGAGCTTCAGAGATCTGTTTGTCTTCTTTTAGTTTTTTAAGCAAGTTTTCATGGCTGTCCTTGTGCGCGTTTGTTGGGTCTTTGCGGATTCTTCTATATGTTGCTGGATCTTGGAGTAAACCGTTTACCGTTGTGAGGTACTCGTGAGTATTCATGATGACTGTTGCTTTTCCCTTGTCGGCGGAAACAATTGTGATAGATCTGTCGTCTTTTAGGTCATTGAGGGCTTTCCTTTCTTGGCGGGACACATTGGTCGTCTGCTGCTTGGTAGATGCCTTTGCTAGTATTTCAGTTATTTGGTGCCTTAGGTAATCGACTTTACCACCTGGAGCGAGTTGACGTAATCCTTTCTCAATGTTGACAATATAGGTGTCATGGTTCAGGGACTTTGTGGTCGGTGCAAACTTTAATCCCCTTGATATAATGGTAATTTCGTCATCGGTTAAGTCTCGATCACTAAGGTTGACTACTGTTTTCGTTAAGTATTCTTCTCTTGATTGTCTGGTACTATTTGAAACTGGACGCTGTGGTAATGAAGATCTGAGGTTGTTGAATTTATCCACCTGCCGCTTTCTGACAGTTCCATCCAACAGGGCATTCGAACTGATTTGTTTTTCTCTCACTGTGTCGTAATCTTTAGGAGACAGTCTGGATTGGAGCTGAATACGCTGTTGTTCAGAAAGAGTGAATAAGCGGTGCTTCTCATTTCTATTGTGCTGGATCCTCTCGCGAACCAAGCATTTGCTTGCTTTGGCGAGTATTTTCGATGCAGCAGGTGAGGTGATTGGTGATTTGATAATTAGGCCCTTGGGTACTATATCGGCATCCCTGCATCGCATCAAGAAAGTAAGATTATTACATACATGTACATATTTTCCTTCTGTTCTTCGTATCTGATCAATGAGTTTGACTGCCACATCTCCATACTGATGTCTGATAAACTGTTTCAATGGCATTTAGTAATTGAACTAGAGTATACAGGTCACAATTCTATGGAATACAATTACTGCTTTTTACTGAGCGACGTTTCGACTAGGCTTCTCTAGTCATTATCAAGCTATGATAAAAAATGAAAATATGACAGGACAATATATACATGTACACCACAATGCTAAGTTAATGATGACAAACCAGGGATGTAACTTAATTACGTGTACCTAATGGTAATCTGATTTAATTGTACGCTAATAAGTAATAATACCAATTAACCTAAAAAATTGACTAATTGATTAATGGATAAGTTGTTGTGGAGTATACACAATGATTAGTGGGTTTTAATAATACAACCGTTGCAAGAAAATGAAAATTGATGAAATGTTATCAACGACCCCTTTCACTGAAATAAATACAAATGGTAAAAGGATAGATTGTTGTGGAGTATTTACAACGATTTGATGAGGTTTTGATAATGACAACATCCCACAAAGATGAGATTTGATTTGTGTTATGACCAAAATAATTGATATGTGGATGTTGATGCGAGTGATTACACTGATATACGAAAAACCCTTAGAACAATGACTGCACAAATGATCAATAGTCCCCTGAAGGCTGACAATTTAAAATATTGAGTGGTACTTCACTGGATGTTATGGTGATGTAGAAAAGCAGGGTTAGAAATATTGAGTGCATTAAATTACAATAACCGCAGGCCTGAAAAGCAAGAATATAAGCAACAAGAGAGCGCGCCGATTACATGAAGCCATTCATATACGACGACACAAACCAACGATGAACAGAGATCAAGGATTGTTCCTTCCCAGGGCGTATGATATTCTTATCACATAATCAAGGCTAAGCATAATTCTACTTTTTTCTTTTTTATCATATTTAATACTTATCAATATTCCAGAAACAACTTTAAGTTTGTAATAACCATCATAATATGCAAAAATGACAACTAATAATTCCCAACTATTTTTGCTTTTCAGGCATTTCTGCTTTTCAGGCCTGCGGTTATTGTAATTTAATGCACTCAATATTTCTAACCCTGCTTTTCTACATCACCATAACATCCAGTGAAGTACCACTCAATATTTTAAATTGTCAGCCTTCAGGGGACTATTGATCATTTGTGCAGTCATTGTTCTAAGGGTTTTTCGTATATCAGTGTAATCACTCGCATCAACATCCACATATCAATTATTTTGGTCATAACACAAATCAAATCTCATCTTTGTGGGATGTTGTCATTATCAAAACCTCATCAAATCGTTGTAAATACTCCACAACAATCTATCCTTTTACCATTTGTATTTATTTCAGTGAAAGGGGTCGTTGATAACATTTCATCAATTTTCATTTTCTTGCAACGGTTGTATTATTAAAAACCCACTATCATTGTGTATACTCCACAACAACTTATCCATTAATCAATTAGTCAATTTTTTAGGTTAATTGGTATTATTACTTATTAGCGTACAATTAAATCAGATTACCATTAGGTACACGTAATTAAGTTACATCCCTGGTTTGTCATCATTAACTTAGCATTGTGGTGTACATGTATATATTGTCCTGTCATATTTTCATTTTTTATCATAGCTTGATAATGACTAGAGAAGCCTAGTCGAAACGTCGCTCAGTAAAAAGCAGTAATTGTATTCCATAGAATTGTGACCTGTATAATAATTATCTGGTTTATCTTACTGAAATACATCTGAGACAATTCATTTCAAACATATTAAATAATATTGCAGTTGTTTTTCTTCAAACCATTATATATGAGGATTTTACAGGAAAGACCACAGTCCTTGATGTAAGGGTTTTTATACACCCACATTTTCATGTGGACGTATATTGTCATCGCCCCTGTCCGTCCGTCTGGACGTCCGTCCGTCCACAATTGTTTGTGAACAGTCTACAGGTCACAATTTTTATCTGATTTCAATGAAACTTGAAATATAGGTTTATCACCCTAAGATCTCGGTTCCTTTCAATATTGGCATGTATCGGACTGTAACATCATGGATTATGGCCCCTGATTGTACGAAAAATCACGTTTTTAGCTTGTGAACACTGTAGAGGTCACAGTTTTTATCCGATTTAGTTTAAACTTGAAATGTATGATTATAACCCAAAGATCTCGGTTCCTTCGATATTCGCGCATATCGGAACGTAACTTCCTGAATTATGGCCCCTGATTGTACGAAAAATCAAGTTTTTAGCTTGTGGACCCTATAGAGGTCATAATTTTAATCCAATTTAAAAAAAAACCGTATTATTATATCACCGTTAAACCCTAAGGACGGCTGAGTTCGAATTTCGTGAAAATCGGCCCAAAACTGACAGACAAAATGGCCGCCGTTCGTTCTCAAATAGGGTAAAAATATGGTATATCAAGGTTGTGGACCCTATAGAGGTCACAATTTTTATCCGATTTTGTTGAAACGTAAAATGTAAGTTTATAACCCAAAGATCTCGGTTCCTCTCGATATTCGTGCTTATCGGACCGTAACTTCCTGAATTATGGCCCCTGATTGTATGTAAAATCACGTTTTTAGCTTGTGGACCCTATAGAGGTCATAATTTTTATCCGATTTAAAAAAACTTATTATTATATCACTGTTACATCCTAAGGACGACTGAATTCGAATTTCGTGAAAATCGGCCCAAAACTGACAGACAAAATGCCCTTCGTTCTCAAATAGCGTAAAAGACCCTAAAGAGGTCACAATTTTTTATCCGATTTTGTTGAAACTTGATATGTAAGTTTATAACCCAAAGATCTCGGTTCCTTTCGATATTCGCGCATATCGGATCATAACTTCCTGAATTATGGCCCCTGATTGTACGAAAAATCACTTTCTTTTTAGTTTGTTCTCTATCCATCTCTCGAAAATGTGGGCGTATCCTGCCTGGCAGCCGCTGGTTTTTTTTTTGCTTTATTTTAGGACCTAAGTGTGAAATGGTGGGTTTTGTAATGAATATATATACACATTACATTTAATACACCTGTAATCAGTTACTTTTTGATTAATCCAGTCTTTATTTATGAGACAAAACTGTGTACTGTTTAGGTTGCTGTTGGCACATTATATTTATGAGTAACTGAATTTCCAACACTGGCAATGTATTAAGGTTGCTTTTACAAGCACTTCTAAAATTATTCCTAACTCCTTCTACAACCCATGTCTTATGCTAGGTTCCCACTATCATGATTCTTCACGCTAAGATTGAAACGTGGGGTAATTCTTGGGTGATCCTATCAGGCCGCATCATATATTGAGGTCAGTAGTAGCAATCGTCTTGATCGTATCGAAACGTATCTGGATGTACCAGATCGTTGACTCAATAAGCACAATCCTATCGTAGCGCATCGCACGACAGTGGGAACCAAGCATGATGATTAATCCTGTTTTATTTCAACTTAGATGACATCAAGGATATGTGGTAGGGCTTAAACAAAGATATATGCCAATTGAACTCCTCAAAATCAGTTTACTGATTTTATGAATCTTTTTGGGTTTGAAGATTTTTGCAAACTTTTGTGACCATACTCTATTTAGGCGTACACTTGACATCATTTGTGCCCATGAATGTTCTACAAATTGTTCTGATGATCATACACAATGGAATACCTTATCGAAATTCAAAATTTTTCATTCGCAAAATATATAGAATTAGTTACCGGTTTATGTTGGATAACAACACTAATAATGTTTTATTTCACCAGAATGCATGGCGATTCCATGCCTGATTTACATTCCAACTCACAAAAATTTGTTAACTTCTAGTAAGAATTTCTAATGCATTGCTGGCATTGTTCATCTGAACAGATTTATAGTCTGCTAGATAAATCGTCAGTGAAATACCTCTGTGAAATCCAATTATACATGTTGACCACAGGTCACTTATAATCAAGTTTTTATTTTATGCAGTTTTATACTAATCAAATTATTATTATATTCAATATTGTAATCATCGAGTTATTATTGTATATTATTATATACTATGCAATATTATGACGGTAATTATCAAGTTATTATTTTATGCAATATTATACCGGTAATCATTGAGTTATTATTTTATGCAATATAATCATCAAGTTATTAGTTTATGCAATATTATACCGGTAATCATAGAGTTATTAGTTTATGAAATATAATCATCAAGTTATTATTTTATGCAATATAATCATCAAGTTATTATTTTATGCAATATAATCATTGAGTTATTATTTTATGTAATATTATACGGATCATCATCAAGTTATTATTTTATACAATTACACACTTTTAGTCTTTTACTGATCAAGTTATTGTTTTTTAAAATCAAGTTACTGTTTGTAATATTAAATACTTATTATTATTTTATAATTTCAGTAATTCACAGTTTACCATCATCATGTAGTTCCAGTGCTGGTCCTTCATCACCAACATCAGCTTCCACACCCGTTGATATTATTCAAAAACTGAAAATGTTTATGGTTGAATCACAGGGATCACGATCTGATGGAGATACAGACTCTTCTAGTTCATCTCAAAATAGACAGGATCAATATGTATCGGACTCAAACATTGATCCATTTGATTTCTCACTTCTCCAATCTGTTAATTCTAGTTCTGTCTCATCACCAGACAACAATGATAGATTTACAGTAAAACATGTTGATGACTCGCTCTATAATACACATATAGTCTCTGCAGGAGGTCCAAAAACAACTTCTGAAGATATATATACTGGTATTCATAGGAGTGATTCTCAAGCAGATAGCGACACCCCAGATTCGGTTACTATAATTGACTCCTCAGCAACAGACTTAGATGCTCGATCCCTGTCAGGAATTCCACCAATAGTAGATTACACAGATGCAACTTTATTGCTTTGTGAAGACATTACCCAAATGGACAAAGAAAGTAAAGATTTTCAAACAAATTAAATGTCTTAATTAATCAACGGTGATTTTCTATAATAGGCCTATAAACTAGAAGAGTTATGTTTAATTTTGTCTATAAAATATTGGGTATCTGTGTAACATATATTTCACCAATTAATCAATGAAAGTAGTTAAAGATGCATTATTTAAAAGCTTCAGAAAACTGCATATTGTAGTGTTTTTTTTCTGGCTTCAAATGTTATATAAATTATTATTGAGACATTTATTCCTATGGCAAGCCCATATCAACACTCTAAATCATTGGATGGCTAAGTGGGTAAGACGCTGGCTCGCTAGATTGGAGGTCGGGTGTTCGATCCCGGCATTAGCCGAGAAAGTTCATCCAGATTTTCCGGCGTGATTTCCCCTTGTCAGTGATGCAGGATGGAGGGCCTTGCAAGGACAGCTGTCTAGTCCTTCGGATGAGACGAAAAACTGGGGTCCCGTGTATATATTGGAATGCACGTAAAAGATCCCCTGGCAGTTGGAATTCGATATAAGAGTAGGCGATAGTGCCGCTGCCCGGGCAAAATTTCCCGCATAGCACACTGTATGGCGTATGCCTGTCTTCATTAGCCCAGTATAGGAGCAGAACAGCAGGACTTTAAACCCCATTTCATTCATTTCGAATGGCTAAGTATTAAGTGAATTAGATAATGTCTGCCATATCTTCGTTAAACGTTAATTTGGACGCTAGTCATGGAGACTGCTGATTGTATGACTGAAAATTGAGACTTTATATATTACACGGGCAATAGTATTTGACAATAAAGACTATTTAGGCCATTTCTTGTTAAAACCTAAAAACATTCATAACTTTTCTCAGAACAAAGTAATTTGTCGGACATTTTCAATATACTTATTTTTTATTATCTTTTTTAAAACTATTATAGCAAGAATGGTCAGCTCTGTCTGACATTTTCAATATTTTTATTTTTCATTATCTTTTTTAAACAATTTAAGCAGGAATGGCCAGCTCTTTATCTAAATCTTACATAATGCATCTTTAAAGAATACAGATAATAATGACTGGTTGATTATTCTCTCTCATTTTGGAGTTTTTATAAACTTATTTTGCTGCATGTAGGTGTACTATGTGGCCTGACAAAATTATGTTTATGTTTTATATTCATTTAAGCATTAATATACATTTTTATACAAAATCACCCAAGTGACCAAAAAAAGTAATTATTATTTGTTGTCATTACATATTAACTTGATAAAAATGTAACAATTTCTTCTTCCATTCTATTTCCATGCCAAACTGAATAAGAAATTTACCCATTTGTTTGCAGAATTGAAATAAAATAAATTGTATTTTCAAAGATGGGCCTGATCAACTTTGGGAGGTAATTTTACGGATACAGATTTTTATTGCTACATTATTTTTACATAATACAAATGTCTGCCCCTAAAGGTCTTAATGGAATTACTAATTGATTGATTTTGAATGTAAGATTAGTATATGTGAGTGGATGGAATATTTGTGAGAGAGTTTTAAAATAATGGAAATATTAATGTATAGAAGAATATATTATTTTTTTTTTATGTGAACAAAATATTGTAAGGAAATATTGTTTTATTGTGCTGATATCCTTGTTTATGCATTTTATAGTTAGAGAATAACTTATGCTCATCCAGTATGTGTTAATTAACTGGAATGCTCACAATTTTTTGCTTATTGAATGTCTATTTGACAAAATGTTTGTAAAGAGTTCATACAGCTCTTAGAGTTATCATATCTTTGTCCAAGAAATAGAATAGCTTCGATGAATCTCAAAAGATTTCTCAGTTGAAGGTTAAATTTGATTAAAGAAATAGTCATTTATTAAATAAAATATTGGGACATTCGATTATATTTTCCCAAATACATATCACTATTTTGAAAAAGCTTATGAATTACACAAAAGGATGTATGAATATATAATGAAATGAATGCTATATTATTAATTGTTTTGAATGAGATATAATTGTTATTGATTGTTGATTATATATAAACGCCTTTAATAGTTGTTGAAATAAACAAATAAAAGACTGGAATTTTTCGGTGATAGAGAAGACACTGTGGCAGAGGATATTGTGAAAATGAAATGAAAGTCACTTCAACGTGACGCTGGACAATTTCATCGACTATTTAACCAAGTTGCCACTCCCTATAAACCGCAACGCAAAATCAAATGTGTCGAAGGAGGAACAGTGTGCTATAAATTCTTTAAAATCTAACGATGCAATTCGTTATTAAAGAAAGCGATAAAGGGGGTGCCATTTTAATCATGGATGTGGAATATTATGAGGGAAACGTCCTTAACATACTTGAAAAAAAATGGGGGTATACAAGCATACATTCAAACCATGATATAAGAACAATGGGATTAATAAACGGCTTGATTCCGGCAATACTATATACCGGAAAACACCGGAAAACAACCGGAAAACACCATTTTATACTGAATACCGGAAAACACCGGAAAAAGACTAAATACCGGAAAACATCCTAAATACCAGAACACCCTAATTAGGTAACCCGGAGCCTGGTCCTCTGTGTGCGGTTTTGGACCAAGTGAGCGCCGATGAAGGAAGGTCAAGGTCATTACGATGTTCGTTTTACAAATAGCCGCCCCCCAAAAGATTTTTTTTTCTCCAAAATTTTTTGGACCAAAAAAATTTTCTGTCACAAAACAAAAAAAAAATCGAATTTTTCCGAAAAATTGGTTTTACAAAAAAACATTCCGTAGAAAATAATTTTACAGAGAAAAATACTTGGAAAAAATTTGATTTTTTTTTTTGAGAGAAATTTGGGAGAAGAAATTGTTAATAAAAAATCTGAAAAGAAATTTTTCTTTGACCGTTAGGCGATCGCTCGCTTGTATGTTAATGAACTTATTTCATCAGCGCTCACCTGGTCCAAAACCACACACGTGGACCAAACTCGGCATTACTAAATAGCTACCGGAAAACTTAGAAGAGTAAACTGTGCCCGAGATTTTTTTTTCGAGAGCGCGCCGCTCCGGGAAGGATCATCGTCAGGGTGGGACGGGGGTGGAATTGTCCAGTTACGTGACGAACATAGATCTTCCGTTCCTCAACCCATATTATTTCCACAGTCATTGTCATTAATCACAAATTACGGGATGATATACGAAAATGCAGGTTTACTTTGAAATAGTGAAAATGATACTTTTCCATCTACAATCTTCAGATCAAAGGATTCAAGTTCTTACACAGTGCAGCATGATTTGTACAACAGAAGACATCTCGAATATCGGTTGTCGGAAAAAACATTTTCTCGGGGACATTTTTTTTCCGAATACGCATTCTGTGTAAGTCTTCAGCCACCAGGAAGTGGTTTACATAGTAATGTTTTATTACGATAATAGTACATGAAACAAATTGGTTGCCTGAGGTTCTCGGTGTTCTCGGGGGGAAAGTAGCCTCATCGGCTAGAGTGAGTCGAGTCCTCTATTTCACAAACAAAAACAACAATTGCTTCCTTGAAAATTTATCGATCAACCCTTTCACATACGTCCAGCTTACCACTTCCCGTCAATGCAGTAAGATAGAATATGTAGTTTTCTCATGGAAAATTGGGCGAAAGTTGGGGTTTTCTCAAGGAAAACTGGTCAACGAGTTGGAGAAAAAAGCTGGAAAAGTAATCCAGAAAAAAATCCTGTGTGCGGCCCTCGGAATATGATGGAATATGTTGAATATTATTATGGTTCAAGTGATTATATTTGACCCTGGAATGAAAGTAAGCCCAGAAACAAGTAGATTTTTAGCCCTTCCAACGAGATGGATAGCTCTTGGAAAGGATAGACACTTTTCAGATTACAGCCTGTCCGAGAATTGCGTGGCATCCATTTCGTTTGGTGATTAGGACACATATAGTATGGCCCGCTTGATTCAAGACCACAAAAACGAACTGACGGACAACGAACACGATTATCTGAAAATTCGAGTATAAAACAAGTCAGTTTTATGGTGTGCCAAAAATCAACAAATCAAAGATGATCAAGGAGTCTATTAAGCACCAGTGTTTTCCAACCAGACGATCTCACATTCAGACCAATAATTGCCGGTCCGTGCTGCCCTACTAATAGACTATCAAATCTTATTTATATCTTACTTAAACCGTATGTGCCAAATGTAAAATCTGTTATTTGGGATGACATAGATTTTGTCAATAGATTGCCCCCAAATCTGAACGATGGCGACGTTTTCGTAACCACGGATGTTTGTAATATGTATGGCAATATTTCCCATGACCTATGCTTTCAGGCCATAGAATACTGGTTGAATAAACATCCTGAATGCAGTCATGAGAGAATTTCAAACAACTTCATCCTCAAAGCTATACGAATCATCCTGACTAACAACACTTTTACATTTGGCGAAACAAATTACAGATTCTTGGTATAGCGATGGGTACCAAGGCGGCACCACAATTAAGTAATTTAACAATGGGATTTCTTGAGGAAAAATTATACTCAATTGTAGAAATCAAACATGGCTTGGATTACAGATTATATTTAGAAAATCAGTTGAAACGATTCCTAGAAGATATATTCTGTATTTGGAATGAAAGAATTGGCAACGTTGCAGATTTGCAACAAATAATGAATGATTTAGATCTAAATATCAAATTCACAATTGAAACGAACGATCTGAAAATCGCATTCTTGGACGTTCTAGTGAAAAGAAGGGTAGAACTCCTTATAGCGGGTATGTATTCTAAAGAAGCAGATACCAAAAACTACCTTTCTTATAAATCAAGTCACCCACGCCATAACAAAAATAATATACCCTTTTCTTTAGCGAGAAAAATATGCACCATTGTGATAGATGAAGACCTCTGGATTCTCAGATTAGGTGAGCTGAAAAGAAATTTATTTAAACAGCATTACCCCAAAATTTCTGCACGTCTTAGATTGGCCTTGACGTTAATTTCCATCCCAAATATTGAATAAATCACCCCATTTCCTAAGACCAGCTAGGGGGGGGGGGGGTGAACATATAAATCCAATGGGAAAAAAAAGTGTTGAACCAATAAATATTATTATATAATACCAAAAAAGGTCAGACTTTGTCTTTCTCTTAGTGCTTCAAACTATGCAAGTTATAATTACAATTTCCATAAGAATTTCTCTTAAATGTTCTAATTTTGGTGGTAATTTAGTAAGTGTAGGGCCTATAGTTACTGATAGCCATGTTTAGAGGTTTCCAAAGAGTGTCTAAAGCTTTTTATACGCCCACATTTTCATGTGGACGTATATTGTCGTCGCCCCTGTCCGTCCGTCCACAATTGTTTGTGGACACTCTACAGGTCACAATTCTTATCCGATTTTGACTGTCGAATTTCGTGAAAATCGGCCCAAAACTGACAGACAAAATGGCCGCCCTTCGTTCTCAAATAGCGTAAAAATATGGTATATCAAGGTTGTGGACCCTATGGAGGTCACAATATTAATCCGATTTTGTTGAAACTTGAAATGTAAGTTTATAACCCAAAGAACTTTGTTCCTTTCGATATTCGCGCATATCGGACGGTAACTTCCTGAATCATGGCCCCTGATTGTACGAAAAATCGCGTTTTTAGCTTGTGGACCCTATAGAGATCATAATTTTTATCCGATTTTAATATATCACCGTTACACCCTAAGGACGGCTGAGTTCGAATTTCGTGAAAATCGGCCCAAAATTGACAGACAAAATGGCCGCCGTTCGTTCTCAAATAGTGTATCAAGGTTGTGGACCCTATAGAGGTCACAATTTTTATCCGATTTTGTTGAAACTTGAAATGTAAGTTTATAACCCAAAGATCTCGGTTCCTTTCGATATTCGCGCATATCGGACTGTAACTTCCTGAATTATGGCCTCTGATTGTACGAAAAATCGCGTATAAAAAGGAGGAAACTTCATTTACATTAAGTCGAATAGCGGCCAAAGTTTGATTTAAATATAAATCCCAAGTGTTATAACTTTCTGCGATCTTTTTGCCCCCCACCTTTCGAAGAAAGCAGGCGACTATTAAAATGGGTTCTTTCGTGGCCGTCACACTTTTTGGGACACAATAACTCACTTTCTAATTGAGCTTTTAGCATTTTCTGCTTAGGGTAAGCAGAGATAAGCAGTTTGATTGTTTTTTTTTTTGTTTTTTTTTAAACAATATTTTTATTCATTAAATCTGAATTTGGATTGGGGAACAGGCTATGCCTATGTGTAACCCCTCTCTCTGATTTAGGTACATGTACACATTATAAATATTTACATACATACATACATACATACATACATACATAATTACATAATTATAGAAAATATATGATACATCATGGATAATATAGAGACTTAGATGATTATACAGAGTGCAGGGCTTGGAATGACTTAAGAGTTGTTTATGGAGATTTAAATCTTTTTGATAAGGAAATAAATTGTTGGACTTCTTGGAAAATAAGTGTGTTTATCTCTGGACTAAGTTTTGTTGACCCATACAACAGACAACTGATTGTTTTATGATTATGTTGAAGGTTATGGATTGTCCGTTTTCTTGCATCTGAATATAAGTGGCATACGAGTAAATAGTGTTCGGTATCTTCGAATTTGTGACCACAGAGGCAAGCAGGGCTATCATCGACGTGTCTGAGGAATTTATGGCCTTGTAGGTTCGAGCAGCATAATCTTAGTTTACAGTGGATTATTTGTAATTTTCGTATCCCAGTACAGTAATATGATGGCACGATGGTGTTTAATTTATTTAGTGAATTTCCAAAGATAGCAAGGGATCGAGAGTTTCTAATTTCAACGTTAAGTTTGTTCCATTCTCGTATACTGGAAGGGATGAAGGACCCTGAGAAAATTTCGGTTCTGCATCTGGTTTCCTTTAGTTTATCTTTGTTTCTAAGAGTATAATTGATAGGGGTAGAGGACAGTTCTAATAGGTCAGAGAGATATGATTGGTTGATGCTTTGGGACACGATAACTTTAGTTCTAATTAAGTGAGAGTGATGAAATTCGGTGTATAGTTTCATTACATCAATA